CAGATGATCACCTTTTCAGAGATAAAGTTCCCGTGACTGGTTTGATTTGGTGAAAAAATGTCATTCGGGCGCGGATGATGGGATACCTTGGAGCCCGGGTGCCTGGAAGCCATGGTGATGGCGACGAGAGCTGCTGGGCCCAGCGCTGTGATGCCCACTGCAGACAAGCTTCGGAGAAAAACGCAAGAATGCCACAATAACGTCAAATTGAGATCAAGCAAAGTCTGGAGAAATTGCCTTCCGAGTGACCGGCTCGTCAGAGACAATGGGGCTGATTGTAAATGATGCTCCTCGTACCCGCTGACTTGCTCCTGCAGGAATTTTTTCGTGTACGACAGCGGCGCCGGAGTGGTGAAAACGGACGCGGCCGCTTTCAGATTTTCACTGTCCGTCAGTTCGTCTCCACTCAGGACATGCGACGGGAAATCTCCGCATCCGTGTACTGTCACCTATCATAGAGTGGCGGAACAACAGAATTTTGCTTGGTGGTGGAGTTGCTTTACCAATGCAAATTCATTGAAAGTAGCGGTCGTCAAAAAACGGTTGATTCAAAAAAAAAAAAAGAATGCAAATATTGATTTGAAAAGTTAAATACAAGTGAACTGTACTCAGTCATTCTTTCAGGTTCCACAAGAAGGAGCCCACATACCAGACTGAGAATCACCAAAATGGGTATTTCAAGATGTTTTTTTTTTGTTTTTCAGTCCATGTGTGATAAAATTGTATTTGGTTGTACCTCATAGTTGAAGGTGATGAGCCCAACGGGTGTATCAGGCTGTTGTTCGCTCAGCTTTTGAACACATAGTAAAACCGCTTCCTGGACAAACTGCAATGAACAAAATCGGTTAATATTCCACAAACCAATGTGCTGTTGAAATGGTATTGCACTGCACAGATTCTACAACACCGGGGTCCAAACTTGGCGCACGGGCCTTTTGCGGCATGAAGTTAAAATACTGAAAGATTTGTACAGGGCTGTAAAGCCATTACAGGGAAAAAAAATGGAAATTTGCTTTATCAGCTTTTGCAGAAAGCTTCGATATAGCATTTTTTTCAGAATATCAAAATATTTAAAATTTCTTGATGGATTAGTCGTTGCAAATTTGCACAGTCTCTTACCTCCAGCCGCGATCTGTGGATAGACTCCTGCCCCGTCAAAACCTTCGCAAGACAAGAACGCGATCACAATCTGTGCCGTGAGGTAACAGGTAGCAGTTTGTCCTCTGGGTGTGCCGTGCACCTGAGAGGTGATGCTCATGGAGGCCGAGATGTCGATGCAAAAGATGAGCAGAGGCTGCGAGGCCCTCGTGAGGTTTTCGGACGGGCTCAGCACGAACAGGCCGTGCTGCAAACCGGCACTTGGGGCGTTGCTCCACGCAGGCGGCTCACAGAAGTAACAGCCCTTAGCCTGCAGCTAAAGAAGGTAACCCCGGCGGTCACGTGACATCCATTTGATGCGGAAGACTGGATTTTAAGGTCACGTTGATGTTAAGACGACGTTTGTGTAAAGGCTCCAACACTCTTGATGGATTGATCTGCTGTCGTGTACTCGTACGGTCCACTTTGCTGCTCTATCATTGCTCGTGTAGCGATGCCATTACGTACAGCGCAACGACGACAGAAGCTTTGCCTACCAGGTTGTCATAGGTGTAGTCCAGCACGGAGCCACACTGGGAGCAGGAAGTAGGTTTTCCCTGCGTGTGCTGCACTGGAAAAAGCACAAGCATCATCATTATCAGCGAAGACAACGGAAGACTGAAAACAACGAGCATAACAGTTGACTGACCTTTCTCTGAGAGCAGCTTTCCCAAACTGACAAGGATCACGTTGGGGTTTCCCGGCAGCGGCCTTTTATCTTCTGTGGCTGCGGAGGAGCACAGATGGGAAAAGTACTCACCGGCTGTACTTGAGTAGAAGTGTGGATACATTGTCATGTCATATTTTGACAGAGGAAGGACTAGAAAGTACAGCTATCTTTTTTTTTTTTTTTTTAATATAGGGGGTACAAGTAGATTATCATCAGAAAGATGAATACTCACTTTCAGTCTGGGTACCTAAAAAAAAAAATCAACTTTCGCTGTGTGACATTTGCAGCCTTGTGACAACAGGTGATAAAGCGATAGCGATGTGTATACCTGGAGGTGGCGTGGCTGGAGGCGGGGTCAGGAGCGTTTTTTCTGTGGTGGAAGATGTGGGCAGAATCACCACATACTCCGGCATGTACTTCATTAAGGAAGGACGAGGAGGAAGGGGAGGGGCCGAGGCTGCCGGATATCAGAAGTCTCAAATTAGGCCTTGTCATAATGTCTGGAGACCTTACGTCCTTCTCGATCTTCGATTTATACCGCCGGTAAACAAAACCTTCTGTCGTCTGACCGACTCTTTAACAACAGGTTCCGCTTGATTCATTTTGAAAAGAATCAGAAAAATGAAAACAAAACCCAAACTAAATATCTGGCATATTTCGCTTCGTTTGCTTACGTGTCACCTGGCCAGGCGCATTTCCACTGAGCCTGGCGCCTTCTGGTAAAACTGCCGCGTTGTTTGCGGACCACGACGACGGCGACTCCACGCCGTTGTCATAAGAGAACGGCTGGCTGGAAGAAGGCGAGTGGCTGCTTGCCGCCGGTCTCAGGTGGGGAGGAAGCAAAGCTGTGGGGAAGCCGTACACAGACACATTTATCCCCAAATAGCCAAAACCTGAACATGTTTGTCTTCCAGTGATACAATACTGCTCCCTCTTCCGAGTACTAGTCAAGAGGGGAGCAGCAGCAATCTGGACCAACTGGAGACACTGAATGGAGGATTGTGTGACTCCAAAGTAAAGTGCATTAGAGTCATCCAGCCGGGATGTGACGAAGGCATGAAGGACCATTTCAAAGTGCTCTTGAGAGAGGACAGGCTTTACTTTAGCCAGTTTTGCTACTTGAGATGAAAGAAGCCGGATTGAACAACGGCACCAACTTGCCGGTCCGATTTAAAATCACTGTACCTGTCTTTCGGGTGGGCGTCAGCTGCTTGGGAGAATTGCTCTCAAGGTCGACATTGTCATAGAAGGCGGACGTCGAAGCCGGCGGCCCCTGCCGCTTGCTCTTGTGCGGCTGCTGGCCGACCTTGGGGGGCGACTCGCCCACCTTGATCTCTTTGATCTCGAGGGGCGGAGGAGGGGGCGCTCTGACAGGACGGACCCAGCTGACGGGAGGTAGAAGCGCTGCGAGGAATGCAAATACCAGAGATTGCGCCTTTGTGTTCCTTTCAAGCCGTCAAGCTCGCATGACTCACATGGAAGGCTTTTAGCGAGCTTATCTCCAAGAAAACATTTGTTATGAAAGGATGACAGAAAAGGTTGTTTCGCAGGGCTGTTTCATAATACTTCACGGACAAAGAAATGTGGCCTTACTACCCGGGAAAGCTCTTCGCACAGGTGGGAGTAAACTGCATATCGTTTTAGGAAAATCGACACTATTCAACAAATCTTCTACTGTTGTTATTTTTTTTGGCGCGGGGGGTGGATGACCATGAAATGGATGATGCAAAATCATCAACTACTGTTTCAATTAAACATATGAAGAAACCAAGAATGCATGGAAACCTCAGATGTCGTTCTTGTATGTATGTATCTTAAACCAAGGATGTCGTGGGTGAATATTTGAATAAATACTTGGCTGGGAAAATATCCAAAGATTTCGTGCAGGTATCACGGCAATACGTCAATCGGAAAACACATTCTAAGGATGATCAAGATGTATTCTTGCCTATGCCGTAATGAGCGCATGGCGTCAAAATGTGATGATCATTCCCATTCCCACGAACAAGAAAATTATTGAAGCCGTTTATGAAACTGGCAAGTAATCAATAGAAATGAAATGACTCATCCGTTTCGCTCATTTGGCGTCACGGGAGAGCTCGAGCCTATCCCAGCCGACTTTTGCCGAGAGGCGGGGCAGACCCCGGCCAATTACAGGGCTCATTTCAATAACTGGAATGACATCATTTGACGAAGTGGGAAGCGCACGCAGGAAAATGTACACAAAAGCATGAAACTTTGAGGGCCCCGTAGGGTTCAGTGCATCATCTTGAAATTAATTCAATGAGAATCTTCACATGCGTGTGAATAAATTGTGCTCATATTCCAAACATGATTTTGAAAGAAAAACAAAAAAAGATAAACGCCTGAACGGCTGCACCGCTATCGGACAATCTCTCCGAACGAACGATACACTGAATGCGACCTCGGGTACAGGTGTCTCATCACCCCCGCCGACCCCCCCGCTTGTACGTCCCTGAGCATAAGAATCACCAATTTCACATCCCACCTGAGCGTTTGAAGGCTTGCTGGCTGTCCTTCGGTGGAGGCACGTAGACAAAACCGCAGGCAAATTCCATCGCGATCGAGCAGGCCTGGGCGGTGAAATGACAACGGCTCAGCAGAATCTGCAATCAAAGCTGACTGTGCTGTGTACTTACTCATGGAGGGAGAAGCAAGCAATGGCAAGCGATGGCAGACATGGGCGCTTACAAAAGCCTTCCAAGTGTTGTAGCAGCGGGTGGCATCAGTTTATCCGTCATGTAATTTTCAGACATCTCATCAAACCGGTTGGGCGACTGGCGCAGTCGTCAACGTCACCGCTCGGAGGTTTCTGCAACACTGCACGCGGGGGGGCCTCGCGATCAATCGCGTGAGGCCGAACCAATTCAAATGATTCGGGAATCGAAATGCAAACGTGCAACGGAGAAGTCAAGATCTGAAAAGTTGCGGCATGAGTCAAAAAATGAGTCAGAAAAGTAGAACAAGCAATAATAACCATTCGAAAGATAACTATGATACAATATTACCACATTCTGTCCAGAACAATTCAACCAGGAACTCTGTCAGTTAGGCCAAACACACACACAGATTTCAACCACTGCATGTAGCCCATTAGAAGATAACAAGATGTTCCGCCTCCTCCAGTCACATTTTTCCATGCATTCAATTGTCTTGTATCAAGAAGCAGGAGTGGATGGAAAGACATGTTTTTATTTGGGGAAAAAGTCACGGGTCGCCGCAAACGCGATCACCTCAACACCCAAACTTCCTTCGCGGGACCCGAACATATGCATCATGAAGTAGCATGAACTGTACATTTCCTAATCAGAAAAAAATAAAAACCTGCATCCAAAGTCAAGTTGCCAAGAAAATGGCCGGCCTGCCTGATGATCAATTTGGCTCGTTTTACGCCAGAGTTTTGGAAACCCTGTTCTGCTGTAAACATCAACCTCGTGAACAGGCAGAAGTTTTGACCACGTGATCCTAAGTCCTGCCACTGACACACGCGTACGCTGTCGTTTTTTATTAATTTAATCACGAAAGGCTTCCAAGTTCTCTCTGTTCATTTGAAACCGAAGCTATTGGAGCGTGTGTGTGCGCGACATGGCTTCAGGACACAATAATTCAGGAAGAGTGACGTCACTGGACGAGTTCGACATAATTGGCCGGGTAGAAGCCCTCCTTCCCTCCGCTCAGGACCCCCCGGCACCAGCCCTGGTCATCCTCCTCCTCGACCTTCAGGAACTCCTCACCTGGCATCACAGCGAGCATCGCATCAATAACAACTCGCGGGCATATATTCTTCATCCACTGCGAAGAACGACGAACATTCATGCAGCTTTCCGAACTCTTCTTCGCGTGCGTCCGTAATTGTATTAATTGGCCAAAAGGCGTCGACACAAGAAGGCATTTCCATTTGTTTCAATGTGGAAAGATAATTGAGGCAGGCGATGGTTGATCTCGCTCAGGTCGTGATTGAAAAATAACACGGTCGCATCATGAGAGAAATAATTGCATGCCATGAAAAGTCCCTTTTATATACAAAGAAATGAGACACATACTGTATATTGGTCAGTGTTTCACCTGCTTTAAAGGAGAGCTCATCGCCCTCCTCCCCCGTGTAGTCATACAGAGCTCGAACCTTCACGCCTCCGATCATCACTCTAATAAGAAAGAGTCATCAGAAACAGGAAGAATCAAAATTCCACTTGGGGGACCGAGTTGACTTACGGTCGGCCTTCTTTGCCTTTCTGCTCTCTCTTCTTTCTTTTCAGCTTTTTTACCGGTGGGACCCACTCCTGAACAAAGACAGGCATTTTAGTGCCCAATTGTAAGACTCGACTCACAAAGTCGCACGGCGTTGATGCTTTATGATCATCTCCATTTTAAGTGCTTCATCTCCATCTTGCGGCATCCATGTGAAATGACAAACCGCTTTCGGATTTGCGGATTTTCTCGATCCTATCAGGGCTCAATATTGTATGGATTCTGTACCTGGATCTTCGGCCAGTTGGTGAGCATGCCGGGCCCATGATTGTTCTTCCACCATTTGAGGTCCTCCTCCTCGTTGATGGCCATCAGAGTTTGATGGAGTTCATTGTAAACTTCCTTTACACTGATGTAACCACACACACACATACAGTGCATGTTTGTAAAACGCAACAAATAAAAGTCCGGAAGATGGTCGTCTCGGCACCTGTCGTTGTTGGTGACATCGAGGTGTCTGTGGATGGACAGGAAGGCCTGCTTCAAGAAGCTGATGCGTTTCCTCTCCTCCTCCTGCGACTGCTCAAAAATGACCTCCATCTCCTCCATGTAGCGCGGCGTGTAGCTCGTGACATCCTCCAGGAGTTTCTCGTAGCGCTCCCGAGCCTGCGGAGATGCGTTTTTGCAGTGACTCACAAAGAAACTCCGCACATACCCTTCTCTGTTAAGTACATGAGTTGAATCATGAATATGTATCTCAATATGTCTGTGGCAGCCAGGTCATTCACACCAGAAGGAGCAGCGCAATGTCCATTGAATTGACGCAAAAAGTGTGACAGAAACGGTTTAACTCTTTACTTTCTATTTAATTATGTCATTACTGTTTTTCTAAAGTACAACACAATAGAGTGTTACTCTTCTCATTAGAAATGCGCATTACAAAATTTGCTATTTTTTTGAAGGGATGAATGGCATTTCCATTCATTTCAATGGGGAAAGATGATTTAAGTTTCGCGTTTAGTCATGGAACAAATTTAGCTTTTTTTTTTCCCCCATATAAGTATCTGCATTTCCAGTTAGGTCCAGAGTGTGAATACTTTGTCATCTTTGGTGGTATTACAAACATTAAAAATGCTCCCTTTTCGCTTGACACGATGTGGTGCTTGTCACTGCTCCCATCCTGGGCTTCATAAACACAGAGCAGTCCAACGACAAGGCATGTCCAAATATGGGCAGCGCACGGAGGAAAGATTCAAGGTTAAAAGGACATTGTTTGGATAAGAAAGTAGCAAGACTGAATAAACACAAGCACGTGCACTGGGACAGCAAAACTTCCTTGGAGTACAACAAATTTCACTCAGGATTTGTGACCACATAACACAGGCCCACGGATCATTTATTTATCAACAATGTATTTTTACTGTAAAATATATTAATTGAATGTAGCTATTGATTTTTCATTCATTAATGTTATTAAATAACGAATATGACAATACCAGATTTTTTTTAAAGAAAACAGTGAAAAATGGATTGGATATACAAAAGTTAAAAAATGAATTGCTTTGAGAAGGAACTGGTCAGTCACGAAGGTCAGCGCAGAATCATTTGCGCCTGCTGAACGGCTTAGTCAGCTCATCTTTGTATTTATTGCATAGCTCGCGGCTCTAAAATCTTCCAAAAAATAATTTGGGAAGATGATGTTAAAATAGTCGTTGGCATTTCTTGAAGGACTTGAAGGCGTTTTTGAGGCGATCACCTTTTCTTTAGCGTCTGTGGCCAATTCTCTGGCCTCCGTCACCTTCTGCTTTTTCTCTGGACTCCAATTTTCAGCGTCGTTAGCTTGTTTCTCTTTGTCCATGGCACTCTGCTCCTTCTGACAGCACTTGTGGTACGTGGCCCGGGCCTTCTCCAGCTGTTTAACACAAACACACACATGCCTATAAACACACAAATGAAACTAAATAATCCAAGTGAACCAGTCAAGACGACTGGAAATGGGAGTGGTCTGCAAGTCTTTGTTGTCATCTTTGGCAGTGCAAACGCGCACAACAATTTGCCGGTCCAAATAATACATTGTACAGTATAAACGAGAGTTTTCGCTGCGGTTCCAAAAGCGCTTTGATCGTACTTGCTCGCTCACCAGCCGAAGCGATTTGTACCACATTTTCCGCAATACGTCGATGTGACTCGAGCGCCAGAACGGGAAATTGAGTCCTCGTGTAAACATCTGAACGGCGGGAGTTGCATGCAGCCACTGGCACTGATGTCAATCATCGCCGAGACAAGACTTCTGCACGGAGGAGAAACATCTGCTTTGTATTGGAAATCCTGAGCTAAGTCGACATTTATCAGATCCACATGCAAGATAGTCCGCACTGGGCAAGTGGTCTCGCGAGAGCCCTCTTGCGACAAGAGCAAATCACGGAAAAAACACAGGAAGCGGCCTCTCACAAGACAACACCTGCTTTAGTTGAGTCACTGAGGATTACAGTGGGCCAACAGTGGACTCAGTACTTTATTTTTGATTTATCAGTGCAACAACACTGGCACAACGCCTCACAAAATACTATTTTAAATCTGGACAAAATACATCCATGTGTGCAAAATAAGTGCTCTGTTTTCAATGCATGTTTGACACAAACAAAAAAATAACCGCATACTGTCATTTGTTTTCCGGTGCAAACGACTGTCTTTAGGGACGGCACAAAACTTCGGAAAAAGAAACCAAGATTAAGGGCAAGAAATGATTTTGGACATTTTGTCGAAAAAAATATGAAATAAACTCATTTTTTTGCATGATTGCGGTACTATGTTTGTGCTGCATACCATCCCAAATTGACAACAAATGATTCGGCTCACTCATGCTGTAATATACGGCAGTATAAACGCAAATGAAACTTGTTTGCCATCTAGTGGAGACTGTTGATATTACAATTTAAATCTAGTCCACTCAATCCACAAGTTCGTTGAAGTAAATGTTAGTTATCATCTTTCATGAAGTCTTGATAGATGTTTGGACCACGTATTTTTTCCCCCCTCCTAACTTTAGTTTGTGGCCTTTTTTTTTTTCCTCACAGCCAAACGAAATGATACCGATGAAGAAATGATCTTAAATTATCATTATAGCATTGTGAAACTAGCAGAGTTTTCTTTTGGTCAGCTGTTAACAGGCTAACCACTCTTGAGACAGGCCCAAACTCAGACATTCCTTAAAAAAAAATTTTTTAAAAAATGTATGTTAGAGACCTTGGTCAGCTTCTTGTTCCATGGTTTCTGCACTCGTGAAAAACTGGCGTTGTTGTCGTAGCTTTCCCGGAAGCCGCAGAAGAGTTTCTTGGGAAAGGTCTCCCTCTGCCAGGTCTTGACCCGGACGCCTTCCTCTGCCACGAGAGACTGCGAGATGGACAAGTGGAGGGCGGACAGGCGCTCGGTGGAGGTGAAGAAGCTTTGCCAGGCCGTCATCAGCGAGCCGTAGAGCGGCCCTGGGGAACATGACAAATGGAGGGAAGAAACATCGCCCGCCTCGGAGGTGAGTCATGGAACCAATAAAGAAGCAATGATCTCCATCTTTCCACTGTAAAGCACATGGGCTCATTTAAAATCCATTAAGAGATTGTTTCGAAATTACTCAGGCTCTGCATGTTCGCAATGTTTTGACATAACCGTGAGTAAGAAACACTGGTTGGGCATTTAGTGAAAATCCTTGTCATCCAGCTTACAAAGGTCCATGTACTACAATTCTCTTTGTCCTCGCTAGTAAGACGATGAAAAGCGCAACGTATTCTTTATCCTCTGCAGAGAACAACACATTATTAATGTAGCTTACTGAGGAACTGCGACCCCTTCCTTCATCTTTGTCTGTATTAGAATGCCTCCCACGTGATCAAGTAGGAGCAGCGCAATGTCCACTTGTACGAGTGCAAGGACATTAGGCTAGATATCCAAAATGAAAGCGCAAACGTTTTTTCCCATTGCGAGCCTGGCTTACTCACGAGAATCCACGATGGCCTTCCACTTGCTGCTCCATTGGCTGAGCTGCTGGGCGTACTGCCTTTCGACACTGGCCCTCTCCGTGAAGCAGGCCACGAGGTCGTTGCAGGCCCGGTAGGACTGCTGGGTTCTGTGCACCGTGGGTACGTAATTCCCTGGCTGGAAGAACAGCACACAGCAATCGTGAGGTGAGGTGTATGCTGGCCAACACGTGCGTGTCGAAGCCTCCGGATGGGAGTTTTCACACCGGGCGCAACGCTTACCATCCAGAAGCTGCGTTTGGCGAGGTCTTGAGTCGGTTCTTGGGGGAGGCTCGCCATGGTGGTGGCTTGTCGAGTTGTTGCTGTTAGGCAAGAGCGAGTTGCTAGGCCGTTTAACGCACATTTCAATCAAGGGAAGGCAGTTTTTGTTGGCTGAGCCACGCCAGCGATTATCATGCAACTGGTTGGACGCCTCGACTGTCATTAGAGACGAGTCTGTTGTGAACAGAGCCGTTCTGCAGACTGGAGAGGCAGAACGAAACTGAGAACCTTTTGAGTTGAGCACAAAGCTGTTATTCAGTTGCAGGAAAGGGAGAAGGTGAGCGCGCGGGTTCAATGTACCTTCTGCCATCTAGTGGGAGAGCATTTCAATGTTCTACACTATTCGTCGTGAGTATAGAGAGATGAACTATCACAAATTGGCGGTAAATTTTCGGAGGGGTGAAGGATAGAAATTGGTGGCTCATACCTCTCGGCACACCTGACGGTCTCATTATACATTTTGAATGACTACCTTAGAAAATATAATCACATAAAAACAACAATGCCGCTCGCTGCTCTTCTTGCCAAAAACTTGAACAACTTGTTATTTATAGCATTCCCAGGTCGGATACATGCGTAGCTGTCCCAGTGGCAGACGGGAATTCACAAGGAGGGTGCGGGGAGGTGGGGGTGAGGACTGCAGCGGCAGGAATAGAACAGCTGCTCCTGCATTCTTCCCCAAAAATAAACAGCAGTGAAAAGGTCATCTTTCCCTTTTGCTCCGATGAATGCATAAAGCCAACGTCCAGAGCCACCCTTGCTGCTTTTAAGCGCCTACTGCAGCAAATCAAAGGAAACTGTGGCAAAAGTGGGTCTGTGGAGAAAGACAGGAGCACATTCTGTCGTGTGTGTGAGAGTAATGTGAAAGAGACTAGCCACGCCTCACCACCACCAGCGCGAGACATGACTGCACCTACTTATCTGTCACGCAGCGAGCTCGTCCTCACATTTAGTTCCAGACTGCGTGTTTTTCTGGCAAACTTGTTTTTCTGACAACATCCTGATCCTTTTCGTTCGTGACGAAGCAGAGGCAGACAAGGACAGAGGGAGCCAAAGCGGTCACAAGACTTAAGTACCTCGAGTACACCTTAAAAACGCACCTTGCGTGCAGACAGTCCACCGGCGTGGCCGCTTTAGAGCGTTGCATTGTCAGCCACAAGTTCACGCATGTCTTGCTGAGAAAGACTGAAGAGTGAGGAGGGGGATTTCTATTTTATTTTATTATTTAAGTCTGTCTAGACTGGCAGCATGCGGACAGGCGCTTCGGGGTGGCATGGCCACTTAAGAGTGCCCCGTCGTTGGCCCTGAGTGTGCGAACATCACAAAGAGACGGCAGAAGAGCCACGTAAAACCAATTTTACAAGTACAACGTGACAGCCAGAGTGTGGACAGGGTTTTCGTATTCTTTAGAGCGCCTCGTCGCGCGGTGGATAAGCATCACGATGACTCAGTGGAACATATTCCAGCCACTGGAGGCTTTACGTGGCTATATTTTTACGAGTCAAACATGTAGCTATGTGGAGGCATAAAGATGCTGGAGAAAGTATCATTCATTTGTAGGAGTGGATTTCAATTGACAGTTGAGCAGGGTGTGGTTTCAGCGCATTTGGCGGACACGCCCATAGTGTTCAAGATTTGGGATTTTTCATGATTAATCATTCAAATTTGGCAACGTTGTGAAGATTGTCTATGGCGTGTCGGATTTAAGACACACTTTTCACTTTACCGTGACTTTAATATTCCCTTTTCAGGTTTCATGCCTAAAAAGTGCAGAAGATCTCAATGGGCTTATACTTCTCTCTGTTCACATCTATTTTTATGTCAAGTCGTCATCGGCGGAGGCTTCCGAAAAAAGAAAAAAAAAGACGGAGAGAAACGGGACACAGAAAAGCCGTGATACAAACAGGCCGCGTTATCCAATCCAAGCCAAAAACAAAGCCAAGGTGGCAACGGAGCACTCAGTCACAGCCGTGGGCACTTACATGTAGTTTGTGAATCACCAGCGATTACTCAAGTGAGCAGCACTTGTTACTGGAGGCTCGCCCTTTCAGCATGCCCCCACCCACCCACCCACACTGACCCCATTTTGCCTCACTTCAAGTTAGACACGCACGCATCTTGTGAAGAGTCAAAGCGGTCTTACCTTTAAGCTTGATTTCTTTTCTTCTCGTTCCCCCTCACTTGAAGTCCATCCCTGGCATCCCCTCACTCCTCTGAGTATCACTTCTCCAGTCTCAAGGGATAGCCCCCCTACAACGCCAACCCCCCCTCCAGAGCCACTCTTGCCCCTCCTTCTGTCACTCTCTATATGGTGCTAATGGGATGCTCTGCCGTCATTTTGACTTGTGTCAATTGGTGGGACGTCATGTGAGCTTATTAGACAGTGGGTGACATTTCGTCCCGTTCAGAGGTGGCAAAAAGTACTCAACACTGTACATACGTAGAAGAACTGATACTTGTATATTAAAAAAAAAAAAACACTCTGGTAAAAGTAAAAGTGCTGATGTGTACATCATTAAACAGAATAAAATAAAATGTTGCACAGCACCAATTGTGTGTGCTCACTCTTGCCACTTGGGGCCAGCATATTACAAATATGCTATTCTCTGGAACGTTGCAAGTCCTCTCAGCTCATCAGTACGGCACTAATAGTCAAAAGAAGGTGTTTGCAGCCATAAAGGCCTTAGCTGTGTGGTTGCTTGTCCAGGGACTTTTTGGACACGCCTCATTTTAAATGGAAACACATGGGGAAACATAGATCAGATACAAAAGTGGTCACCGTCCCCCCATGGGTTCTTTTGGATAAATAGAAAATATTAATGCAAGACTGAGTTCCGAAAACAAAAGATCACAGGCGGTAGCGGTACAGTAAAGAAACTCCAATGTGTTTTTCTTAATACATCCTCTCGAAAAGGAAGCGATTCTCCCAAGACTAACCTTCTTAACGTCGTGAATTTATTCTGCGAGACCTCACGTATCAAACCCACAAAGTTCACAGTCAATGTGAACCTGACCACTGGACTGGAAAAACATCTCCCCAAAAAATTACATTTAAAAAAAAAAAAAAAGCCTTCATCCTTTTCCAAGCTCTTATGAATAGCTCATGGGCGCCTTTTTTGGTTTGCTGCATGACTGCGGCCCCTGCTTGCTTTGAATTAAGCCAATGGGTTTAATGCCTCCTAGCGAGCGGCATCCTTTTGTTGCTATTAGTTGGGAAGGCCTGATGGGAAAATAATCCTGGACGTGAAAAACATTTGTCTGTCTTCAGGCCTGCCAAATGAGTCAAACTCAACACAGGCCTTTCAATGGGATTATTATTAAAAGGAGGGGACATTTCAAGGAACAACAGAATAAAAACATGGGTCATTTGAAGTATTTATTTCGACACAGTTGTACTTCTATCGCATTTAAAACGTAACTTTATATTCATATATACTTTGTTAAACTCTGCATACGGACACTCATACTGTATGTGGTCATATTCATGATACATTTCACTAGACCTAAAATAGTTGTATAAATTATTTTGTGGTATGTAGTGCTTCCTACACTACGGCTCAAGTCCTTTTTCACATCGAGGCGACTCGGCGTGAAAGAATACTCGAGTCGTGTTTTTGTTCCTCACATGGCAAGAATATGCGTTCAATAACAGGTGTCGGCTTCCCCGGGGTCGAGCAGTACAATAGAAAGCACTGACACAGATCTCCAAACAAAACAACACACGAGCACGTGATTTGGAAGACAGATTTTCAAAATGCTGACACGGACTTGAAATATCAGGTTGAGCAAGTAACGTGTCAGGAGTTGTCAGACTTTGAAAATGTTGCAAAGCCAAAAGAGCTATTTCAGAAACAAGGGCTTAAAAGGCATTTCGATGAAGTGTTAAGAGTTTGTCCTATTCAAAATTTGCATGCCAATATTTTCCCTTTTATTACAAGTATCGGTTATCTGACTACTAAAATTGCGTAGCGGTATCGGCGGGAAAAAAAACAAAACATATCGGTCTAAATCCAGAATAAAGTTGTATTTAAAGTGGTGATCTTTACAGTAACAAAGATGAATTTTGTCAGGATAAAAAGTCATAGCCAGCTTAAGAGCGGCTTGACGTACGTCATTTTTCAGGTTTCTCTCGTGACCTGGAGTGATGTCAGGGCCAGATTGCGTGAAACAGGATGGTCAACGTGTAGCAGCAAGAGCAAAAGCCCCGCATTTTTGAACAGGAATTCAAACGCGGCCGCCGACGCGCACAGAAGCAAACGTGCCGGCTGAAAAGGGGCTGAAGGTTCAAGAGGTGAAGCAGTAAAAAGCCCTGTGTGAACATGGCGCCGGCAGTGAGACTGTGTGCGCTCTCCTCCTCCACTTCTGCTATGGCGCTCATGAAAAGAAGAAACAGATTTCAAATGAAAATAACAGAATCATGGCTAGAATTTATGAATTAAAAAAAATGAAATAAAAATACTGCCATTTGAATGGTGTGAGGATGGAAAGACTGAATATTACAAATATTTGTAATATTTCCTTTTCACGCTATGTTACTTCATATAATAAGCCAAAATATTACAAAATTGGCATTCATTGGAGAATAGTCATCATACTGAGGGGAAAAAAATGAATCTCAATTTTAAGAGAAAAGGTCAAATTATTACCAGAAAAATATTGAAATGTCTCAATAATAAAGTAGAAATGAGACCCCCCCAAAAAAAAAAAAAAAACTAACATTGCAATAAAGCAGTCGAAAGAGTACAAGACAAAAGTCGCTCTGTTATGAACATAAATGACATTAGCTATTAAAAATATGGCAGAAAACTGGCGAACTTCTGTTGTGTTTACGCTCGTGTGGTAATTTTCACATCTACTCGCCACAAGTCTGACATTTTTTCTCGTGAGCAACCCCATTTGTTTTTTTTCCTCGTCACGCAACGCCTTTTTGCCTCCACGGCATGGCCCTAACAACTCGCTGCTGCTACTACTAAAATCAAAGCGTCTTCCCCAAGTGTATCCTCTCAGTACAACTACTCAAAGTGAGCGATCGCGAATGAGTTTGCTGCTAGTACAAACCTTATAACGGCTACTCCTGTAAAACATGTTATATATATTATTTAGTGCTCGCAAGTGACACATATATAAAGCTTATTGTTGGAAAGAATTTTGGGGGAACGTGGCTATAAATGAAAACTATTATTCTCAAGACTTTCTTCATCATCTACAAAAAAAAAAAAATCCTCCTCTCTTGTCCTCAGACTTTGGCCTTGTAATGGCAACAAAGTGACATCACGATGTGTTTCTGGCAACGTTTGGTTGGTGTTTACCCTTTAGGCATCTTTATAAAGTCAGACTGGCGTTTACTCAGCAGATGGTGTGGCAATCCTTGCATGTGTGCGCGTGCGCGCGGTCTACTGCCAGTTAACGTGAGCATAATGTGGTATACAGTGATCCCCCGCTACCTTGCTGATTTTTAATAACATATATATATTTTTTTTTAGATTTTGTTTTGTTTATACAGCACACAGCCAAGTCCGAATTTAAGAGTGGGGCACCTCCAGTGTAGAATCAGATCGTGCCACGTGCATGGCAGAGCTGAGCTCTACTGGAAGAAACGCAGCGCAATTAACGGCAAGAAGAAGAGACAGAGCGACGTGGGAAATGCGGCATAACACATCCCGTCAAAAGCCACGACCGTCAAAATAAAAGCAGTGCACTGGTTGCGGATGCTTAAGTGCTACGATAAACGGGGGTTCACTCTATACTTCATTTCAGCACCGTGCTTTGAACCAGCAATCATTGCGCTCACGTGCCAATCCGATACAGTGCAACCAGAACCAGCCTGACAAAGCGTGTCCAAGTCCACTGTTCTCCTCTTCCACATCTTCTGTTAACGTTCCCTTGCCAAGTCATGCGCTTCTCACACATTTTTTTTCGTCACCTCACAATCACCCCACCACTCTCAGTCTGTGTCCCTGGGGGAAGTAGCGACATGCAAAGGCCTGGGGAGAGAAGGAGGGCAAATCAATGGCAAAGGGAAACTCAAGTCATCTTGCATGGGTTGAGGAACGATCACTTCAAATGACAAACCGGATGCGTTTGATCAAGAAAAATGAGGACGCGGCTTTTTCCGGAAGGACGCTCACCTTCCTTTGTGATCTATGACCCTGCTGCGTTTCAGTCCTCCCTCACCTGTCAGCGAGTTTCTTCAGCGCCCTCTCGATGTTCATTCGATGGCCCACGCGTGTCACGCCCAAGTCCAAGAAATCATCCTTGGTAAGCGAAGGCAAATGAGATCCGTCGATCTCGTTATCAATAAACCGCTCTATGTGTTCGCCCAGGTTCAGGTAAGCCAACCAGTCGGCCACGTCGTACTTGGTCCAGTAGGGCAGAGGTTTGAGAGCGAAGGGTTTGGTCGGCGGGGGCGGGGTGAGGTGGGGGAAGTTGAGGCAGGACGGGCTCGGGGGCAAGTGCAACGGGGAGGAGGCTCCGGAGAGGTAATGCGTGGGGGAGAGAGAGTGGGAGACCAGCAATGGGTTCGGACTCGGCGCGCCTGATGGGGAGAAAAGCGGCGGCGTTGCGGCCGCGTAGGTGTCGCCGAGAGGGAGGCCGGGAGAAGGAGGGGTGAGGGGGCCTGGGAATTCAAAGGGGTTGCTGTAGACGGGAGTACTGGGAAGGATGGGCAGGGAGGACGGCCGAGGAGGGGCGGAGTTGGGCTGTTCGGCGTTATAGATCAGAGGACTGGGGGCGCGGCGTCGAGAAACGGCAGATCGCATCTCCTTCGTGGGACTGCACTGGAAATCGAAAGTCTGCCGCCGCATTTTGGACCGATGCTTGGGCGACGTCGGGTACGGGCAGAAGGTCGGCGAATGGGGAGAGTGCGAGTGAACCGGGGAGGTGGGCATCTGCGGAGAAGGGGAACGGGTCCAGGTGCGTTGCCCCGTTACCTGCGGGGAAGGGGAGACGGAGGGGGTGGCTGACAGATTGGGCGGGAGTACCGCATGGTGTTGAGGTGAGCAAGTGGGCAAGGGGGAGGTGGAGCGGCCGGTAGGCGGGCTGTGAAACGCGTCGCTGAAATCTGCTGAATACCTGAAGGACAAAAACCAAGCATCAAGTATGAACCGGTGATTCATAACCGTCGGGTACTTGAGTGCCACCTTCAGTAGAAACCGGAAACTTTCTGTTTTGGAATTGTTTTTTTTTGTTTTGTTTTTTTAATATAGGGAAAAAATAGCCCTCTGCAACATTGTACTTCGGAAAAAGAGGAATAATGTGATTACATTGAATGCAAAGAATGAATGATAATTAATCTCCAACATTAAAAAGAACCAACCTGTGCATGGTGGGAGATTTGGGGGTTTGGCTCCAGTCGTCCATGCTCCTCATGCTACTCATTTGGTGAAGTTTGGAGCTCAGCTCATTGATGATGCTGGCCTTGACCCCCGAGAGAGGTGAATGGAGCCTGCGCGCGTCCAACGCCACGCCGGATCTCTGGAGCTGCTCGTGTTCCCCAACCTCGCCCCAGCCTGCCGACCGAGCGTCAATAGGCCTGTCCAAGCAGGCCGCCAATGTTGCGCTAAAGTCATCCTCCATTTTGGGCCGAGACTGCAAAAGTTTTCTTTCGTCAGGTAGGGCCCCATCTAGTCTGATATTGCCTGGGATGTTTTGTCTCTGCAGTTGTAGAGGAGCGGGGTTGGTGCTGTTTTGCCTGCGTAGTGCAACAGGCAGGACCTTCCCGGTTCCCTCCTTATAATGAGTCGTCTTTGCAAACGGAGGGTTCGCCAATTTGGTATTCTGTACCTCAAACATTTGTCCGCCGGGGTAGGCTGGAGAAGGGTCCTGCAGCACGGCCCCTTTTCGACCCTCGCCGCCTGCTACATCTCCTCCGAAGCCACTCCTGTCTCCTCTGAGCCCAGTCAATCCCAACATTTCGATATGGTGGTCACTGCTGCTGTGACTGTCCAGCTCTTCAATCCCAGAATCCACCACTGCATCCTGCCATTCTCCACCCTTGGGGACATGAGCATGGTGATGAATATGGTTCGCAGCTCTGGCCCCCGGGCCGAAGCCGGCCGTGGTTCCTCCCACAGTCATGCCGTAGTCGGAGACTGTCGAGGTCGTGGCGGCCGCGCTGGCCGTCATGGTCGTGGTGGCGTACGTCATGGTCGTGGTGAGGGCGGCTGTGCCTCTGTCGTGAGCTGTGGCGTCACGCCCCGCCGACGGCTCGTTGGAGCCACTGTAATACGAGTGAGAAAGGGACATGGGGTGGGGTCTGTGTAGGTTCGTGGCAGGCAGAGCTGGGGAAGGTAAAGACGGCGAGAGAGCGGACTGCGTCAGGGTGGCCACCTCACTGTCGTAGGAGGTAAGGCTGGAGGTGGCGGAGTCCCCGCCCTGCGAAGAGCTTTGAGGAACGCTCGGGGTCTTGGGAGGCGGGAGAGGAGGCGGCGGCGGAGCGGCGGCTCGTTGACTCGCGTTCGGGTAGTAGTCCTTCACTCTTCCATTCTTGCCATTGGCAAACTGTAACGGAGGTGGCAAAGGGTCTGCAAAGACAAACTCCTCATCCACATCTATTGAGGGAGCCGGGGGAGGCAGATGCATCATTCCCAGATTTTCCCCTTTGGTCTCTGCCATCGCATCGGGCGCTGTCGGGACCGAGTACTGAGGGATGTAGTTGGTGTTCGGACTGTTTTCCATCTGCAGGAAGGATGGCCTGCGCGGGGCGGGCTGAGACGGGGGTGGCGGAGGCTGCACGGGTGGAACGGGTCTGCTATCAGGAGCCTCTTTTTCTCTCTCCCTGCTGTTTGGGGAGTAATACTGGCTGGAATATTGGCTGTTTCTGTCCTCTGAGAAGCGAACTCTCAGGCCTTCTCGATGCCCCGGGTCCTTTTCTCGCTCCATCTTCTCTCCTCCTCCCCCCACGCGTAAGATCCTGGGTGACTGAGGCCGACTTTGGGAAGCAGGCGAGGTGCTGGCGGTATTGGTGGGGGAGGTCAAGTGAAGGGAAACAGGGGACGTGTAAGTCGATTGCGTCGGGGTTGCGAAAAGGGAGGGTGTTGGAGTCTGAGTGGGGGTGGTAAACGCTCCCACTGTGGACAGCTGTCGACCAAAGTGTCTCTCCTCTCGGCGAGTCCTGCGGTCATCCTTGAGGGCCCTTTCCCTCGCGGCGAGTGCGAGTCCGAGTGGCGATGAGGGATCCAGAACCTTGCCGGTGAGTGGGTGGATGAAAGTGGTGGCTGGCTGGGAGCCATACGTGGACGGCGCTGACTTGGGTTGTCCGTCCTGATTGAGGACGGGAGAAGAATACTCAGGCAGGCCAAAGGCTGGAGGCATGCTGCTGGAGTAGTGGACATAATTGTCCCCAGAAAACATGCCCTCATCAATGGACTTGGAGGGCCGCAGTCGAGGAGTTGGTACTTCCATGTGTGAGCTCTGTAATGGCTGAATCCTTGCATTTAGTGGTTCCCCGCCTTCGCCAACACCGCCTCCCACCTCCCCCTGCATGTCCTCCTCAGATGAGAGGAAGAAAGAAGCACTTTTTCTTCTCATGTCACGGAAACGTTCCCTCTCCCTGCGTGCGCCTCCGCCTCCAAAAGTCGTACCAGACGCTGACGAGTAGTCTACGTTCTCCAGGTTTTGCTTCAAAGAAAGGGGAGGAGCGACGGTTGATTGAGGCAAGGAGGTGAACGTCGGCGGCTGAGGTGGCGTAGAGGTGAGAGGTGACGGGAGAGTGGAATTGGGGCTGTCCAGAGATGGTTGAGGGGAGGTGCGGTCCTCTGCATCCTGCGAGACTTCGGCTTCCATGCTGCTACCCTGGCTGCTTCGACCGCTGCTGCTGGTGGAGGGCGCTTTGATAATGATGGTTGGGATGGGGATGGACGTCTTCTCTTTGGCTGCGCCGCCTTTCCCACGGTGCTGTCGCTGTCCCTCCTCAACTTTCGACTGTTTAGTCAGAGCGCCCCGACCTCCCCTCCGTGCCGCACCCCTGCCGGTCCCGCCGCTTTGCTCCTTAGCGGCTCCGTGTGAATGATGTGGCACATTTTGTAGGGTTTTAGGTTTGGCGCTTGTTGGTGGTGTAGCGCTACTGTAGCCTCTTCTCAAGCCCCCCATCTTGCCGCCACCTCGCCTGGGTGCCTCTTGCTCCCTGGCGCACAGCCCTTCTGATTGTCTGCGGAGCGTGGTGACCATAACCTGCTGGTTCGGCCCGCCTCCTCTTTCCCAGCCTGACTGATTAGGATGGCCTGGTTGGGACTGCAGCTGGAAGTGGGCTTCAGAGACAGGAGGGATGGGCATGGCAGGACCCCTCCCAGGATGAGGGCCGGCAGATAATGGTGGCTCAGGTGCCGAAGTATTCGGGGGTGGGGGGATTTCTTCCGGTCCTGGCACTGACAAGCTACGAGCCAACTTCATCGCCGGTGGATGAAGGTACTGCCTCTCCTCTTCAGTTATACCTGAGTACAACAATAAAGGCCGTTACAAACAACGTTGAATGAAAGAGCCTGCACAACGACTTCTGAAATGCGTTTCTAATCACGTTACACAGGTATTGACTGCCAGGTAAAAATATCAATCTTTATTTGATATGTAGTCTTACCAATGGATTTCTGACGCATCATGACTGCATGCTGCGCTGGTTGAAAGTGGGCATGGTTGTAAGTAAAACCTGGTCTGGGATTTGCTGTGGACTGCAGCTCGAACGTTGGCTTCAGGTTTCAAAGATAATTAAAAGAAGAAAAGAACATTTTAACATAATTGGAATGCTGGAAGGCCAGAAATTTATGAACACATAATCAAATAAAAACTGTGACTGCTCTTTTTAACACATTACAATATAAAAAAAAAAATCCACCTTAAGTATTGGTGGTGCACCAAAAAACAGTAGATGAATGGACACAACCTGACTCAGACTTAGGCAAATGTGTGGGTGGCTCATTGTCAATCATTTTCAAGTGCTGCGAGGGCAGCAGAGCATCCCCACAGATACAAGACAAAGAAAGGCCGCATGATTAAATCTGTGCGGTTGCCCAGAGCAGAGCAGAAACTCGCTCTTGCAGGAGTGAGAATGAAGTCCACAGCTGACACGTTGGAAGGAATAGGAGTACGTCCAAAATAAATCATGCAAAATTTTAGCATTATGAGAGAACTGGAGGAAAATACCTCATTGGAAACATTGGGAACGATACTCTTGCTCCGGTCCCTCTTGCCTCCGTGACCTCTCTGGCCTTGGTTGTCTGATGTAATCGTGTGCTGGGCAGCAGCCAAGATTTCATCCAGTTTATCTTCCAAAACAACAACAACAACAAAAAGACACATGAAAAGGAGGGTTTCTTGATCCCTGAAGGTGTAAAAACACTGTGACCAAAGTGTTTTTCTTACTCAGTGCCATCTGATAGACTGTCCTCTTCTTATCAGGACCCTGAGAGGAATCGTAGTCTGTGAGAGGGAAAAAAAACATAAAACGAGAGAGGAAAAGCTCACATCAAACAGCTCTTAATTAAGGACTAGGGGCTGATTGAGCAAATGATAAAGCCTGATGTTCACCTGCTTTCTTTTTCCATGGAGAGGCAGCTGAAGCATACATAATTGGGAAATATAAATTAGGTGCGAATCCAAGTGCCGTGTCGTTGGGTTCATATGGCAGATGAAGGGATGGAATACATACTCAGACACAAGATGGTGTGAATGCAGAGGAGGGATGGTGATAGGAACGCAAATGACAATGAGAGCACACGATTTTGTGATTCTCCCACCTTTCTCCACTTCGGAGCGGCACATTTGGTTGAAAGGGGTCGGGGGGGGCGGGAATGGGACAAAAAGATTTGGTAACTGGCGTCAAACAAACAAACAAACAATCATGAACTGTGTTCATATTTCTTGTCACCGTTCGTCCTCACACGTAATTCAAGAACTACATCGCTGTAAAAATGAAAGCGGCACTATGATGCAGATATGCTGTGCAGAGAGATGGTCACAACTCCTCAATAACCTACAGTAATATTAAATTATATATATATTAACACCGTGACACCAATGCTATTCATCAGCCCGTACCCTGGAATTTTTTTTTTTTTTTGTGCCTGGTGTTGGTCATCTCACCCATGTCTTCCAGCTCTGATGTCATTGACTTGGAGCGCAGGGCAATGGCGGGAGGGGTCAGCCTTTTCGTCTGCTGCGGGGCTGCATAGGGAAGCCGGCCAAATGCAGGCTGGATGTTTACTTTTCTTGTACAGTACACACACACACCGAGTCATCACAAGCAACCACTTTGATCATACGCCGACGGAAACGTGCAATCTGTGTTATCGTCGCATCATGAACACGCAATGGAAAAGTGGCGCTAACCTTTCTTTCGAGCAGTGTCCTCCAGCTCGGGGTTTCTAGCAACCATGACAACTTTCACCATTAGAATGTTGCCACCCTGTCGGATCATGTTGACAACCTGCCGGTGTCCTACCTTCACCACATTCTGGCCATTCACCTAAAAAGATCAACATTTGGGATCATTTGCAGATGGCAACTAAACTAATGCTAATATATACATATTTTTTAATGTTGTACTTTTAAATACATTTTAGTCTGTCATTTTTGTTTTTTTACCCAGAAAGAACCCAAATCTGCAACCAGCGGTTTCTGAACAGAGTGTGAGTACTTTTGCCAGCTCTGCAAGGGTCAATTCACTTTGCACGTATTGCTCGCGTGACTGATAAAAATGACAAATTCCAAGTCGTACACACCTCGATGAGGAAATCCCCCATCCTAAGGCCGGCCCTCCACGCCACGCCCCCCTCATCGACGGATTCCAGGTACTGCAGCGCTGGGAACGCTGGCGTCGGAGTGAATTCCTCTATAGGAGTCTGAGCTGTTGTGGATTATGCAGAAAAGATGAATGGACATGAAATTAACGAGTGATGCGACACTCACCTTTGGCTCCCCTAAGGACGAAACCAAATCCCTCATTGTCTTTCTTCTGTAGGACAGCTGTCTTCTCCTTAATGATGTAGTCACTATGAGGAGAAGAAATGGAGAAAAAAACCCATAGTGGAGTCATTTGACTTTTGTCAATTTGAGAGGAAAAAAAAAGTTTAAATGCATCACATTATAAACCCACGCTGCAGCAAAACAAAACACGTCAGCGTCAAAATAAACAGCAGTGGTGCACAATGAGAGCGAGCGAAATGATGGGAGGAAAGCACTTTGGGATGGGATTCCATACTGATCCAGCCTCAGTCGACTTGCGTTCAAGATGACAATGAAATAAACATGTGCATACACTTCAGTGCTAGCGCTGACTTGCAAACGCACCTAAACGGCCGCATTAGCTTCCACAGCCCCTGGCAGCTTTTGCAAGGATGCGGCCTCGGCGACTGCACAGCACCACGATCAGTCATACATACATGACACTTTAGATTTTGTCCAAGTGGAGCTTGGACAGGCCTCTAATCGTCCTCCACAAGCAATTCTTCTTGCTCGAAGGCTACAAGCAAGATTGGCAAAAGAGGTTACGCTGACGCAATCGCCGTATTATTGTTGGCGCTTGGGAAACTGTGGCCCAGCAAGCGTCTTTATGATTCTATTAGCATGTCTGGGACTTTAAGCCAACCAGTTTTCACCACTGCAGGATTCATGAAAGAAATCCAGCTAGATTCTGCTATTTGTCTTTAAAACTCTAAAGGGTCCCACCCCACCTTTTCTGTCTGACTTTCAACACATCTTGAAACTCTGCCATGGTTTTAGTGTCTCATTTGTTCTCAACTTTGTTATTGCTTCGTTCTTTCTAAGTGCACAATTAAATAAAATTGAATGGAGTTCAACAGTAGCGCCACAGGCGACACTGCCACCGTACGTGTGTACGTGTGATGTCATGGTGAAAAGGTCGACAAAAGGGTTCAACTGTTACTGCAGAGTGATGAGGTCCAAAATCAGAAGAAAAAAAAAAGCTTTCTCATGAGCCCCAAAGAATGGAGATGACCAAAGATCCACACAGTGAGCCATAACTTGAGCGTCGAACTGAAGACGATCGCCACTTTCCCTCGCGGAGGTCCATCCCTTGCGCGCATTCGCCAACGCTTTGCCGCCTTCCAGCCATCTGCTCCTCACACCTCATTCCTTTTTCTCCCACCCTGTCCTCCATCACGCGTTCCCTTTCTGAAGATCAAAGTAACACGGAGTGGGTGGACCGATAACATTGGGCTCTTTGCGCATCCACTTGTATGAGGGGGGAAACACGGCCTCGTGACGTCGGTCTTCCAGAAAAGCAAACCTTCCTGAGGTTTGCTTTTATTTTTTTATTAGTTTCTGTCCAACTGCTGAGTATGGAGTGGACGAGTGGGCACAATACACACACACACACACACACACACACACACACACACACACACACAAGTGATGCACTTGATGGATGTCCGTGGCACGCACACGCACACACACAGGATGGAGACGTATCAAATAGTCAGTGCAGGCACATCGGCGGTATACCCACAGGATCCGACGTGCTACGACATAACCACGTTTTCCCTCAATGCTAAAAGGCGCATGCACATTAACACACACACATAGGCATGAAAGTAATCCTTTTGCACAGGAAGGAACACACATCATTAATTATACAATGTGTCTTTAAAGAGACAGGCATAAATAGCCAGGCCCCTATGAATGAGAATCTGCTTCAAGGTAATTGTGAGCCAAAGAGAATGCAATACACCCACATTGTCTGACTAAAATGCATTAATGTGTGTTCTCGCCGCACACGCACGCGCACACACACACGAGCACAGAGTTTAGAGACGCACAAATTGGCATGCAGCAGCGTCTACGATCTAACGCCACTTCACATTTCGTGGGAAATGTCAGAGCTACGCACGCTCCGACACAAAACGCAACGATGACACACACGGAAACGCGCACGCGGGGCGCATGAATTCGCCGTTTGGTTAAAAAAAAAAAAAAAAAAGGACACGGTCTGTCAGTGGCTTTGGTCTACCTCTCCCCTCTCTCCATTGTCCTCTCCTCACATCCATAGCCAGCCAATGAACGAGGAAACAGCCGCTACCTGTAAATGAACCACACGCTCCTGTTTCTGGGCCCCACTGATGGCCACGGAGAAGAGAGGGAGAGAGAGCAATCTCTCTCACCGCATCCCCCCATTGCCATGTCACCCCCACTCCTCCTCCCCTCCCTTGCGCGTCGCACTCCTCCTCTTCTTCCTCCTCCTCCCCCCTCCATCCATCCATCCAACGGGAGCTCAGGCAACCAGAGTGGAGGAGAGAGAGCGGGAGAGGACGAAGAGGAGGAGGAGGAGTGCGCAGGTCTGAACCTTGTATGAGACGCCTTTTGAGCTTTGATTAAAATTGTCCATGTATGCTCTTTGTCACTACTAGTGAGACAATTCCGTGCACGAGTCGAATGACAATGTCTTACTAGTGACATTTTTTTTATCCACCACTGTATGACATACCTGCGCACTAATAACAGATATATATGCCTTACGATAGAATGACAAATCACGAGTAGAATGCCAAAGCGACATGTTGCTTGCGAGGCAAAACAGTGCACTAGATGACAACTGTGTCACGGGCAAAACAAAAAGACAAAATTACAACCTGTTATTATCTCGCGCTTTGCTAGTCGTCTAAAGTGCTGAACTCCGTAGCAGGAAGGACAATTGCATGTCACCAATGTGGCAAAAAGTTGCACTGTGCCAAGTTGTGCCGCTCGCTCGTCAGTGCGCTGAATTGTCGTCCGAGCGAGGACAAAGAGCATACTAGTACATGGAGCATCTCGAAGCAATGCTCAAAAGCGGCTTTCCACAACCCCGCATATAGTGGAGACAATGGAGGAGTTTGACAACAAAGTGCTGAGCGCCGTAGCAGGAAGGACAATTGCATGCCACCAATGTGGCAAAAAGTTGCACTGTGCGAAGTTGTGCCGCTCGCTCGTCAGTGCGCTGAATTGTCTTCCGAGCGAGGACAAAGAGCATACTAGTACATGGAGCATCTCGAAGCAATGCTCAAAAGCGGCTTTCCACAACCCCGCATATAGTGGAGACAATGGAGGAGTTTGACAACATGAGATTTCGAGGATTATATTTGTGTGCGAGTGTGAGAGCAGGGGATCGAAGGGGATGGGTGACGATAACAAGATAAGGATGTGCAAATGTACGCTCTCTCAGCGTTGGTGAATCACAGATTGGCTAACAGCTGATTCCCACCCTAGACTGAGACACAGGCACACGCACACTTGCCGACTTCAGCATCGTGGGGCTTTTCATCACAAACACTTCTCCTAGTTGCTATGTGGAACTTCTGAGCCAGGAAACTTCCAAAGACACTATACAAATAAAACAAAGCCTACCGAACAAATGAAATGGAGCATTATTTCCCCCCGCCCCTACCTAGAAATGGGCAGCTGTTGCGATTTTGAATTTCATTAAATCTCCAGCCCTAATACAGACAAAAACGATTCGAAAAGGGCCATGTCAGTCCCAGTGTGCAAGCGGCTGTAAAAGCCCAGGGTAAGCGCCCTTCACTAGCCCAAGGATGCAACCAACGCTCAGCCTGCTCATGACTCATCATCAGCAACATGATGTATTTACTCACAAAGACATATTCAGACGCACAGCGACTCCCAAGCAAAACATGTACAGCCTTATGTCCAAAAAAAAAAATGTAGCTGGAAGGAGCTGAAAATGACATACATGGCTGAGTTAACTGCAACAACACCCTCCGAAAAAAGAAAAAAAAAAAAAAAGAATTAAGAGAACGCGCCGATTCGGGATGTAGCACAAGGGCAGACATAACAGCACAGCGGGTGAAACAAGTGGGCTTGCTCAAAGACATTGCGTTTCCTTCCTCTCTGCAAATTCCACCGAACTGACAGATCACTTGCTTCCCACATCCACAGACACCATCCATGTTCTGCAGAATCTTCACTGACAATCACTTCAAGGTTGTCACGTGATGCCGGCAGAGACAAATCTTTACATCAGCGCTTCTCAAACTTTTATTTCAAGGGTCCACTGTATAATAAAAGCGAGTGGAAAGGAGTAAAGCGGTGTCATGACTATACGTATTGTAGTAGTCGTGTGTTGGATGTGAGCACGGGCGACGCAGCGAGGTCAGGAAGTGGGGTGGGATGAAATGATCGGGTGGAAAGGAACTGGGCTTCTGCTCAGGTGGAATCTTACCTGGGCCCGTCGGTGCCGTCGTAGGCGCCGACCGTCACGTTACGGAAAAGCTTCCTCTTGGCTTTCCCGCTCCGCGTCTCTGCAAGGCAACCGCATTCAGGAAAACACGTATGGCACCTTTTTGATTTCATCGCTTTGTGTCCGACACTTTTTCATGGCTTCTTTCCTGAATGCGTAGGCCCTGTACATGTGAATCTAACATCATTAACGTGACTTCAAGGATAATCCCACCGTATCACCTATATTAGCAAAGCATAGAATCCAAGCCCCGTACACTTATTTCATATCTAACCCTGCAGACTCATGACAATGTGATCTAGCACCTGCAGAAGGCGGCCGATGCAATTCACCAGAATGACAAATACATTGACAATGCATGAAGCTTTCGTGCAATTTTTTTTCAGGGCTGGGGGGCATCAATTACTCACATTTGTAGTGGTAATCATGTTAGCAGCCCTGTGTTCCAATCAAATGTTGTACCGTGGTCAATTGCTGAAGAAAATCTGTCACTTACAGTCCCCCTGCTGTGCCTTTGCGGTGCCTAACTGCCTTTGGGCGAAATTATCCGATTACATTTTTTTCTCGGTTGCCGCGCCAAAGTTCTTTCAGTTTTTACATCTGACCTGGTCGATTGTCCTTGTTGACAGGTGCCACTTCCTCCACACAGTCTGAGGGGAACCACCCAGTGCGGCCCTTGGCCGTTCCTTCCCAGTATCCCCCCTCGCCGACACTTAGCACTGCCAAAGAACACGTTTACAAAGCTCAGAGAGTATGCGATGATAGTTTCAGTGATCTTGTTTAAGATGAAGCATCTTCCACTTTTTTAGAGTTGAGCTCATCCCACCTTTAACTTTGTCCCCTTTTTTGAGCGACAGCTGTCTCTCTCCACTCGCAGAGTGCGCCCGAGTAGCTACGTAGATTCGCCCTGGTACTGCGCTATACAGTCGCTTCATTTGACCTCCTCCGCCGGCTACAGGGGTCACTCTGTGGACAGAGGTCAAAGCAATGGCAACTGGTCCCTCATTTCTATTTATAAAACTTCACTAGCTGCTCACTCTAAATGCGACAATGTCACACTCTCATGGCAATAATTAGTCGGAAAATGTAAGTGGGACAACTCAAGCTCAGCACAGTTTATAAATGGAACCAAAAGGACCTGATTAGATGGAGAGCCATCGGTCTCCACGGGCTCCTTACCCCTGCCTGCCTCGCGGCTGCCGGTGCCTCTCCTCGGTGTCACTCTGGCCTCCTCTTCCTCGTGATGGCGAACGAGTGCGATTTCTGGGGCTGCTCGTACTTCGCAAGCCGATGGAAGCCCTGCGGTGGCCCTGCAGAAACACATCAATGCAGAGTGTGTAAAACAAGACAGTGCAGGGGTACCTTGACTTATGTCTTTGATTCGGTCGGTTACAAAGATTGTAACTCAAGAACTCCGGAGTTTGCGAATTTGTCTCTTTGCAGATTTTTAGGGAGAACCTATCATCTGTCATTTGCAGCGCTTTGTGCTCAAGCTCGAGTTATGTCTAATATAAAAATACTGCATTGGCCCCATCTGGTGGCATCTTGGTGGAGCAGATTTGTTTGGTCTGGCCATGTCAAATCAATTTTCCCTATCTCAATGAATTAAAGTGCTTTTACCTCCGCATAGCAGTACAACTTCATTTACCTGAGATGGGTTGGGAGCGGTTGCGGCCTTGTTGGGAATAACCACAGGATCAGAATGCGTCATGGTGTTGTCGCTGTTAGCTCGCAGTAAGGGGTGGGGCTGGAGTGAGGGGAGAGGCAACGTATGGGCACTTTCTTTTCGCTTGGGGACATATTTTGGTGACTCCAAAAAGGGAACTAGAAAGATTAAGGAGAAGTGTGTGAAGTGAAGGACAAGAGCAAAGAAGAAAGACTGGGCAAGAAAACCCACCGATGTCTGAATCTTTGTGGTTTTTGATGATTTCCCCGAGTTCAAAGTGACCAGACATGACAGCCAGCTGGAAACAGAAAACAATGTGGACAGCCCATTTCAAAGCTACCAAGTTAAATAACCAATCCAGTGGCACCTCTAAAGTCGAACGCAATCTGTTCGAGGTGCCACTGAAATTGGCAGCTTACCTGAAAAGGGGTCTGACCATGTTTGTTCTTTGCCTCCCTATTTGCTCCCCTGTACAAAAGAACCCGGACACAGCTTTCCTGGTAGAGGGAATCACCATCAGCATTAATAATGCGCTCTATTGGCAGTGGCTTTTATACGAGGGGATTAGTTCTACTTGCTTTGTTGTACAGGGCAGAAATGTGAAGTGCGGTATTCCCTGAGGCATTCTGAGAGGAGGCATCAGCCCCATAAAACAGCAGATGCTCCAAGTGTTGGGCAAAACCGTTCTGGCAAGCCTTTCAAAGTCAAAACAGGGGGACAGTGTTAAATTAGGCAAACGGTGTACGAAAGAAGGAAATAAGAGTGGAAAAACAGCAGGGTAGAAATTCAAAAAGAAAAGAACCTCAAACGTGTTTTTGAATTGACACTGGCAAAATATCATGAGATAGAAATCAGAGGTTTCCTCATATTTTCCTGCAAAGGCTAAAATAATCATGTGACGTGCAGAGTAAAGGGGGAGAAAAAAAAAAAAAAAAGCACGAAGCAGAGCAAACCAAAATAAAATACCATGACAACGAGCTCGCAGCACACATTCATCAGAGTAACACGGAGGCATAATGGAAGGCAGCACTGGCCCTGCGTCTGAGCGTCCGCGTGCACTCGTACACGCACACACAGATCACTGCTACGCATTAGCGGTAATTAGCACCAGATGAGTCATGTTTTCAACAGCAAACAAGTGCGAAAATGTCCACATATTAGGTACACTGTGAGCCTTGATTGGCTCCTGTGAGTGATGATCAGATGCTATGAAAGGTACCTTATGTGTTTCTTCCATTCCAAACTCCTCTTCATCCCTGTGCTATTGAGAGGAAGGAGAGATAGTGGAAAGATGAGTGCACAAAGGCCAGCAGGGTAGAATGTTGATGTCGAGGCGGCGCAAAGGTGAGGCTATAACACAGAGAGATGCAGTGGTGGGGAGTAACTGAGTACACTATGCAGTTGTGCCTTGAGATACGAGTATAGTCCATTCCGTGGCCACGCTCAAAATACTTGTATTGCAGGTTTTCTTTCCTCATTGAAATGAATGGACATACATAGTGTGAGAAAAGACAGTGGCTCAAGAATGTCAAAATATGACCGGAAACCACATGAAAATGAACACGCAGGCTAAATATCAAGAGACAGCTTGTTCCCGTTGTTAAAGTATTCGGGGGAAGCTGTCTAAGAGTACCTGATGGGACTCCTCCCAACCGTTCTCATCTCTGGTCCCCAACTTGGCCCGGTAATAAAGCAGAGTCTCGCAGCAGGAGGTGTCGCCCCCTGTCAGGACGGTGTGGTACAGCGGGGTCAGCCCACAGCGGTCTTTGTAGTTAGGTGAGCTTCCCAACGACAAGAGGGCCTGGCGAGCAAGCAAAAACAACCAGAGAACCGGTAGTCACTTGTTAACAAAATATGTGGAAAGCCACTTGAGCATTTATTTCAATATCCTTGACAGCGATCTTAAGGTCCCCGTACTAGAAGACACTTTGTCCTCTTTCATAGGACAACTTTGGCACTTTGCATTGTAGTTTGGTGCGCTAAATTGAAAAATCCGACTAGTGAGGAGAAGGCGCGTACTCGTACAAAGAATTGAAGTTGGACGTCAAGGACATTGAATGAGTGCCGAAGTGGCTTTCCATACATATTGATGTCACCTTGGAGTCCTTACCAGCAGCCCGGTATGGTTGTGGACCCTGACTGCTTTGTGCATCGCAGTCAGGCCATCTCTGCTTCTAAAGTCCAAATGAGCTCCACCCTGAACCAGAGCCCTGATGCCCTCCACCGCCAGACCCGACTGCGCCGCCACAGTCAGGGGGGTCTCTAGCTCGCAGGTGGGGAGAAAATGAAGGAGTGTGGGGAAACACCACCTGAACAACGGGCAGCCGCTGATTTGAAAACTCACCTCCGCTGTCTGGGTCGTGAAAATTTGGATCGAGACCCTTCTCGAGGACTTTAAGCATTTTCTCTAGTGCTCCAGTCTGAACGTAATCCATGAACTTCTTCAGACTGGCCTGTACAAGACAAGTCAAAGTGCTTTATGTAAAATGGGAAAAGCATTACACAAAGAGAAAGGAAATATGAAGAAGATATTGCAAACATCATCATAAAATGATGACACTAATAGATCAATTAGAGGATAGCGTGCAAATGGTGTTTGAAGAAGAGATTCATAAGAATGCGGCGGTGAACAACAATGTTTTCAGTAACTCAATAATTGACTTACCTTTGCGCAAAGCTTGGAAAGCGCCTTTTCGTCCAGATTTGTCTGCTTATACACTCTGGTTTTGTATCGAAACTGAGGAGCAGACAAAAAGGGTTGCAAGCACAATAAATAAAACCAGCCAATAATATTGAATGTTGATTTGAAGGTTTCACCAGCAGAGGGCGCTGAAAGATCACCGTATCACACCAAGATCACGGTGATTGCTGGGGATTTTTATTTTATTTTATTTCTTAGCTTTTTCTTCCTTTCACATTTAATATTTGAATATTGCGTTTGCTGTCAATTCAAAAGTAAAATGCATCTTGGAAACGAAGTCTGCAATTTACATGAGGGAGAGTTTGGAAGACTGTCAACTACAAGTGTGCTGTAAATAGAAATTCTCCATAGGAACTCGTGGGACAATTTATTCCAGGGCGGAGACATTTGTTTCCTACCTCCAGGTAAGGCACCCCTTTCTCAAAGGACTGCGAGTATTCCTGCAAGGTCCTCTCCTCCTCCAAGAATTTGGCATCCCGGCCTTCCCCCGCCGGCTGGAAGAGGCCATAGTTGTAGACGTCCCACAAGGTCTCGGTGAGGGAGCCGATGATCTGCTGCTTTGCGTTCCACACCGTGCAGTCCTGGTCAAACTGGACACACCTCTGAAAGACACGCAAGACAAAGTGTCTCCGATACCGGTTCTGCTGCAACATCAAATAAAACACAGAGCTGCATCATATTCATTCATTCGCAAACGGTACATTTGGCGCAAACAGCAGTTTATTATTATGATGCACCAACACTATGCCGTCGAGCAAAACGAGGGCTATAAGTAATACAAATTGCTCAACTTTCAATAATTCATCCTCTGCTTGAGTGAACTTAAGAGAAATAAGACCATAGATGGGTAAGGGGGCAAAGTATCTCCCATGTGGTGAATTTGTGCAACAATCCAGCAGAGAAAGAACAAATTAATGCATGAGCGTTTGACACCCACCTGAGACTCATTGGCCACAAAAAAAAAAATATCTTGGAAATATGCGCATGAATGCATTTTTGGAGTTTACGGTCACTGGCGCGTGGGCCTTTCCCTAACACCGTTGCATCACACTACATCCTGACAGCATTTTATCAAGTCTCGAGTCGCACGGTGGGGATGAGCAGGTTCTAACAACAGGGGTCAAAGAGGTGTAAACCAGATCCATCCATGCATCGTGCTCCATTTTGGGGAGCAGTGAGTAAAAACTGCTACAGCTCGGCACAGTTCGACTCCCCCGACACTCACCCGTGAGCATCCACCCCTTATACATTGCACTGTCCGCTACTCATAGGCCCAACCAACTCTATTGGCATGGCAACCACTTCATTAGAGGAGGCAGGCCCCCGTTGCCGTAGCGATATCGCTGCCGCCACAGCACAGGACGTCTAAGATGACATTATAAAGGTATATGTGTGCTCTTATCGGTTTGTCGTGTGGTGCGCGTTATGCAACAGACTGGAGATAGGACTGAGTCCTGATCATCATCATGTCACAGGTGGGAAGGAAGGATCGTCCACGAAGGCTGGGAGAGTAGAATATTGATGTTGAAGTTGATGAGAAAGGGAAGGTTATATCGCAGAGAGAAGCAGTGGTAGGAAGTAGCAAAGTACGCTGTTACTCTACTGAGGGGGGATGATTGCAATTTATTCTGTCCAATTTGACCAGTAAAAAAAAAAAAAAAACTGTTTAAATTGTTGAAAATGCTGTGCTTCCACAATTCAGCGTGACTTAGCTCTCGGGCTTCGCACGTTTTTGGTGATCGTCTTCAACCCTGTATTATGTATTTAGACGTCTCTTTGCAGAGTCTTTCAATGAATCGGTGACTTCTACCTTTATTTTTTTTTTTTTGTATTATCTGTACATTCTACCTAATTACAGCTTGCGCATACTTTCGTCCCCTCTGCTATATATTGCAATATGGAAGTTTGTATTCCCAAGGAAGGCAAGTTATTTGCGCTGTGTTCGCCATCTTTCTCTCATCACTTCAGCAATGTTCCAGAGGTTTAGGTGGGTACTGTACAGCGTATTCCATATCCGAATCCTTGCGTCCCATCCCTCCCCAAACTCATTAAAATCCAATTAGATGATTAGCAATTACTGCTACATTGAGGGCAGATTAGCTGACATGTAGAACAGCCAGCATGTAAAGGAGCTAGCGGGGAGGAGGGGGGAATTTACACAGGGGCACCGTTTTTCACCGAGTTGTGCGATGTGTGGGCTTGTCAATTCTCACCTGACGCCTCTGCACAAGCGAGAACTGCTTTGAGTGTGAATTGGAGCCAGCCAGGTTGGGTTGTTTAAAAAAAAAAAAAAAAAAGTTATTGACCCTTGGGCACATGCTTAGAATGTCTGCCGTCACAGGCGGGTGAAGTCAAGCTCATTATTTTCTCTCACTTGCTTCTGGGAGTCATCACTTGCCAGACTGACAACACTGTCAAACGAGATGTGGTTTAAACAAAGTGTGGAAAAATGGCCCGCATCCCGGGAAAAGCGCCTCAGATTCAAGATGGGAATGTTTGCTCTGAGTCGGAAAGGCCGTGATGCATGAAAGAAGTTGCGTTTTGTTTGACGCTTATCGTTTCATCTCGACATTCTCGAAAGCAAGGAAACTTGTTTTCATCACGGGCCGCATTGTACATGCATTCAACAGTGAATGGTGGCAAGCATTCAGAAGTCAGCCACACACTAATGCGCAGAACTAGATCAGGCCCACGTGCCTCAAGTTTGATTCCTAAATTGTGGTCTCCCTCTAGTGGTATACCATAGAATTAGTGCCAAAGTACGGTGTCCTTGTATTCGGCCAGAGCTCTTTGACCTCTGTAGTTTGTAGCATACAACTTTCGGTCATGGCCTGCCATTGTGTTGGTGGCGACAGTCGGCACCTACTGTTTGCTTGATGTCCGGAATCCCGATGCGGAACACCATCATGGTCAGGAAGGTATCCTCCGTCGGCGCCATGGTGGTCATGCTGCGCTCCATCAGAACTCTTCTCTTGTGAGCCGCATTCAAGCCTGCGCGATGCTGATTGGCCCCCGTGCCGCGATGCTGCGTCTTATTGGCTGTTTGGTGATGGAGGGTGGCTTGATTGGACGTATAAGTGATCCCCCGGTTTCCCAGGTTGCCTGACCTGCCGGGCCGGTCTGCTGTCTGCCTACCGACAACAATGGCTGCCGGTTTGGCCACGTCGCCGACTTTGCCTTCCCAGGATTGTCTTCCTCCCGTCATCTCCTTCTCACCCGGACCGTCTAACTCTCCGTTCTCGATGTGGCGTCCACTTTCCCTTTTGCGGGTTTCTCTGCCCTGCTCCTCATCCTCCTCCTCATCCTCCCCGTCTTTGTCATCCTGACCGGGATAAAAGCGCTCGTTATTTCCCAGCATGGTTGGTGGCGCAGGGGTCACTGCGGAGAAGGCTGAGTGACATAGCTGTCGTGAAGATAAAACACGGCTATCCCGAGAGACGGGGGTCATTCCTTTGAAACATGCTGTGGGAGAAAGGCAAAGAAGTGAGTCAGATTTTAGTCGTGCCAGGTTAATGATAACGTCAACCCGGCAAAGCGAACGGTATGGAACAGAAGCGATTCCCAACCACGGCGCCACGGCACGCGGATGCAATCTGAGGGATCACTAAGTAATGATGTAATGGGCATTTGTTCGTTTACGTCTGCCAACAATTTAGAGAATGTCAAATTAGGGTCATCTGCGAAGGTTATTTGGGTTCATTCGGAAATGTTAGCGTCCGTGCCTCGGCTCAGTAAAGGTTGGGGAACGCCGGAATACAACGAACAAGTATTCAGACCCACACTGAAGAGAAATTCCCCACATAATTGCGTAAAATGACAGCGTGACTTCTTTGCAGTGTGGCCCCGATACTCATTTGACAATGCAGCTTAACAACGCATACCATGTTAGATCAACAAGGCAACGCAACAACAAACTGCCGCCCTCAATGAGCACCGAGCTGGTGGTGCGCATATTCCATTTCGCCGGTGGGGAAGCTTGCGAAACGGCAGGCTGATGAAAGGCAGGCTCGCTAAACATAAACGGTGAACTGGCATCGCAGGATGATCTTTCGCAGGCGAGAATGAGTTAGATACGTAATTTGATATGCAATGTAGCTTCACATGAGGTCAAGTTCTTCAGAGTCGGTGGAGATAATGAAGCCAAGTCATGTTTGAAGCACCACTCAGTGCCAACAGCTCAAATGGTAATGAGGGAAATAGCCACCCCGGTTGCATCGCTCTTTTTAATGGTCTTGTTTTCAAATAAGTGGGGCTGCCTGAACGTACGCCGGAACGTGAAATGTTCTTCTAACCCCATGCTCCATACAATAACCAGCGGGTTACATTGATGACCTTTGTTTATTGAAGAAGTGGCCCAGTGGATCAAACGTCTGACTTTAGATCAGAAGCTTGCGGTATATAAAGTGTGCGATAGTGCAGTCAGTTAAACAGGGGGAAGAGAATTCTGCGTGCCCTTTTCTTTCTCCTTGCAAGTGTTTCCTTGAAGGGATTTCACAGCGCCTCCTCCATATGCCACGTGCGGGTTTTCCCGCATGGCTTTAGGCGCTTTGCAATCGCAGCCAACAGATGCTCGAAGGCGGCCATTCGGAGCAGGGCAACACTCATTGACTGAGTGAGGAGTGTGACATAGGACAGATGGAGCTCAATAAAATATCTCATGACACAACGGGATTTGGGAGATACAACTCCAAATGGGGCACAGGCCCACAATCATGTTGTGATGTCATCAATGCCAAGAAAAGCCGCTGTGCCAAATTTGCAATCAATCCTACTGTAGAACACAGATCCCGTTTTAAGAAACTCACCAGACAGCGTATATTGTACTATGCTCAGTGTGACGACCCGAAGGCTTCTCAAACAGGTGCTGAACTGCAGTCGGGGACAGAAAAACTTCTTTTTGCAATGCAGCTCTAACGTCAGTTGGTGAGCCGTGGGCAATGGAACGATGTGCTTACAAAACTGGAATGCCTAAGACAATAATGGCCCTCCCATCTGTCTGAATTAATACCTTAATAAAAAGAGTGCAGTGACTTTTCGGGACACCCTGCAAAAAAAAATAAAAAATAAAAAAAAAGTGTCCACAACAGGACACTTGCAAAAATCAAACGTAATCACCATGTAAACAAAGACAAAAACAGTCAAGGAAGTGTGAAGAAACGAGGCCCAAACAAAGTGTTTGCTTCAAATAAATGAAATCTGAAGTGTTGGCTCATTTTTCAATCTCTATTTCATCTTAAGCTGAATGATTCTTTAATCACAAGGTGCCATTAAGACGCTTGTTAGCACGCTCAGGGTTGGGGGGGTGCGGCGGGGTTTGATTTATGAATAAAATCTCATCCAATATTGAGCTACATGGACGGAGACTTGCACTCGGCAAGATATAAAGGGGGGGGCTGAGAGAATAGGCAGGAGAGAACAAATTGGCATGTAAAAGTGAAAGGAGAGACGGAGAGCTGTAATTTGCAGAAAGCTGACTAATCCGATTTGGGTACAGAAAGACAAGCGAGAGAACAACGGAGATGCAAGATGAATGAGAAGCAAAAACAAGATTTAGACACCTCACTACGGAGGACTTTGCTTTGCCAGGATGTCCCCCCCATCCCGCTGTCATTTTCTGTTTGGCTCCTTCGTTGGCCAAAGAACGAAGTCACTACTGTCGTATTCGTGTGTTGGATGTGGAGACCACAGAACCAGGAGATCCGCGTTAAAAGAAAATTGAGATCAGGAAGTGATTCATCACGAGAACGACGACAGAGACGGATGCGCTTGCTCAGAACATTGCAAGCAAAGATGGATGGATGGGTGACAACTGTGCAGGGAAGGTGCGCTGACATTTGGCCTCCGAATCAATCTTTGCCATGCACTTTATGAATTCTGCAAGTATGCCCCTGCCCCCGCACCCAAAAAAGGCCATAAGGACTTTGTTGATCATTCGTCATTTTTTTTCTTGGTTTCAGCCTATAGCTCAGGCGTGTCAAACGTAAGGGTCGTGGGCCGAACTGGACACACTTAAGGGGTTGCATTGGGCCTGGAAAATTAATTTTAAAGTAGAGAAAAACATACTGCATTTGCATTAAGATTGTATAAAGAGTTCTATGATTTAATATTAGGCACTTGCTCGTAAGGTTTGGGAGTCAATTTAGGTTCGGAGTTATTATACACAAGTAGGAAATGGAGTGAAAATAATTCAGTACAATAAATGAAATCAAACTGCACGTTTTGAAAAATTTGATGGCGCTCTTAACTCTTTGAACGCCGTTGACATCAACTCCCGTCTTGGCCAATTCTGGTTTAAACTGGGAAAAGATTTCGATTTTTTTTTTTTTTTTTATTTTAAATCAGCAGCAGATGGCAACGTTGGGTCTCTTTCAGATGAGATCACCATGTATCGAAACAACGGGACACTCGTGAGCATGAGCGATCTCTGAAATTTCAACCAGCTTGTGATTGTCGCATTCTAAAAGAGAGAAAAGATGAGAGGGATGATTTAAGTTTAGAAGCAGAAGCGATGACATCATGCAATGGCTACTACCAACAGGTGCGAGGGCATGACAAGAATGAAGTATGTGTGGGGAGTTTTCTGCTCCTGCACCTGCTCTAAAGAGAATATTCAGTCCGGCACAACACGCCGCAAAAAGGATCAATCGATAGGGAATCCAGCTCATATTTCCTTGTTTTGTCAATTTTCTCTATTGCTTATGTAGGCCAGCGCAAGTGTATAGATATATTTTCGGTCGTTGGGTCTCTTTCAGATGAGATCACCATGTATCGAAACAACGGGACACTCGTGAGCATGAGCGATCTCTGAAATTTCAACCAGCTTGTGATTGTCGCATTCTAAAAGAGAGAAAAGATGAGAGGGATGATTTAAGTTTAGAAGCAGAAGCGATGACATCATGCAATGGCTACTACCAACAGGTGCGAGGGCATGACAAGAATGAAGTATGTGTGGGGAGTTTTCTGCTCCTGCACCTGCTCTAAAGAGAATATTCAGTCCGGCACAACACGCCGCAAAAAGGATCAATCGATAGGGAATCCAGCTCATATTTCCTTGTTTTGTCAATTTTCTCTATTGCTTATGTAGGCCAGCGCAAGTGTATAGATATATTTTCGGTATGTCAGTCCCCGGAAAGTAGAATTGGAGATCAACCAAGGAACAGATTGTCCCACTTCTCCGTGCCGCAAAAGTAGAGCGGCCAAGTTGTGTCCTCTATATTGCTCTCTTTCTCGGGCTCCTTAGCCTTCAGCTTCCCCTCGCGCCGTCAGTGATAAGGAGCAATCAAGAGCACTCCGGCCGGGCTCAATCACCGCTCGGACGCGGTGAGTCACTCATGTGCCGGGAGCGGGCCTGTTGTTTGTTTTACAGACGGTGATGTCACAGGTGATCGAGTGATTTCCGGTGACACCGCGAGTAAACGGACCCTTCGTCATTCTTCTTTTTATACTTCTGATTGAAGAGTTGGTGGGGGTGGGGGGGGCTTGTCAAACAATTAGGAGGTGAAGAGAGACATATATAATAAAAAGACTTTCATGCCGTCAATGTGTGGCTCCTTCTGGAGTATGCGTCTTGGCCAGTAGAGGGCAGTATAATGCCTTTATAGGCAAAGAAAAACGGTCACACCTGCTCAGTCAAGATCCAGTAGTATGAGTTGATCTTCACAGAGGATAAGGAATATGCCTATTAGTAGTACAGTATTAATATTGTTCATTGCTTAAAGGGTGATAACGCATCTAACCCCGGCTATGGTGTTCCGCATTGTGTGTTAGCATTAAGATAGGAGCAAAGTTAGGTGGTGTTTGGTCAAAAATATAATGCGCAATTCTGTGTTTTATGTTTAGGTTTCAAGTGAACTTCAACTAGGAATGGAAATAAACAGCCATGATGGGTAAAAAATATGCAATATGCTGCATCGCTTCCCATGCTATAGCCAGGTAACACAATATTGTTATTTAAAAAAATAATAATAATAAATAAATAAAAAATAAAGCTTTAAACATCAGAAGGAATCATAAGACGACTAGCATCCTAGAAGACAGTTTATAATTCTCTCCACCCAAAGATGGAATAGCTCTCAGCAAGGCAGCGCCTCTTTATACGCCGCACCAACAGACATATTTGTGTTTTATCTATTTAATATCTAACAAAACCACGCTAATCTTGCTTCTCAGTAATTACATGGATGATTGCATTTGTTACCCCTGGATGTCCTGATCAAAATAAGCATGCTGGATCTCTGAGCTGACTTCCGGCTCAGTCAGTCTTCCACATCCTCACCTCACCAAGGACGGTTATTTTTAGGAAAAAGGCTCACCTGCCAAGTGATACTCAGCTAGCCCCCGCCCCCCCACACACACACACACACGAGACAGAACCTCAATCACATCTGTTTTATCAGGAAAAAAATATAAAATAAAATTTAAAAAAGGGGGTCGTGGGGGTATTATGGAAGCCCTACGGCAGGACAGTCAGCCCGAGCTTGGGTGGACGTCTCGTGTTGATAAAAGTGGGCTATCTTTCCCTTCAGACTGGATATAATTGGGTCAGTTGGATGGGGCGCCGAGGGCCTCGTTTGGGCTAAACTTGGCTGAAAGGGCTGGAGAGACCTCAATATAGAACACAATGGAGGGTTATCGCACTACCCTGTTTACGCTTTACTTCCTAACTACTGCCAATTTTCCACCGCTTGATTTCTCTTTTTTGTGTGTGTCATCCAAATTTGAACGTGGAGAGCGACTGCCCACCACACCATGATGCCACAAGATGGCGCCAAAGCAATATTGTGATATTAGACCAGGCTTTGGTCTGAGCACAAAACTTAAAAGAGGATGGGTTCCACCAACAACAAACCACAAAGACGCTTAACACTGACCCGGAGCCATGAATATCACTTAAAGCCTTAATAGCGGTCACAGACAAGCTGATAAGATACATGGGAGCAGTCTTTCTAAATGGCCACATATAAAGTGTTGCACAGTGACAGATTCACTTACCTGGCATGCCCACTCACAAAACGGTAACAACAAGTGACAAGAGTCAGCACGATGCTCATAAAAGCTGTTAGACACGGCCGCCAGACCGAAGACGGCGCCGCGGTGGCTGTCGGGCTCCATTACGGATTGCACATCTGCCGTGTCATGTGATGTCATGAAACGCACGGGCGCAAAGCATTGACCGCGTGGTGTTATATACACAGCAGCATTCGGCAAACAAACATTTTCCACACCTCAAAGTTTCTGTTAAAGTGAATCAAGAGAAGGGTGGGGTGGGAGGGAGTGTGAATAAACAACACGGTCGCTATGCTACGACTTACAGCTCCTCTACATGTTGTGGAGGCACGTCGCCATGGTAACACAGGGTGAAGCTAACATGAAAGCAAGGCAGATAGCGGACTGTTATGTGGACAGCTTGTTCAGTACACTCACATTCATCAAAATCATGCTACCATAGAGTTTGAATGTATTATCGTTTCACCAAATCTATTGAAAAGCTTTAATGCTACTTGCAACGTAAAGCGTATAGTGTCTCTGTTCTTGGCATAATGGCATTTTAATTCATTTTAATAGGGAAAATTGATTTTTCTTTTTCTGGTGTTTGCACCTGAAACAAGAACCCCTTGAGAAATGTACTAGCAGGCTTTTTTTTTTTTTTTTTTTTTTTACAGTCCAAATAGTGTCAGTAAAAACTAAAGCTGAAGCTTGTTTGCCTCAATTTAATGGTGGATGTGCAGTTTGCCGTTTTCAAATGGCTGACAGCTCTCCCCAGGGGGACTCAACCCGTATGTGAAGGAGGAGGCGGAAACAGCAAGCGTCTCCTTTGGTCTTACGGTAATGAGCGCAACAACGAGGCGCTCAATAAGTTCATTAAAAATCATATTGGAGGATAATCCTTGCCTTAAATTGTGAACCTAGTCACAAAGTGCATGAATGGGTGTTTTGCTTTGATCGCGCTGCTTAGTAGCTGAAGCCCACTTTAATCCCCCCGTGAGAGCGAGCGAGTGTGGGAGCATCTTGGCGTGATTTTTTTTTTTTTTGCATTTCTGCTTGACAGGGCTGCAGGTTGCTGCTAATAAGAGCAGAGTTGGACTCTTCCACGGCAGTTAGCTGTCACTGGAAATATTTTCTGGCCGTGTCCATCCGCACCATCGACATTCCACATATGCTGCGCTGTCAGAACACTTTATTGACCCCGGCTGATGGACAGACGCTTGAACGTGTGTTTTTTCCCAATATTCTCCGTTTGAAAAGCGATTTAAGCATTTACCGACACGTTTTTTTTTTCCACCAACAACCGAAGAGGGTCACAGACATGCACGCCGCCATCTTGGCTAGCATTAAAGCGACTGTCCACAGATGCGCCACATTAGTAAAATGAGGAAAAACAGGAGATGCGAATGCATTCGAACCAAACCGGAAACTGTCAAACTGGAGCGTTGAAATGGTTTTCAAAAAACGCTTTACTGTACTAGTACATGAACATCCAGTTGGCTATCGAGGATAGTGAATAAATGCTCCAAGGTGCTCAGTAAGACATCCCTCTTCTGCATCTTTTTTTTTTTTTTTTTTTTTTAACTCCACCTTTTTAACCTTCACACAATTGTGTGCCAATCTCATTGTCTTTTGTCGTTAGACACAAATGTTGCACATAATCACTCTGCTTCCTTTCTCAGCCATTGATAAAGTAGTCCCCTTTCTTCTATTTTGGTCAATTGTTGTGTGCGTTTGAAGAGGCCATTAATCTTGGTGGGCACACTGCACACTAAATTCCCCCGTTTGTTTATTTTTCTTTTCTCTCCAAATAAATCCCCAGAGAAGCGCTTCTGCAAAAAGAAAAAAAGGAAAGCTTTTGAAGCCAATTTTGCTTGCTGTGCATTACAGCGTGTGGTCTTAGGAGGCTTTGCAAAGTCAATTAGTTGCACAATGCAAAGATGTTACGCACTTTTCTGCCTATGTGTGCATGTATTTTTCTATATGTTCAGGAGTAGGCCCACGCTGGGAAAACCAAAGTATAAAGTTGTCCAATCGCAACGGTAACTAGCAGGCACGTCGTAGAAAGGTTGACATCATATGACCGAGTGTGGTCTTGAATCTCAGATTAGCGCACTTCTTACTCTATGCTGCCATGATCTTGAAACATTTGGACTTCGCTTTCATGGCATCTGATGATGTCGCGGAGCACATAAAACGACGTACACGTCAGGAAAGGGTCTCACCTGTTCATTGAGCCGAGCAACTGCTACCAAACGCAAAGTCAGAATCCTCCGAGAAAAACCTGGTGGTTTTACAGAAGCAACACGAGTACCTGCGTTGCGATGACTGTTGAGGGACTTCCCAAGTTCCACTTTATGTTGAGTTTTCAGGAAAAAAAAAAGTTGAGATATGTGGACAAAGTTGTCATTGATTTTGTCCGTATTTAAAATGTCATTTTTTTAGGCCCTATATGGCGGTGCCAAAAATGTTGGGAACCGCTGTCGTGTCAACGATGTCATCGATTGTAGTCGACCACGAGAAAAATCTTATGTCGTTTGAGTCAATCTTTGTTGCGGAACAAAGATTGATTCAAATGTCCAAATAAACATAATACGCGACGTATGATAATCATTGTTTAACCTGCTTGTGTTGCACAATCTAATGTATGCAATTGTAATTCATTAAAAAAAAAGAGTGATAGGTTACATGTAAATTAGTCCCACAGGGTATAATTACGGCCCAAAAAAACTGAATGTCATTTAGATGGATGAACCTGTTCACTACAACTTCCCTCAACTGCAGGTCAGGGAATACTGTGAATGAAAAACAACAAGCAACGAAGATTGCATTCATCTGTCTTGGTGCGAGCAGCGTGCAAATAACGACTTTTCTTTGTGGAAATTTAAAGTCTCTGTCCCACTTTACTCCCGGTGCCCACCTACATAAAACATGTGAATCAGCCCCCAGAGGACTCATTCTCCCTCCTGCTCAGTCACATATTCTGAGAGTAGAGTTATACTCTCAGAACACCTTGCAGCCCCGCACCCAAAAAAAAAAAAAAAAAAGTGCTTCTGCTATTTTTTATTTTTCTATTCGCGGTTTAAACACACAAGGAGACATCATTTCACGCAAAAAAACGGAAAGTCACAATTCAACACATTTCAAATCACTTTAGAACATAAGTGAGAAGAAAATAAATACCTTTTACTTTGCCTGTGTTGTAGTTCAGGTCGCATCCGCAAACATTGCCTTGCAAACCACAAAGACAGCAAAAAATGGATTAATTAATCATTTTGTTTAAAAAAATCAAATATCCACTTGATTAGTTTAGGGAAAGCATGCTCATTTTTGACACCATTCCCCCCCCATTCCAAGCCTTCCGGTTCGTAAATGTGCATCGACGTGAAGCAGCCTGAGCTACTGTAGTGTGCGGTCTGTCTCGCTTTCACTCTCTCTCACACACGCACTCTCACATTCACGCGCGCGCACACACGCGCACGCACACACACACACACACACACACACACACACACTTTCACCTCTTCAGTGGCCCAGTATAGTGCTGGCTGGCGTTCTCTTTCTCTCTGTACTGATGCACCACCATCTAACTTCCATTGTTGTGCTCATTATCTTCGTCTCACACACACACACACACACACACACACACACACACACACACACACACACACACCATCATACGGTGTGATTTCCTATGATTTATTTATTTTTTATTATGGTACCATCAACACATAGATATAGAAAACTGCATGCCATTTTGTTTTGTTTGTTTGTTTTTTTTTCGAGGAGCTTATTCTAATTACAGTTAGCGGATGTGATGTTGCTCTTCAAATAAGCCAGCAAACTTCATCTGGGCCTAAAAAAATCAATGGCAGTTGTATGTGAAAAATCACAGGCAAGGTTCACACATTTACTGTATATGCAGTGTTAATATTCAAACTGCATTATGTTATAGCAGCGTGCAATATTGAGTTTGTTTTTCTTCAAAATAAAACCTACAGTAAGTCTTGTTTTTCGTCAACACTTAGGCTTACTGCGCTGCTGTATTTTAATTTTAGTCACGGTGGTGGTAAAATGTTTGAGAACCACTTGCTTGGTCATATAATAATTAAAAAAAAAGGTTAGAGCATTAAGTCAGCGTATTTTCATATAGAGGGGAAAATGAGTAAACCTGTTTTGAAAAATGTTGCTATCATTTGCTTTTTTTCCCTCTGTGAAGTGGAAAAACAGATTAAAATCATTGTGTGTGTGTGGGGGGGGGGGGTCCTGATTTTGTTTCAAGGCCATTATCAGCCAGCTGTAGTTTTCAGAAGCCGGTATGAAAGCCACCCTCATAATTACTTAACGCTTGCTTTTAGAGCTTCTCAAAGTGAGAAGGACGAGGAGAGAGGGAAGGGGACACTGCAGAAAATACATTAACTGGCCCCAAAGTACACTTGTGCGTGCATGAAACCTGCAATATGCAACCTCTAAAGGGCAGCAGAATGTCTACGTAGTGACCCTCCAGAAGAGCATGAGTGGCTTTTCTCTTTTAATGGGTCTACTTATTCTGTGGGTCTATTACACACACATTTTGTTCTCACCTTCTACTGCCTTGGTTTCCTTCATGTGCCGATCCCTCTCCTGTTATAAGAAAAAAAAAGGCAAAATAAGGACAATGAATGTGGGTCCGTAGTTTTGAGGAAGAGTAACACAACATTTTTATGAAGTGGTTGATTTAAAAATGGCTGGCGGAAGCACTTGCGCTCAGCTAGGCTAGGCTATGCTAGGCTAAAACCTACTGTTATCCGGAAGGTAAAGTAGCATTAGGCATTTTAGCATAAACCTATTCTGTTACCAGCAATGTTGTTAAAACCCATAACAATACGTTTATACAAGCAGTTATCTTGTCTTTTCTGTTTGTTTACTTTGTTTTGTTGTGTTTTATTTCAAATATTTGACTTACCTGGAACATCTTAGCATCACACACCTGTGAACTCACCAGAACGCCACTTAGCAGAGAGCACGTGGGAATCTGGAACGTACCAAGTTACTGTTGGGATGGAGGGGAGTTTTTTTTTTCCCCCTGGAAATACATGATCACTTTGAGAACATCGGTTAAAATTTTTGTGTGAAAAGAGCTCTGACAGAGAGCAATTTTCACCAAAGAACTTTATACTAATCATACCGATGCGAATAATCCTGAAATTAATCCCCCCTATCTTGAAACCAACCCCCCCACGAAAAAAGTTATATATTTAGGGAAGCACATTGTATTAAAATGATTAATTTTCCGTTTGTATTTTTTGTTTGTTTGTTTTATTTACTTGTTTTATAAAATCTTTTTTGTCTCTCTTTTTTGGAATAATTTTGTTTGCTGTATCCTTGAATTTATTATTTTTTTTTTTTTAGAAAAAAAGACATTCCTAAAAACTGAAGAAAGTTTTTAAAATGACTATTTCATAACGTCATTCGTATTAGTCTCGTTGCTTAAATAATAATATTACTGGTACACAGACTCCCTCTAGTGCTACCTGAATGAAATAAATGTTCAAACTCCGCATACTGGTACAGTGATATATAAACTTTTTTTATTTTCCTATTATTGAAACACAGTATAGCATTAATCTTCAATTTGTGCAGAATCTTGCCAGAGCAGTCACTACGTGTAGGTATGCACTGTTTAAAATCGTAGAACATAATGTGTTTTTTGAGGACTTCGGGTGATAAATTGACCTGTTGAAATCGATCTGAAATATTTTGCTTTATAAATGTGTGCGACTTGTTGGGTATTTATTAAGTATGTACAGACCACTTCCAAGCAGGGGACTTTCGCATTCATGTCACAAAGCTCATGTGCTCCATCATGATCAGCAATTTCAGCCAAAGAACAGAGAAGGAATGATTCATGGCCTGCGAGGATTCTTGCTGTTTGCCGTCTCTCCCTGCATGCGCTCATTAAACACCACCACATCAGGCAGTCATTTGTTACCCTCACTGCATTGTTCTTTTTTAACTCACTGAGCAATCCGTCATGAGGGTGTTCATCTTGAATAAGTGTTATTTGTTTTCTCATCACAGAAATTAACTGACTTCCTCCTGCCTTGTAAACACCTTTTTTGTCCTTTTGAATCGGAGAAGACAGCGACTGCACAGATGAGTGAGCTTGCAGCAAATGGGATTGTGTTTGTTTGGAAGGCATCTTTGGAATAGATCACAAGATGTGAGCGATGAGTCAGAATGCATTATAGGGGCTCTTTAACACAAGAGTCAGCCTGTTTGGACTTTTGTTTTAAAAAAACAAACAAACAAACAAACAAACAAATAAAAATACCAATTTACTTGTTTGCTTTGTGTCAGGCTACATTACTTACCATGTAGTCAGTCTCCTAGTATTGAAATGTTGCTTTGTCAATGAACAGTTGCGCAATGCTGGCCTCTGTTGGCCATAAAGTTGATTACTCCATAAAGCAGGAAATATGAGGAATGGAAACCATGACAGACAGAATGGAAGTGGGCTTTTAAAGATGTCAAGTCTCTGTTTTTGAGTTTCCTTACATATCTGTACTTGACTATCATCCTCGTCAATGGCGCGCCAAGGTTCAACTGCGCATGGCAGGTTCAACCCTGTCAGTTTGCCAGATGAATGCGCAGGATAATCCCATTGATTTCCGTGCTCAGAGCAGGACCGTAAGGTGAGCCATTGAGCCGCAGCCTAAGTGCCATCATAATCTATTTTTCCCTTTCTCGCATAGCCACACACTTATGCTTCAGCTTGCCGATCAATTTGCTGTCTAGGGAACGTTATGGGCGACGTTATGGGAAAGCGAAAACCAAGACCACCACAGAAAAGAAGCGGAAAGATGAGAAATGAGGGGATGGTGCCTTTGCAGTGCACGACGGCGCAGTACTGATCACTTCGAATGGTTAGCTTTAGATATTGAAATGAACACTGTAGTATATAAATATATATAAAAATGATAAAGGAAAAGAAATGAACACTAAAATGGTAAAAATAACATTTAACAGTTAATAATCCAGTCAGTGTTAAACAGAGATACAATTCCCAAATGTCAAACAGAATAGATTTGATTTCAAAACCTTAGTTTGGGGCGACGATACATTTTACAGCTATTAAAAGAGCATTTCTCATACAATCAGATTTGTTGTCTATTCATTTCTTGCCTGTGTACAACTTCATTTGAGTAGGGGATGTGACACAAAGTAACGCTGCATGTGTTGGCTATTTGAAATGTGTTCGAATATACGAAAAGCATGCATTATTAATGCAGCTTGGACAAGGACAAACTCAAATGCCGTGTTCAGGTTCCTTGAAAGTGGCAAACTATTTTCTGGTCTGTTTTATCAGCGTGATTTTCCATCGTCGAGATTAAAAACCTGCACCTCAAAAGAGTCAGTTCAACAAGAGGTTCCCAAACTTGGGTTTGGGGGGGGGGTTCAAAACAGTTTGAGAATCCTCGACTTAAACCTCACAAAGACGCGCGACTACCATTTGCTGGTGTCCGAATCGTAAACTTCAAAGTACCGTGCAAACCACATGGCTATAATTGGCACAAGATGTCTTGAAATTGTGCACGAGGAGGCAAAAACGAAAACCATTATTCCCCCCAAAGCCTCTCATCAAAATAACCGAGTGGTTTTATATTGCTTGAGGCATACAGATGAGATTTCCATCCTGTTTGTTCAATTAGAAATGTCTACGATAGTTAAAGAAACACAGGCCTTCTAAGGCCTAAGACACGATGCAACCACACACAAACACACATCGTACATTGACTAATGTCCATTGTGCAGTCTCCCTCCACCAGGCAGTTATATTTGCGGGCAGACTTGTATAGAAAACTGATCCACGTGGAATGGAAACCATTTGAAAGTTCCACCCGCCACCGAGTGAAGCTGCTCTAGTTGCTGTAAACATTCCCAGCTTGATTTGTTTTTTTTTGTTTTTTTATGTCAGCTCCGCCTCTCCATCGTAAAAGTAATTGTTGCGTCCGGCCGGCTGCACGTACTCCTCCGTTTTGTCCCAGTCCGACACCCAGCCACCTCCCGCGCCCCCGTTGGGGTCGGCCCCCTGGGTGGTGGCCCCGTAGCCGGCGCTGCCGCTCGTATGGTACAGCTCCTCTGTCTCGTTGGCCAGCTCGTCCTCGTCCAGGATGCCGCACTTCTCATCGCTCAGCTGCTCCGGCTCGGCCCAGGCTTGCTTCTCGCCGGATGCAAAGAGGCCTTTGAGACACAATGAAAGCAGTTTGGCTGAGAAAGCACTCTTATTTTTTTTTCATCGGACAAGACTCTGACTCATTAGCTTAACAGTGAAAGGAAAACAATGCGTAGAGGCGACAACAATAAAGTGAAGAGCTGGGGCCCCAAAAGGGAACCCTGTAGAACACCGTAGGGCAGTGTACTCTAGAGCTTTGTGAAGCATTTTATGAAATGAAATATACTTACTTAGTTGAATCAAATTTTTTTTTTAACCTAAGTATCTGTGCTTTTAACCCAAGTACAGAGTGTGGCAACATTATATCTACATACCGTAAAATATGACGCCTCCATAATGAACAAGAGAGGCAATGAGAAACACACCTTGCCACTCTTCACGGGTCTACAAGGAAAAAGGAAAAGAGCTTCAGAAGAAGCGTTTGCTCAGGGGTGTGCAAAGTAGGAACAAATACGCGGCAATGGTTGCTTACCTTATGTTTTGTCATCGCACCAACTATAAGTGGGCAAACCATACCAGACAGTGTGCCCACCCCGTTGGAGATGCCCATGAGGATACTGGCGTAGCGTGGTGCAATGTCCAAGTGGTTGACATTAAAACCTGAAGAAAGAAAAAACAATTTAATTAGTACCGGTACTTTTATTTCACGTCTTTTTTTTTTTTTTTTTTTTTTTTAAATAGCTGCACCTTTACTTGGGTACAGAGTGTGATTATGCTTGCCACATTTGTCTTAGTGGATGAAACGGGTGACTTCACCTGAGATTGCAAAGCCCGAAAATCCAACAGCCAGAACCAAGAAGGAGATGGCCACGCCCTTTGTGTGCGAGAAGCCCACCACCAGCAGAAGCGTGGCCTCCATGCCAAAGCCTGGAAAAAGAAGAAAGAAGAAGAGAAAAAGAAAGAAGAAGAGTCGATATCACTGTTGGCAATGACCTCAAGCTTCCTGCACACTGAACTGCCAATGCTCTCCATTTCACCGCATTATTGATTGCATCTGCTGTGCAAAAAATAACACGCACCGAGTCACAGTGCCCTCCACACAGCTAAATAAACTCAATTTTATTGCGTAATGTAGACTTACAGCAAAACATTAGCCCAACAAAATGCCAAGACGTTTACAAGTATCAAAAAATGTATTTTTTAAGACAGCCCAAAAATACCGAACTGTGAATATTAAACAGAAAATGCAAAATGAATTGAAAATAATATTGACGTTAGCCCAAAATAAACCCAACATTGAAAAAAACCCAACCACAAAGTCTGAGATGAAAAATGTCAAAATGTGTATTTTATGCACTCGAGGCATATCAAGTCATTTCAATGGGTAAAATTGATTTAATATCCGAGTCAAGTGAGTGAGGAAATTGGTGAGGCAACGAATTTAAGTTGCAAGCCAAGCTAGCCGTAACTTGCTTGCTTTGCTTTCCTTACCGCCACAGTTCATGAGTTTCCTGACATTGGTGGTGGTCATGATGTGGTTGGAGCGCAGGTAGTCGGCAAGCTGGCCTCCGATTGGCACAATAATGGTCATGACGAGGTGGGGGAGAGCTGACACTATTCCCACCTGCATCAACCACAAATAGAGAGAGAAATCAGCACTGACTAAATTATCTATTGGTATTTTTTTTTAGGCCGCATTCGCGACAAGTCATTGTTTTATCCGAGAACATGAAGAGGTAGCTAGCATTGACCAGCCATTCATCCTACCAGAACAAGGTTCATGGGAACATGCTCCAATGGCTTTTCTAATGTTCTGACCTGACGAACAATAAGCGCGCAATTCGCTCATTGGAAATTCAAACGGTCACCTTGCTAATCTCGAAGCCAAACACCTCCTCAAAGTAGGCGGGCTGACTGATGAGGAGCAAGTAGAAGGTCCAGCTCCTGCAGAAGTTTGCCACGATGATGGCGTACACCGGCATGGATGTGAAGAAGGCCCGCCATGGTGTGTTAAATTTCTGGAGCGCAGGACAACTGGGCAGTTATTGACATCCGGCGGCTGAACAGCAACGAGGAGATGACAGAAAACTCACCGACACCGAATGTTGAGCTGACTCGCCGATGCTCTCTTCGATGTATTTCCTCTCCTCCTCCGTGATGGTGGGATGGGCAGCGGGACTTTCGTAAGACACCATGATCCAGAAGCAGTACCACATGATGCCAAAACTTCCTGGCGGGTGGAAGGAGGTCAAAAAGACCCAAAGGAATCATCATTCCTTTTGCTGCCCGCCGCCTTAAATTGTGATATCTGAAATGCGCTGGCGAGCTTCATGCCACAAAGACTCATGTGAACAGAGTGGCTTACCGTAGACATAGAAGACTGAGGACCATCCTGAGTACTGGACGAGGATTCCAGCCAATGGCATGGCGATCACGGCACCCGCGTAAGAACCTTGCATATAAAATAAATAAGGTCATTGACTGGTTAATCTGTACAATTGATAAACAGTACCGTTAGTCTCTTGGTCGAGATGTACCACTTAAGCAATACTTCCTTGAAATCAATCACTATTTTTCTATTGGCGGAACTACTGGCGCCATCTGGTGGCGTCATATCTGAAAACAAACGACAACAATTGAATGAGGCGTACTGTACCGCAAAAGGCCGTCGTAGCCAGGCGACTTCTTTCGAGAGGGGGCGCCCATTTGGCCCAAATGCCGTGACACGCCGGGTATGACACTCCCTGTAGGACGTTAATGATGAGCGACACAGATGAACACATACAGGAATTGTCTCTTCTATTTTATGCTGAGCAATGATTCAAGTGTGAACATCTTGCGTATGGATTGAAAAATATGTCTGAGTGAGTCTCCCCCCCAAGCCGTCTTTCTGTCCTTTCTTTGCTTTGTGGGGCAGTGAGCTCTCTGTCTTCCGTTGCCAAGGAAACAGGATGATCAATGTGGTTAGCATGTGATCATTTTTATTGCGCTTTGGGGTGCAATCATCCAAATTCTGCCTAGCAACAACGAGAATCTTTTCAAACGAATGCAGAGTAGAGATTGAATTGCAACATTGTATATGAATCTCAAATTGTCACAGATTGCGGGATCGGAGCGCGTCACCTCCACAAGGCCTTGAAACACCCTGACAATGATGACACAGCCAAAGTGCATGCGAGCTGCCGCTGGGATGAGCATGTTGAGGAAAGAAGTGGCCACGATGGCAAAGCCAAACACCCTGGAAGGAAGAGAGGGAGGAAGAAGGAAAGACCGCGAGACGAAGACATTCAAAGAAGCGGCGTCAGGGGCCAACCTGTTTGCAGCAAACTTTTGACAGATGAACCCTCCTGGAATTTGCGTCACGATGTAACCCCAGAAGAACGAGCCGTGGATCATTCCCACCGTCTCCGGATCCCAGTCGAACTGAGCTTTCTGCAGCGACACGGGGGCGGGGGTGGGTAGACACCGAAATAAGTCATTCTTCACAGAGGATAAAGAATGCGTGCCTGTGAGTATTGTTATATTTTCCGTCTACGAGTTACGGCACCGTTTGTGTTCAAATATCCATCGCCGAAAGGGTTGCGCCGCCGCCACGGCGATGCTATTCCTTCGCCCACCTATGGCGTTTTGCATTGCGTGTTGACTTTTAAGATGGCATCTCTGTCCCCTACTCACCACTATGACCTCCTTGTTGTCCCTGTAGACGGTGTGGCTGTTGACCATGCTGACGATGGCCACGCCCAGGTTGCAGCGGATGCCGAAGGAGATGCAGAAGCCGATGCCGGAGAGGATGGCGATAATGTAGCGGCGGGGCAGGCCGAAGCACGTGCAATCCACCACCGGCATCTCCTTCTCCTCCACCAGCTCCGGCCGACCCTCGGCTGACAGCTCGATGGTCTCGCCATTCTCCTGCTTCTTCTCCAGAGCTCTGGGAACAAGTTGAACGGAGTCATTTACGTCTATTACGTTTTGCATCGTAGTTAGCATGAAGCCACCAGACTTCCGTTAAGATGGCTGAATGTTATTCTGGTTAATTCTCTTCTCTGTGTCATTTTACAGGAAACAAACAGCTTGATTCAAACACGCTTCGCCTGTTATTTGGAGAACCGTGCGAGTGAGTCTTCCTTGCCGTCGGGCAAAGTGATGTTATATGATCCCCGTTTCTTAACAGCAGGAGAGTGAGAACAGGCCCTAGGGAATATTTTTTTAAAAGAGTTTTAACAAGTTTGGGTAAGATTTAGTAAATTACGATGTCAAATATTGTGACTGTGTACTTTATGTATCGACAGTGGATATAAAAATTCTACACACGCCTTTTCAAATGCCTAGTTTTGGGACTTTATTTTTTTTTTTTAAAGAAAGAATAATAATGACGATCATTTCAAAAGTTTTTTCACCATTATTGTGACTTCTAATGTCGACTTTTGATATCCACTGCGGAACTACTTGCACTTCAAATAAAGTTTGTTGTTCGGTTGGTCGATCGGCCAACCGAACCGGTGTCGATCGGTGAAAAGCAAAGCCAAGAGGTTCCAGCGTGAGCTCTTTGACTTGAGTCCACACTGATGCTGATCAAGTATGAATAGATTTTCTCAAGTATGAATTATTAATAGCACTGGATGCCTTGAACTATTTTTGTCTTTCTCGCCACACTTTTTTTCCCCTCTCTTCCATCTTGAAAGCAAGGCGGCCCCTGCCGTTCATTTGCCAACTCTCCTGTACTGTGACGCGCGATGCTGCATGCTCTCTTTGGTTTGACTCGTCATGCCTTGAGCATGAATTAAAGACAATCCGCTGTAATCCTTGCAGGTTACTTTACCCGAGCTTCCCCCGACTAGGGCATGCATATTTTGGACGCTCAACACGCGTCCACTTGTTTCCCCTCTCTTCCATCTTGAAAGCAAGGCGGCTCCTGCCGTTCATTTGCCAACTCTCCTGTACTGTGACGCGCGATGCTGCATGCTCTCTTTGGTTTGACTCGTCATGCCTTGAGCATGATTTAAAGACAATCCGCTGTAATCCTTGCAGGTTACTTTACCCGAGCTTCCCCCGACTAGGGCATGCATATTTTGGACGCTCAACACGCGTCCACTTGTTTTGACACCGACTTCCATCTCTCGGTGCGTCGAAAAGAAACGCCTGAGTGAAATTGTATAGATTTTTTTAATCCAATAAGAACTAAAACATTAGCAAATAGTGAGATCATTCGCATACGTGCGACACTTTTTTCTTCCTGTAATCAATTGTGTCCTATTCGAGCGCACGCATCTTGAACGCAACATCGCGTCACTTCGAACGCTATCGGTGGTGACAAGTCACCGACTACAAATACTTCATTCCCTTACTTATGATTCGCAATAATTATTTGGCTCTCCAATGTCCTTTTTTTTTCGCCCCCCCCTGTCGTAATCCAGGCCCGCTCCCTTCATCCGGGTGTGGCGTGCATCTGGGAGCGCGTTACGCACGAAAGCGAGAGGGGCACGTGGACATCAAGTGTCCGCTCGTCTAATCCTGGGCCTGGTGGGGGTTTAGTGTACACCATGACGAACTATACTGGGTCGGGGAGGGTGGGGCAAGGTGTACGGGCCCCGGGAGGATTTACGTGGCTCGACAGCTTGGAGGAGAGGGAGGCTATTTCTGGACAGGATTTAAGTGTTTAGACACTAGATCAAATCCCGCACAGAAAGGAAAGGAAAGGAAAGGAAAGGAAAGGAAAGGAAGTCCATCCGCAAGTGACGGGTCAGGTCACACTCGTACCCGCCCGCGCCGCGTCAGAGATCATTTCCGAAGACAACTGCCCTGTTTCGTCATCTGTTTCGTCACACTGTGCTTAGAAGACCCTTTGTTCTTGAACGTCTGTACTGTTTTGAATGGCTTTTAGTTCGTTGTTTTTTTTTAATGCTTTGTAAACGTTACGCATTGAAGCGCATCGAGAGCTCCGCCGTGGCACGTCACTTTCCCAAGAAGCGCTGCGACAATTGTTTGTCATGCTATCGCCTCTTAAGTCAAATCTGCACACAAGCAGTCAGAAGATGAAATGGGTGGGAATCATTTGAAATGTGTGAATCAAAGATTGAAATAAGAATTGCTTGAAATCAAGCAAGACGCCATTGATCGTTTTTTTTTTTTATGAGACATTTGCTCATTTAATGAAGTAACTGAATTGAAGATGAACACATGAACAAATGAATGTAATCGATGGATGGTCCTGGGGCCCCACCCCTGCTGGATACTCGAATGAACACCAGAGTACTTTAGGAGATACACCTGCGCCTTTCCCAGCTGACCTCTATTTCATGAAAATACGATGACCCTCCCCCCCCAAAATAAGTCTGTATATACATAACTCAGAAATGCTCAAAATTTGGGATATTGCATTAGTGCATAACAATATTGTCTCACATTGAGAGCAAAAACGGTGACTTTTGTTGACATTTTTTTTTATGAATATGCTTTCATGTTGTTGCGTGTAATTTCCCCTATTTTATTCTTCCCCTTCATTCGAGCTATTGCATGACTGCAAACTAATCAATTATTGATGCCAGTTTCGCGTTTGCGATACTTTACATTGAGTGGGAGTGAAGAAAATGAAGAGGGGGGGGGCATGATCTCACTTTTCCCGTACATATTTTGAAACTGAAAAGATTTTCTGCTTAGCACGATAAGTATTCACCGTACATTGTCTGCTGGTGATGTACGGTGTGTGAGTGAGAAAGACTTGCTAAAAAAAAAAAGATCATTTCATGTACATACCCGTATATTTTGCCCAGAGTTTTGGCAGCCACGGCCTTGAACCTGTCCGGCCGGATCTCCATCCTCACGAGTCCAGCCCGTGCGCGCTGCCGACAGCTTAGTCCTGTGCTGGTGCGCGCGCCTGCCGGCTCCCACTAACACATTTAAACTTCAGATTAAAGGAGAAAAAAAAACACATTTCTTTTAGAAGAAAGAAAAAAAATAAGATACGATTGAATTCCAGATGAAGCACCCACCCACCTCTAGCTGCCTTGCAGTAAAAGTGACTTCCAAAACATTGTCCAAGTTTCGTCGTTGGGTGTCCTCCAGGTCGCCAAGGTAAGAAAATATCAAGAAATGATTTGAGGTTGTTGGGAGTCGCGGGACGCCCACGGGAGGCAACTTTGGACGGGAGTCATGGCTGATGTCGGTCTCTCTCTTTCTCCTGAATCCAGATTACCGCAGCCTAATCTCCCCGAGTGAGTGGGACGCGTCGAGTGAGCACCCCCCCCCCCCCGGGCCATGAAGCATCGCGCTATTCCTGGAGCGCACACGCCATGAATGGACGAAGGAGACAGACGGGGAGGGGGGGACAATAGGGACGAAGCACTGCGGTGGGGATGGAAAGATGAGTAGAAGGAAACATGGCAAGAGTTGAAATCAAAAGCAGACATCAGGTAATGCTAATGAAACAAATAAGAAGCTAATGTGGAGTGAAAAAAAAAAGACTTCATTGCTTGAGGAAAAAAAAAAATCTCAATAGACTGGCAGACAACTGTAGTGACAAATGATATTTTGATCTGTACAAGTGATCGGTTGGAGCGCGCGTGCAATTAATGGTACACAACTCTTGTTGTGGAATCGTGTTTATTGGGACAGTGAATGCATTTACAGCACCGCACAAAGGACTACAGTTCATGTTCACAAGATGCCGGTTGGTCGCAAAAATGACAGCTCGAGGTATAAGAATTCTAAACACAAACAGCTATGAAATAGATACGCGCCTCTTGATCATGCAAGTGAATGCTCAGTAGTAGTGCGCGTGGCTACATCATTTTGCCCCCCCCCCTCCCGCCATTCAGATACAACTCCGCTGCAGGTCTTGGGCCGAGATGGTTTTGAGGGAGCGCGAAGAGGGACGCGAGGGTGAGGAGGCTGCGAGGAGGCGAGGAAAGGCCATGGCCGAAGGAGGGGGGGACAAATAAGGGGGCACAGAGATGACGGAGGGCGTGTCCGAAAGGGAACCGTAGTCGGGGCGTCGCACGTTCACCTCACTGGAGCCTTGGAAATACATCGACGGAGAACCCATCGGATCTAGAAGAAAAAAAAAATGCTTTTTTTTGTTTTGTTTAATACACGACTCTGAAGTAATCTCACTGTTTAACTTCAACTACCTCCTCTTTACAGAGGATAAAGAATACAAGCATGTGAATATTGTTCTACTAGCCGTCTACAGTGTTTACATACCCATTGGACCTTCCGCCATCTCGTGGATCACTTATTTCATTCTTCTGCTTGTCAGTATTTGTTAATCAAAGACAATCTGTGTGCAAAAAAGAACTTTTGGACTTTTTTTTTTTTTTTTTTTTACCTGGGTCTTCTTGAAGCTGGGTATGCAGATATGGTTGTTTGTTGTAGAACTTGTTGTAGATGCAGTACACAACGGCCATCAGGGTGCACGTTCCAGCCGCCGCAGCGATAAAGAGGCCCACCTTGGTGTTGTCTTGGTCGACACGGACGTCTGTCGAGGTAAACGCAACGGCGAAATAACTTGTATGAGTGCGAGGAGGGAACCGAGTCCTTTGTGAAAAAAATGCCAACCGCTCATTCCGGACTCACGCGTTGGTTTTGGCTTGAAATGGCTCGTCTCTCGGTCCGTCAGCGGAGCCGGGATGCTGGCCGGTGCCGCCGGGTCCTGGTGGGTGCCGAGGCTGCCGCTCGCGGGAAGCAGCAGCAGCAGAACAACCAGCAAGAACGGATCCGCCATGGAGATCAAACTAGAAGAACGCTGACAAGCAGAGGAGTTGGAACGCACGCCGACTTTTAGAAATTTGAAGGCAACTGTGCCTACCTGAGGTGGAAGCAGGTGCCGGCGTCGTCCTGTTTTGACTTCAGAAGGCTCCACGCATCCAAGGCAACCGAACTCCCAGGACAGCCGAGTTTCCACCTGCGAGTCGTTTTCCCTCACAACAAGCGCACCATCGCAGACACAAGGCAGCCGCCTTAATATGCTTCCGCTTGACATTCACCTCAAAAGCAAACACAAAAAAAAGATGACAGCCTTCGAAGGACACAAAATGCTCAAGGATTCCCAAATATTTGAATTCCACAGATGACCCACGGTTACCTATCAGGTGAGGGGGGGGGGGGAAAGTAAATAAGTGTTCAAAGAACTGCTTTAAGAAAGATAAGAAAACCTTTATTTGTCCCACAATGGAGAAATTTGCAATCTACAGCAGCAAAATTGAAGGGGGGAGGGGGGGGGTAGAAAAAAGTATTGCAAGAAAAATGAACTGTACACAGTATGAGAAAAATGTTTTCATAAGAACAATACATTACATAAAAGGCATTCCTTGACATTTTCTGTACACTTTGAAAATGATCCACAAACAAGAAATGTTCAACACTGTACAAGCCACGATATTTTTTTCTCTCCTGAAAAAAAACAAGGCACTCGGCATTTGTACACTGGCAGCATTCAATCACATTTTTCATTCAATTCATCTTTTGGGGTCAACACCGTGCACGTGAAACGACACGTCAGCTCGTATAAAAGATGCCATGGAAGTAGAAAATAATCACCCAAAAAATGTCACACGGCCACCACGTTTTTAATCTGAAAAACTGAATCGGAGACCAGTACAGCGAAACTGGTGTGTTCCAAAATAAATATGAAGAACAAGAATCCCTGAAAGCTTGAAGAGGACGGCTTGATCCAAAGACTTTGACGGGAGAAGGCCCGCCCGCATGTTCCATTTGCATTTCGAGCTCACAAAACCCAAAGTCTCGCGCTTTCATTTCCCTTCTGTTAACTATGAACATACATGCATCAGAGAAGAGTTTCTCGTGTTGGTGTTCGGTCACGTGGTCAAGACTGAGGGAAAAACATCTGGAGAGGTGAAACTGGGAAAACGCACTCGAGTGTGATGCGTCACATGGCCGCTGAAATTCCGGCTCCGTGTTTGTTATTCAAGTCCGGCAGAATCATGTGTTGTTCAAAGATCACATTTAGGTATTTGTCTTACCTATGAAGGCTTTCAAATTTCATGCTAAACCCCGCCCCCCCCCAAAAAAAAAAAAAAAAACAGTTCTCATTGTGCGTGAATAAATACCAGCGACAGAACTTAAGATCCAAATGCTAACTTTGGAGAGGTCCCGTTGAAACGGAAGTGACGTGACCCCAACGAGCGCATCTTAGGCCGAACCGTTGCCCCGGTTCCATTGGCTGACGTCGGACATGTCGGTCAAGGGGGTTTCGCACTTGGTGCTCACGATGGTGTAGTCGTCGGCGAGTACGCCGCCGGAGCGAGCCCGCTTCCTGTCCCGGAGAAGAGTGTAGAAGAAGCCCAGCGGCACGGGCATCATTGCAAATATGATGAGCAAGGCTAAGACGGCCAGAGCCCAGCCCGGGTACTGCTCGGCCACCTCCGAATTCTGGAAAAAAATCAACAAAATGACAATAAGCTACAGAAAAAGCTTGAATTTGTATTTGGAAAACGTAAAACTCAAGACAATTCGGATGGGGGGGGGGACGAAACGGCCTGTGGCGTATACCTAAATAGACTTCTTCTCAGCAACGAGTGCTTTATTGTGTTGTCAATTTCAACTGGTTCTGGACAAGAATTTGCCGTAGGGGGCGGGGCTAGCGGCATCGGGCTTCTTACCATCTCTTTCTTCCACATCCTGTACGTCGGCGGTTCAATGAACATGCGAATGGTTGTGGCCGCCAGCAGCACCAACATGGCCAGCTGACAAATGTACTTCCAGAGGTACTTGTAAGCCACGGAGGGCCGCCAACCCAGCATGGCCTCGATGTCATCCAGAAACCTTGGCGTGAGACGGCGGCAAAAAAAAAAAAATCACGATGAAGCACCAACGCATCAGACAAACCAGCTTCACGCGAGGCTCATCGTCGGTCGTATTAGCTCGCGTACTCGCTTCAGTCTGACACTCGCACCGACGGATGTGATGAAGGTGAGGAGATTTCGCCGCATTTTCCCTCACCTGTCGGCCCCGTAGAGCCAAGACACGCTGAAATTCTCAAACACCACCACGATGATGAGAGGCAAGGTGGCCGAGTAATCGTCAAACATCATGACAAAGTAGTTCCCGCAGCGCTGGGTGAAGAGCAGGCCGATCAGGAAGCCGACGAGGCAGCTCAAAACTGTTTTGAGGGTAAAGAGGAAAACGTCAAGGCGCACAAGCAAAGCAGAGCCTCGGCCGGAGGTGGAGGGGGTCTTCACCGGTGAGTTTCGTCTTGTTGTTTGCCAGAGTCTTAAAGCGGTCGGTGAGCGGGGCCAGGATGCCTTCCATGGTGCCGAACATGGTGCTGAGGCCCAAGTTGAGCAGCATGAGGAAGAAGAGAGCCGACCAGAACGGGCTGCCGGGCAACAACGACATGGCCTCCGTGAAGACGATGAAAACCAGGCCGGTGCCCTGCACACCCTGCAAACAAACACGGGGGGGGGGCGTCCGTTTGAGGGTTGCCGCGCGCCGGACGAAAAATCACTCCGCCGCACCTTCTGCATCTCGTTTTCCAGGTCGCAGACGGATAAGTTGACCCGGACGTGGCTTCCGTGCTGTTCAAACCACTTCTTGTACGCCTCCAGGCCAAAAGAGGCGGGGTCCGAGTGGTTAAACGTTGGTAAGACGCTTTGGTCCACGTCACCCTTTTGGGCCTGCGCCAGCAGCACTTTTAAGTTGCTGAGGAAAGACGGAAACAAATCGACTGAACCTTTTTCCCTGCAGCCAAAATGTCGGCTTTCACGCTTCGGTCTGAATGAGCTTGTTTGGGCACCTCTCCTGTGCCAATGCGTTCAACTCTTAGGTGTGGCACAACAACAACAACAACATTTTAAGAAATTGTTGTAATTAAGGTGTACCTGTTATAGGTCACGCTAATGGCAAAAAAGTTTGGGTGCGGGCGTCTTGGTTGCTCTCACAAAAATGTGGCAAGCGCGCAGGTGTGTGTGCGTGGACTTTTTATATTCACGCTATGTAAGCTACATGTTATTGTCCCTTTTTTTTTTTTTTTTTAAATTCATAGCAAACGGCTCCAATGTAAAATGCAGAAGTGAAATGCGATTTTTTTTTTTTTTGAGGTGTGAATCGTACCTCACGACACACTCGGCGGTGATCTTATTGGCACGGAAACCGAGCACGGCGAACACCACCAGCGTGGCCAGCACCGACGTGAAGAAGTTGATGAAGGACACGGTGTAGGCATCGCGGTGGCAGTTGTTGTTCTTGGGATTGTAGGAGGAGTACGCGATGATGGAACCGAAGCCCAGGCCCAGAGCGAAGAAGACCTGCGTGGCCGCCTGCCGCCACACCTGGATGTTTCCCCAGATCTCCAGCTGCGTGCGCCGATACAAACAAAATCATGAAAAAAAAAAAAAAAAATCCATCAAGTGCCCCGCCTCCATCCAAAGCGTCGTCTGCCGTCACCTTGGGGTAGAACATGTAAGTGATTCCTTCCAAGGCCCCTTCAAGGAGAAGACCCCGCACAAGGAAGCAGAAGAGCACCACGTAGGGAAAGATGGAGGAGAAGTACATCACCTAAGAAGTTTCAAAGGAGCACATGTGGAAAATCGCTTCAGACGTATGAAAGGCAAGACGCTCGCTCGGGGTACCTTGACTGAGCTCTTGATCCCCTTGAACATTCCCAGGCACACAATTGCCCAGGCGGCCAACAGACAGCCAACGATGTACGGGTTGAAGGAGCCCGTGTCGTTGATGCTGTCCGTGATATCCAGCGCTTTACGGTACCAAAAGTAGGACGTGGTGGAGTTGGCCTTACATTCTTCTTCTCCGTTAACTGGAAAGGAAACACTGTGATGAGAATGTTTTTTTTTTCTATTTTAATGAATAAGTTGCTGCTCCAATCACCCATGAGAAGTGCATGCACCTGTTACATTGCCCACTTCTGGACATGTCGTCCAAGGTAAAGGCGACTGAAAAGAGTTGCCGAGGTAGAAAAGGCTCCACGCGAGGATGACGTTGTAGTAGAGCGCCACGAAGAAACACACCTGAAAAAACAAGAAGGAGCTTTCTTGAAAATCTTCCCGGTGGTTTATGACGGCTGGAACAAATCAATGGCACTTGAAGAACTCATTTCAAGGAGAAAACTTGGCATAGGAGTGAATTGTTTATTTGTAGTCGGGGTACCACCGCGTACAGGAAAAATGAGGACCTCATTTCATCTAGAATTCACTTGTCATCAATATTAATAATAGCGACGCATTGACCATTTTGAACTTACCACACAGCTGGAGTAGCCAATTCCAACAAGCCTGGGGGAGATGGACTTCCACACTCCGATGCTGCCCTGTCTGATGGCCTGACCGGCAGCCAGCTCCAGGAAGAACAAGGGAATGCCCACGACCAACATCAACAGCACGTAGAGCAACAAAAAAGATCCTGGGGGTTTGGGGGGGGGGGGGCAGGGAGTCATACTTCTCCAGACCAAAAAAAATGACATTGAAAATAGCTATATTCTCACCCCCTCCATTTTGATGGCACAAATACGGAAACCTCCAGACGTTACCCAGCCCAACGCTAAACCCCACCTGAGCCAAAAAGTACTCGATTTTACTGTTCCAGCCTGCTCGGGCTTGAGGCTCAGGGGCATCTTGGTTGTCCTCTTGACAGCTGCTCTCCACCTCCGAAAGCTGCTTCTCCATCTATGAAGACAAGACTACAGAAAACGGAGGCTTATTCACACCCAAGTCGGACTAACAGTTGCGTCATCTTTAGTTTCAAATATGTTCCTTGATGGAGGCTAGTGTGTTATTGAAGCACAGGATTGAAGAAAGGAAAAAAGAAAAGTTGAACAAATTAAATTCGTGAAACTCCTACTTTCAGTCGAAACATATTTTTGCTCCAGACTGCTACTAAATGGTGGCATTTTGCCTCAAAAATTTGAGACGGTGCAACTGCGTTTTTTATCTCCTCCAACCAATTTGCTCTTGTTTTGGTTCGTCTTTTTAATATTTTTGGTTGGTAACAAACTTCTGCTCCACACTTGCGCCCATTTATCAGTCGTGTCGTGAAAATGAATGGAAATGTGGATATTTACTTTGGAAAATTAGAATTACCCTTGCCAACTCCATTTTATTTACATATATTCGAATAAAATCTCAGCCTTGTATTTTTGCTGCTAATTTTGATGTTGGTCAAGGTAGTGGAACTTGGGATAGTTCACTCGGTTTATTTTGGATGGTGGTTGGTGGAAAACGTTCGACAACTAAGGACTGTACTAGTTAAAGACTAATACTTCACGTGACACATTTTTCCACATAATTATCAGAAGTAAATTTTGCGCAAGAATATTTTTATTTTCCAACTGATCGTCACAAGATGGTTATAAATTAGTTATGCTACTGACGTCATTTTGCGGTAAACACCTACCCATTTGCGAGTTTTAACTAAAACACGGAGCTTACTACAGACCCGATAACATGTACCAAACTAACCTCAGGAGATGTAACTTTCGTGCTCGGCGAGAAAAAAAAAAGACCAAGAGTCGAAATGCGGAAAAATACTGACGATCAAATCTTGACGAGGACGCACGTGCAGCTGCAGTTTCAAAAAGCGACGCCGTCGTCAGTTACTTGAAAAACATACATGGAAATATGCTATCGGTATAACAAAACGGTAAACACTGTTGCAGTGCAATACAAGATTCAATTCCAGGACAATGGTGTTACCGCATTTTTTTCTAAACCCTCCAAACCGCGTGGAGACCTCGCCTACGTGCTGCGTTTACAAGCAATGGTGGCTGTTAGCACTTTTGTCAGAAGTGAGTCAAAGAGGAAAGTTTATAGCGTAGCATTACTCGTTCCCCTTAAACTCGTATTTTTATTGTATTATTAGACTCCCTTAAAGGCTTGAAAAATTCACGGAAAAAGGTAAACCTGTGGCAATTCGTTATACTGTACGCATTAAAAGACCAAAGGACCTACGTACGGTGGGGCCCTGAAAGCAACACACTTCACTACTACGTACCACGCACGCATACGTTAAAATGCTCTCACACGTACTGCGTTCAAAGACATTTGTTTGACTATCAGTTTAGGACCAAAGCGGTGCTTCAAGGAAAAAAGTATTCAAGTGAATTGAAGCTGTCGTACTTTACTGTATTTATCTACCCTAAAAGGTTCCATCTATTCGCAAATTGCTCGTTGTACTTCTTGCAATTAGTAGTTTTAGTCGAAAGCTCGCCGTGAAAACGCAAATCTCCTCACGTCCCATTGCGTTCCTGAAGGGGACACAATCGAAAACATCCGATTACGTTTACATTATGTAACAAACGCATAAACTAAATTAACACGTGTATCATTGTTGAAAACATGACCACGTAGAATCTTATTTTCATCACATTGGATTCCATTTTCACAGCTCGAAAACGTGGTTTCGCTTTCAATTGTGCGTGTTTTAAATAACGTTGAGTTCCCTGCATCATTAATGATTTGAAATTCGTCACTTAAACAAATATGTTAATCTGATCATCTTTGTATGGTTTCCGTTTTGTTGTTCTTGTGAAACGACACTAATACGTAAACTGACGCAATAAGAGGCATATATTACCACATCCGATCACAGGCACTCATGACATCCTCCAAATTATAAAAAAGCAAACAAAAACGTTTTGAAATCAATTTCCGTGGGGTGAGAGCGTGAATTCCACGGAGCGCACTGTCTGCATCGTCACGCACTGCCACGTATGCCGCTTTTTAAAGTCAAAACAATATTCGCGAGAACACACTGGATCACACACGCGGTCCATCATGAACACTTGCACGTGTCAAAACGGCGTTCATACCTGTATTCGTTGGAAGAATTTGGGGAAATGTCCTTTTAAAAAAAGTCTTAGTATCCGAACGCTTCTTTGCTGCCACTAAGCCCAACTCCGCCTATCGCCTTCATTGGTGCACTATGGAGGCTTGTTGTGAAAAGTGCCACCTTTACTCAACCACAAATTGCATTTGCGTCGAGAAAATGCACTGGAACACTGACAAATGAAATATTTTCGGGGGGAGTCTTAGTATCTGAACGCTTCTTTGCTGCCACTAAGCCCAACTCCGCCTATCGCCTTCATTGGTGCACTATGGAGGCTTGTTGTGAAAAGTGCCACCTTTACTCAACCACAAATTGCATTTGCGTCGAGAAAATGCACTGGAACACTGACAAATGAAATATTTTCGGGGGGGACTGGAGAACTTAAATATAGAGCGGGGTGCTGAATAGTACATCAGAGCATATGAAAAGCAACAGGCAAACAGAATGCCAATATGCCACTTAGGGGTTTAAACGTTGGTTTCGCTGCTATGCGATGGCGTCATTTCCAAACTCTGATGTCTGCGGGCTGTATATTCGGTAGCTGATTATAAACATCACCGTAGACGTGTTTTGCTGGTCTTTGCGGAAAAATACTGACGATCAAATCTTGACGAGGACGCACGTGCAGCTGCAGTTTCAAAAAGCGACGCCGTCGTCAGTTACTTGAAAAACATACATGGAAATATGCTATCGGTATAACAAAACGGTAAACACTGTTGCAGTGCAATACAAGATTCAATTCCAGGACAATGGTGTTACCGCATTTTTTTCTAAACCCTCCAAACCGCGTGGAGACCTCGCCTACTTGCTGCGTTTACAAGCAATGGTGGCTGTTAGCACTTTTGTCAGAAGTGAGTCAAAGAGGAAAGTTTATAGCGTAGCATTACTCGTTCCCCTTAAACTCGTATTTTTATTGTATTATTAGACTCCCTTAAAGGCTTGAAAAATTCACGGAAAAAGGTAAACCTGTGGCAATTCGTTATACTGTACGCATTAAAAGACCAAAGGACCTACGTACGGTGGGGCCCTGAAAGCAACACACTTCACTACTACGTACCACGCACGCATACGTTAAAATGCTCTCACACGTACTGCGTTCAAAGACATTTGTTTGACTATCAGTTTAGGACCAAAGCGGTGCTTCAAGGAAAAAAGTATTCAAGTGAATTGAAGCTGTCGTACTTTACTGTATTTATCTACCCTAAAAGGTTCCATCTATTCGCAAATTGCTCGTTGTACTTCTTGCAATTAGTAGTTTTAGTCGAAAGCTCGCCGTGAAAACGCAAATCTCCTCACGTCCCATTGCGTTCCTGAAGGGGACACAATCGAAAACATCCGATTACGTTTACATTATGTAACAAACGCATAAACTAAATTAACACGTGTATCATTGTTGAAAACATGACCACGTAGAATCTTATTTTCATCACATTGGATTCCATTTTCACAGCTCGAAAACGTGGTTTCGCTTTCAATTGTGCGTGTTTTAAATAACGTTGAGTTCCCTGCATCATTAATGATTTGAAATTCGTCACTTAAACAAATATGTTAATCTGATCATCTTTGTATGGTTTCCGTTTTGTTGTTCTTGTGAAACGACACTAATACGTAAACTGACGCAATAAGAGGCATATATTACCACATCCGATCACAGGCACTCATGACATCCTCCAAATTATAAAAAAGCAAACAAAAACGTTTTGAAATCAATTTCCGTGGGGTGAGAGCGTGAATTCCACGGAGCGCACTGTCTGCATCGTCACGCACTGCCACGTATGCCGCTTTTTAAAGTCAAAACAATATTCGCGAGAACACACTGGATCACACACGCGGTCCATCATGAACACTTGCACGTGTCAAAACGGCGTTCATACCTGTATTCGTTGGAAGAATTTGGGGAAATGTCCTTTTAAAAAAAGTCTTAGTATCTGAACGCTTCTTTGCTGCCACTAAGCCCAACTCCGCCTATCGCCTTCATTGGTGCACTATGGAGGCTTGTTGTGAAAAGTGCCACCTTTACTCAACCACAAATTGCATTTGCGTCGAGAAAATGCACTGGAACACTGACAAATGAAATATTTTCGGGGGGACTGGAGAACTTAAATATAGAGCGGGGTGCTGCATAGTACATCAGAGCATATGAAAAGCAACAGGCAAACAGAATGCCAATATGCCACTTAGGGGTTTAAACGTTGGTTTCGCTGCTATGCGATGGCGTCATTTCCAAACTCTGATGTCTGCGGGCTGTATATTCGGTAGCTGATTATAAACATCACCGTAGACGTGTTTTGCTGGTCTTTGGCAGGTTTTGCTCTGAGAAAACAATCCGAGTACGAAAAAGTGTGACGTGAGAGATCAGTCTGGAAATTACGCAACTCATTTCCAGTTTTTGCAAAAAAATGATTTACTGACTAAAAATAATGTTCTTCTATCTATATCCGCGATGATTACCTGTAGTGGAATGTAGAACAATTCAATGTTCTTCCACTAGAGGGCAGTGCATACAATTCACGTGTATCCAACTGTGGTTATGCATACGAGAGAATAATAATAACGATATGATTTACTGACTAAAAATAATGTTCTTCTATCTATATCCGCGATGAATACCTGTAGTGGAATGTAGAACAATTCAATGTCCTTCCACTAGGGGGCAGTAGATACAATTCACGTGTATCCAATTGTGGTTATGCATACGAGAGAATAATAATAACGATAACAGTTTTGGATTGACCAAATCTGAAAAACGGTTTCATCACCAACAAGGCATTTAAATAAATCTAAAATTCGAAATGCACAAAAAAAAAAAGTCCTTAACATGGATCAGTTGGACATTCAAAAGTTTCAGGAAGGTCAACTCAAGTTGACCTCTAAAGGTTACAGTACATTTTAGGGCCATCTTGAAATTTCACATCACTAACTTTTTGGGAGCACGTCAAAGGAAAGCAGAATTCACAACTCTTCAAGATTTTTTTCATAACCTTCGTAAAGGATTTTTTTTTTGCCATCTCGTTGTGTAATTTAGTTCATTCTAATGTGGTCAGGGAGTGTGTACATTAGGTGTGTATTTGGCTTGAGGGAGGGTGCTTCTTCTTCTCTCTGAGTCATCGATTCAAAATAAAAGATCTTTTTTTTTTTTTTTTTGCTCCAGTCGATAAGAGTCAAGTCAGCTGTCAAGTAATGTTCAGCTGCATTTTCAGTTCATCCAGAAATGTCCACTTGAAAGCTAAATATCTCAAAGTTTTTTGGGGGAGTAGCTTTTGGCCCCATCAAGTTTGGGGAAACTTTTTCTATTCGCCGTCAGTCATGGGCCTCTCGTAGCGTCATCAACTTTCTTCCCTTGCATGTCGCCCCTGGCTACAACCCCAAAACATGTGTCAACACAACACACCAGATTCGAGAACACGATTCCAGTGAGGGCGGGCAGGGCAGGGTGGGAACTGCAAAAATTGACACACCTCTGCTCTGCTAAAAGCATTCAGGGGAGTGTCATACCTGCACTCTCGGCGGGCATTTTTTTCCATTTAATAACACAGACATCGTTTTGGAGGTCAGGAAAAACGTTATTGGAAGCTTGTTGACCTTGGTAAGTTGACTGATTCCACATACATTTTGACGTAGACTGTCAATCTATTCAAACAGGCAGTAGGGCAGGTTAAGGAGGAGGTGACGCGTACAGCAATAACATATGTCGTCGATCTATTTTTAGTCAGGTGCGCTTTGACAGTATCACAAAAAGTAGAACGCCTTTACTATCCTTGTTATTTTTGTGCCACATATTTCTGCCCCAAGAGTTCCTCAGACGGATTAGTCGGAATCCAAAAGAGGCTTTAAAACATTTGGCGCCGCTTGTAGTTGAAGCGTACAGTTTGATGAAACAAAACAGAATGACACTTTGTGTGTTTGAAACAACAACATAGCGTTGGCTCAGGATAGCCCGCTGAGCTGACTGCTCACCAACAATGTAAAAATCCCACTGACGCGCTAACAGTGAGCATCGGGAGTTACGCTTTTGGAAGCAACGGATCTTGGAACACAAACGGTGGGGCAACACGTAGAAAGGCAACGCAACAATATTCAACGGCATGTATTTTTTATCCTCCGCAAAGAACGACTAAGCCTCCCGAGGGGGTGAGACCTTCTGCATGAACAGAATATCTGGACGTCTGTATTACACAGCCCCCCGCTGGGCAAGCCAACACGAAGGAAGGTCTGGAACTTGAATACTTCTTGGGACATTTTCCCAAACAAACTGAAGTTCAGTGCCGTTTTTTTGGCTACGTTTTGTTGGTCTTCGCAATTTTGTAGCATCGTCTGTGAAAGTGCCTAGCGAAGGAAGTGTGAGCGATACTAATGAGCGTGAGTGATACTGGCTGATTTTAGTCCAGTGCTGATGATGAGAGGGTGGATCGGAAAATACTGTGATGCCGTCAGACCGGTTGTGCAGCCCAAGCGCACAGTGAGAGCCCTGGTTACGCATTTACGGAGAGATAAGACTGAGGGAATTTAGTGTGCGGCAAAGCCTTTCATATGAATGAATGAACGAATGAATGACGTCGTTTTTTTTCAAGGACTGTTTTGTTTCTAGTTAAGTGTTGGCTTGTGTCGTTCCACCTGTGTCAAATACAGCAGGGACTCCAAATTGGAATACCAGATGTTGCGGGAATGATATGCGCTATCTAACAGGAAAGTAGTACTTTGGTGGTATCGTGCGGTGTCAATAGGCACTCAGCAACCTTTGTTATTATCTTTTTTTTTTTTTTTACATTTTACTCGTTTGAGGTGACGAAAAGACCCATCAGTAACTCTGAGGCAAACAATGTTGTCATCCACAGTGAATGACACACATGAACACAAGGACGAAGGATGACAAACATCAGACAGTATTTTGTCAAGGTGAGTCTTTTCATGTGACACCCCCCCACCCCCCCCCACCACGTGACATTGTGTATCCAGTGACTAATTTGTCTTTTTTGGTTCTTTGTCCAGCACCTGATCACCTTCTCTCTCCAGAGAGGAGACGTGAAGAGCGTGGAGGAGGCCCAGTCTCGTCTCCTCCTGCTGGCTCAGAGCAACAAGCTGTGGAGTCAACACATGCTGCTGGATGTCGGATCTGATGCCGTTTATCTCAGAGATATACAGACTAAGGCGGGTAGATGTGATGCGGATTCTGCACATACTTCTAAGCATACATAGGTCACACGCTTCGACCTCAAAGTCAACCGTGTTTACGCCCACAACGGCGCAAATCAAAATACAATGCGTAAATTATTGATATATAAAATATGAGATATTTATTTATGCATAAAATGGCTGATCATTACTATTATTATTATTATTATTTTGGTATGCAGGAGGAGCTGGAGAAGTACACCTTCACCTCCATCTTCCGCTGCGAGTCCATCAACTCGGAGGAGCGTTTTCCATCCCTCCTTCTCCTCGTGTGCCAAAGCCCCAATGAGAAGAAACCGGATATTCTCTTCTTCAACTGTGAGAACATACAGGTAAGTCCCGTAAAAAAAAAAAAAAAAAGCCGCCGTGTGTTCACCTGAGTGGCTCCGGTTTTTACTTTTAGCTGGGCATTCTCGCAGGCAGAACAAGTCTGCAACAACATCACGCAGGCTGTTTCCAAGTCCGGCCGGAGCAAGACCATCCCCGATCCAATCAGGTACACACACTTCGACCGGATACGTCACGAGCTGCGACATAAATGACAAAACCATGACCAAAAGTAGACAAACGGAAAGAATGATCTTGCCTCAATCCACTCACAAATGTATTTAGTTTTCATTTATGAATGGCAGCAGTTGGATACAACGGTTGATTTGACTTTTTTTTTTTTTTTTGCCAACCCATACCTAATGGAAATGGTTCTCGCCCCCTCCGCCTCAGTTCTCTCGGGTCAGCTGACCGGTAACTCCTGGAGGTACCAAAGTCCAAGCGGAAGCTTTGTGGGGATATCGGGCTTTTTCTGTCGCTGATCTCAAACTACAGAATGACTTCCCGGCACACATTCAACGAGCCCGTTTGCTGTCTCTTTTTCAAAAGCTCTGTCTTGAAAGCCATTTTGGGACCTGATTTGGACCGGCGATTGAGATGACGCGGGTGTTTAACACCTTCTGGGGTGTTTAACACCTTCTGTTGTGGTTCCACTTTCTTTTTAGCGGTCAATGAAGAGCTAAACAAAAACGAGCCACCTCCTGTTCACCACTTTGCTTTCCCGCCGCCATTAGGCCGAATCAAAGCGGTGCCACAGTTACCGTCGCTGCGTGTGCGCGTGTGTGTGTGTGTGTTTAGCACGCGTGCACGCTCGAGGGGGAGGGCAATGCAAACAGCTGACAGAGAGCAACCTGTTGGACCGGTTCACACATAACTCGAGAAGGTGTGACAGAGACAGCCCAGCCGCTGTGGCAAAAAGGAACAAGGAGCAGCGGAGAGGTGACCTCGGAATAGTTTCAGGGTGCTCGGCTTTGGATTACGGATGACCTGCTGAGAGTGTTTCAAAGGACCAGCGGAGGGACCGTTAACGGGGTAAGAAAGCTCGATGCGGTACTTCCGGGTAGGGAGTCGTTCAAAGGTGGGAAGTGATTGCTCACAGATATTTGCATCGGTAAGGTGAAGGTAGAGCTCTGCGCGCTCCCTCGCCTTGATTTTTTTTTTTTTTTTTTTAACGCATATGCCTACGCAAGGCAAGGCCTTTTGTGTTGTGTTGACACCAGTGACTTGCGATCACCGCGCCAGTGCGTTGTGAGACATCTCATTATCCAATTTCACATAATTGGTCCAAATATGATGATTCATTGATACTACAACTAACGAATGCTTGCTCATTGACAGCCTCGATGCCGGCGACGTATCGTGACAGGCAGAGCGACGAAAAGCTTTTTGACAAAATGGCAGAAATCCCAAATAACCTGTGTATCCACCCGTTGTCAGTCAGCGCACGGAAAGATTTCACTCCGAGTGAGTACATTTGTGAGCCAATTGAGAAGACATCCTCACAATTTCAGGTTTTTTTTTAATCATTTTGGTGATTTTAATTTGGTCAGATTTTTTTTTTTGTGTGTGTTTGTGTAAAATATGTTTCCTGGTGGTTCAATGATGGGTTTTGGTGGTGTACAGTGAACTCCAGTTGAATGCAGGGGAGACGTTCCCCACACACACACACACACACACACACACACACACACACACACACACACACACACCTTCCACAAGTAACAGCAAAATATTTGAGGCTCTACATCGACAAAGAAAAAAAAAAGAAAAAAAAAACGTGTTCGCAAGGACATTTTGTGTTGATATTGCAACAGTCCAGTGAGATCACTTCGGCAATTTTGTGTTTAGGCTAGCAATATACTTAGTGTGTGCTGTGGATGTGAAGCTCACCTACAGTGCCGAGTCAGCAACCGCCATCATCATCATCATCATCATCATCAGCAGCAAGTCTTAACACTGTGGAATATCCATCTCATCTTCTTCCCTGAAGGCTTTCCCACAACGGCGCAGACATGATTGACCCCTATGGCATTCCGAGCCCCCCCATCGCGCACGCTCCCAATGCCCCTCCACACAACCCCCCGCCTTACCCGGGACCGAGAGGTCAGAAAAGCACCTTTTTTTGCACAGTGGCATCTTGACTTCTCAGCTCGGTTTGGTTACATTTAGTCCAACTTTTGCTTGAAAAAGTGAGAAATTGGTGCGGTCGTAAGTCAAGGTATTGCAAGTCAATGAATGAGATGATCTTACCTCTCTCACGGCAGCCAACGGGGGCCCTGACATCTCCTTGCTTCGAGCTGAGAGAGAAGTGGTAGGCCTTCATTTTTTTTTTGGGGGGGGTGGGGGCAGTATGGTCTCCTCACACGCAAGTCAAGTGTTCAAAGAGCTACTTCCTCTCGGCCAGGACATCCTCAATCACTGCTTCGATGACATCGAGAGCTTCATGTCCAAACTGCAGCAGACTGCCGAGGCTGCCATCGTGCTCAACCAGAGGAGGAAGAAGAAGAAAAGCAAAAAGCAGAGTGCGGAAGGTAAAATGATGTGATCGCACACGCTTGACTGATCTGGGCGCAGAAAATTCTCTCATCTGAAATAAATTATTGTGACTGTACTGCAGTACATTTCGTCTGAATCAGTACTTCCACTTTTTTTTTTTTTTTTTAATTGAAGGGCGTGTACTTCTACTTAAGTACTTTCGCCACCTCTGCTTATTTGTTCAAATAGAAGATCTACTCACCATGAGGGCAAGGCCGCCACCCGAGGAGGAGTTTGTCGACATCTTCCAGAAATTCAAGTATTGCTTCAGTCTGTTGGTCTGTATTCAACCACATCACTCCTTTTGGTACTTTTTTTTTTTTGTTTTTTTCTGCTTGATTGTTGATCGTTTCTTTGCATAGGCCCGTTTGAAATCAATCATCGCCAATCCTTCCTCCGAGGAGCTTGTTCATCACGTATTTAAACCTCTGGATATGGTGAGTGGATGTTTCATCCTCTCCCTTTTTACTTTTCACAGCAACCAAAAAGTACGACTCATCTCACAAGAGAATGATCACTTTAGGTGCCAAGTATGCGAAACACGCCAGCAATTTGCCTCTGGCTGTTGATGACAGTCTAGCAACCGTCATCGTGTACCAGAGGGTTTACAGGATATACCGTACTGTGCACTACATAAAGATGTCAAAGTCTAGGATAAAAGAATAGAAATGACACACTTAAATTGAGAAGCAAAAATAGCAAAAACTCCTCAAGGATGGCGGCTGTGCTGGAGCCTATCCCAGCCTGTGCTGCCCCAGTCTTGGGGCAGCAGCAGTCGCCGATGCCTTATATTTAGCTTTTAGAGCTGCCATGTATGAAAAGAGTGTTCGTGTGTGTGTGTGTGTGTGTGTGTGTGTGTGAACGTAGCGGATTGCTTATCAGAGCAGGCATGTGAACAGTGGTTTGTTTGTCTTATCTGGGTGTGTCCAGATGGTGAAGACGACAGGGGGCCCGGCGCTGGCGGCCTCCGTGTCCAGCCCCGCCCTGACCGGCGCTGCCGTGTCCCTGCTACAAGAGAACCTGAACGTGGAGGAGAGGCAACTGTGGACGTCCCTGGGTCCCAATTGGACACATGCTCGGTCAGTACTACTTGGGGGGGTGGGGGTGGGGGCATACCATAATGATCCAATGGAATAGAATGGTAAGAATGCTATTTAAAGTGCTCCTCGTGTGCCGTCAGCTCTGAGCTCAGAGGGCCCATCGCTCCGTATACGCCCGTGTTCCTCGACGGCTGGAAGCCCGACGCGTTCCGGGCGGACGGGCGGGTTTGGGAGGATCCGGTCGAGTCGCAACACAAGCACGAGGCCCTCCGGCTCAAACAAGAGGTGCACAATGATGCTTAAGGCTCGATTGTCACCGTCACGTCTTACTTACTGCGATGTTTGCATGCGCTACGTTTTGGGCAACAGCAACAACAGCAACAGCAGCAGCAGCAGCAGCAGCAGCTGCTCAACATCCACATCGGTGATGAAATGTAAGGCCTCTTTTCAAGCATCGGTTGGGAACTTGGGCATCTGCAAAACAATTTGCAAGGATTTATGTCTTAAAAAAAATGTCTCATTGCATTTAGTGGTGCACATGGTAGCTACGTTTAATTTAGGCTTATGAGTCGATCCCTTGGTTGGTTAAATATGAGTTTAGACACATAGTCATCATATTTCGAGTCAAGAAAAAGAAGTTTACCAGCGTGTGCTATGGTGAGGGATCACTATATTGGTCTCGATGTGACGTCAGCATGTTCCCTTCCCCCTGAAAGAGACACAGGAGGTCCCCCAGAGTTCGAAAAAGTCTACAGTTGCAGTTATGACTTCATTGCCAGGAACAACACGGAGCTTTCTGTGCAACAAGGGGAGACGCTGGAGGTATGTGGACAATTGCTGTCATTGTGACACAATAGCGGGCCGACGAAGCCCCTACTGAAGGTGGGGGTAGCAAACGCACAGCCCGCCACTGACTTGGGACTTGAGAGTACTGCTCACCGTCTGGCGGTCGGTCCCATTTCCCGCTTGCGTGTAACAGGTGCTGGAGTCATCCAAGCGCTGGTGGAAGTGTCGCAACCGCTTCAACCAGGTGGGCTTTGTTCCCTTCAACATCCTGGAGCCCGTCACTCACGTGGATAGTCCCGTCGCCAGCAGGCCCCCCACCGTAAGGCCCGCACAAACACGCGTCCTCACTCTGGCTGCGTTCACACCTTATTCCACGCAAACGATTCCAAACGCATCCTCTGGCTGTCTGGATAAGACGTTGACATCCCAAATATTCTTTAGATCCCCCAAGCTCCGCCCCCGCCCCCACTCGCCAAGACTTTCACCCCAGCCGCACCCAGCCTGCCCACTCTGCGCCCAAACTCGACTGGGCAACGCATGCCGCACAGCGTGCCCACCTACAACCAGCATGCGTCGGCAACGGAGGACGACAAAGGTAGAGGTGGCGTTCAAACTTTTGCCGCAGCGGATGGCGTGACAAACCCGACTCGTGCGCATCCTTCCCAGTCATGTTAGTGAACGACGAGTTGCTCCAGAGGCTGACCAACGGAAAGGCCATCAACAGCAAGCCTCTGATCATCCCTCGCTCGACGGAAACCTCCCTCCCCCTCGACTACCACTCCAACCCTGAGGAGGTGGCGTCGTGGCTGGCTGGCAAAGGCTTTAGTGAACCGTGAGTGACTTGCTCTGGCGCCGTCTGGTGGCCACTTAAGTCATCTCCGCTCACCTGTTGCTCTCGTAGGACGGTGACATGTTTGGGGGTCCTGACGGGCGCTCAGCTCTTCTCTCTCAGCAAGGACGAGCTACGCGAAGTTATCCCCGACGAAGGCGCTCGGGTGTACAGCCAAATGGCGGTGCAGCGCGCGCTGCTGGAGGTGATCTTGGATTTTGTCCCGCCGCAATTTCAGCAGTGCTCTTCGGTCCTAATAGGGTCTCCGTTGCTTCTCCCGCCTCATCTGCAGGATGCTCGCAGGGCCACGGAGCTGGAGGCCGTCATGGAGAAACAGAAAATGAAGGTGGACCTGAAATTGGAGAGCAGCACGCTGTGAGCGGATGGCTCGCGGGATGGACTTGGCAGCATTGTTATTTAGAATATCAGACAGTACATACCTGGAAATCGTGTGCGGCCGTGACACAAGCTTCCGCCTGTGAGAATCACCGCGCCGCTGTGGTCGTTTGGACTTCAGTTTTGTATTTCACACACGTATACGCCGCTAACTTATAACTGAGTAGATGAAATGCACAGCTTCATTCAAATACACTCACTCCTTAGGACATTTTAGTTTGGACACCAGATGCACTTGCCGGCGGAGCCCTGCCATGTTCCAGTTTGAACCCAATGAGCTAGGTCAAAATAAAAGGAACCCAATCTGCTCAAAATCCACAACTACCCTGCGACTGGGTTAGCAAAACAACCCAAAATGTCTTTGTGTGCGAGTGTGTGTCAGAAATGACCAAAATGCAACATATACTTTAATATGGTTTAATTGTGAAGACTTTTTTTGAAATGAATCCCAGTAGAACCGGATGATGGCCTCATGTAAAGCGACGAAGACGTTACAATCTGTTTGCATGTAATTACAAAGCACGTCTGTTGCATTGTTTTTGTTTTAATGGCGTGTACACATTTCTGCTTCACTTGCCAACACTAACTCAAAGGAACGTTCTATAAATGGTCAACGTTTGGATTTATAGAAAGTCCCCCCCCAATCAATTAACAAAACATGACAGATAACTCGCAAACATTTCCAACAAATTCAATCTTTTTTTTTTTTTTTTTTTGCCCCACTAGACATCGCATTTTAATTTACTCTCACTACTTACTGGCCACCTCCTCCAAAATAAAACATACTACGTTGGGAAAAAAGCAAACCAACAAACATGGCTGACATGTAAAGGACCTTAAGGAGAGCTCCTAAGAAACAAAAACGCGCATTCCAAATTCCGATTCTGTATAGTAAAAGAAACGTAATAAAATAGTATTCACAAATGTATGACTTCTGTGTTTGCGTCACTGTTCATCCGATAAAAGGAAGGCCGGCAAATCACAGAGCTAAGGTGAGCATCGGCGGCTTGATGTCCGATTGTGGATTGGGGTTTCGTGTGAGTCAAAGAAAAAGGGAGGCGATGGAGGACTATGTGGAACACTGCTAAAGGGACAAACGAGATGGTGGGTGTGGTGCGAGATGGACGTTGGCCTTCACGGGTCTTCTCTGTCATCTGCCCTCCGAGAATCCGACCTGCCGTTGACGCCGTCCCGCCGCTCGCGTCCCTGTGACGCGTCTCTGGACGAGCGATCGCGGTCTCTGGATGACCTGGCACCAAAGTCACACACCCACACACCATTTAAGTAGCCGTCGGCCTCCCCCCAAAAATGCCCATCGGTCATGTCATGGTGGCGAATCCAAGAAAACGTGCGTACTTGTGTCTGGAGCTCTGCTCGTGGCTGTGACGGTGGCCTCGGCTTCGGGAGCGGGACCTCTGTCGCCTCTTCCTGTCCCTGGAGCGAGAGCGCGAGCGGCGCTTGTCTCGGGACGAGGAGCGCGAGCGGCGCCTCCTTCGGTCACGAGAACGAGACCTAAAAGGAAGACCAACGTCTGAGGGCAACAAGTCCAAGTACAAGTGGGCTTCTTTGTAGTCGCTTACCTTTTATGCTCTCTGCTGCGGGATCTCGTCCTGTGGAAACAATACAAGATGTTATTAGGAGAAAAAAAATTATAAGGATGTAAATGTCAGCTTCTGTGCTCCTGAACAAAATAATCAATGTTGCAACCTGTGCAAGATTATTATAGCTGACAAAAAAAAAGAAGAAAATAACCAAAACTAAAATGGAAAAAAATACAAATTTCCATTGACAATAGTGCTTTTAAGAAAAAGAAAATAACATCTTACGTTTATTAAATTATATTGTCAGTTACATAGCAAAAAAAAAACAAGAATACTAAAATAAAATGAAGCATTGTCAAAAAATACAAAGGAACAAACCTGCTCTAAAAGCTAATTAAAACGAGCTAGATTTTTTTTAAAAGTCAAAATGAAATAAAAACCAACTGCAAAGAAAAATCCCAAACTATTATGACAATCCAGTCACAAACTCTCTCACCGTTTTTTCATCTTTTCTTCCTTCTCTCTTTCTTCCCGTCTCTTGAGACGATCCTGGTTGCGTTTCTCCTGCTTGTCCACGACGGTTTTCTGACAACAATTAAAAAAAAATAAATAAAAATTTTTAAAGCTTCTGGATGAACAAGACGGCTTTGCGGTAACGTGGCGAGCGTCATCGCGACACACACCTTAAGTTGGTCCAGCTTCTCTCGGATCTGGATGAAGCCCAGGTGGAGCTTGCCGCCAAAGTGGTCGGCCAAACGGCGGTCGTTGTCGTGGAGACCCAGATAAGCCGAGCACACCTCGCAAACGCGCAGCTTCTGCTGCTGGAAACTGGAGGCCGGCATGGAGTTTCTGTATTCCTCCTGGCGGAACACGCAAAGGTGACAAGAAGGAGTCAAGAGTCAAGTCGAAGCAACGAAAACCTAAATCAGAAACAGTCCGTGAAATTCTTGTGATTTTGTAAAAGGACAATTCGTCAAAATTGTTACATCAAAATCTATTTTTAAATCAGCTCATTAAATTGTTCAAAAGTTTTATGGGTTATTATTAAATCACCAGTTAATTTATGTACTGTCACAATTTTTTAAAAATACAATGATATCAACATTGGAAAGAAGAGTTAAAAAAAAATAAGAATGATAATGTGTTTTCCCACCACGGCGGCCTCACCTCTGCATCCTTCTTCCTACTGCGGACTTTCTCCACTTCCTGCAGCACCTTCTGGGATTCCTCCACGTTGCCCTCGGCTCCGAGTTGCTCGGCCTTGGCCAGGAGCTTCCCGATTTCCTCGTTCAGCTCGTGGACCTTCTCCGCCTGTGGCGCCCATTTAACAGCCCCTTATTTGTCACCTCAGAAAGACGAAATAAAAACCAAAACAAACATCTGACGCCACACAAGACAAACCTTGGCCGCCACTTCGGCGCTGATCTCTTCTTGAGTCTCGGCCAGGCGCTTCTTGGCCAGTTCCGTCCTGCGGTCGCAGTCGGCGATGAACGACTCCAAGTGATCGACGGCCTTTGGAAGGAGAGCCATGAGCCAGTCACAAAACAACACACACACAAAAAAAAGCACAATACCCAACCCACGGCGCAGAGGCAAAGAGAAACGGGTCTTGACGAGTTCTTTTTCGCCTTGTGGCGAGGTCACTTACGTCCAGCTCAAAAAACAGCTCTCGCTCCTTGGAGGCAATTTCATAGTCTGCTCGGAGGGCCAGGTCGTGGATCTTGGTACACTCTCCCAGGTCCATGCGCTGTCCAGCAAAAAAAAAAAACAACAAAAAACCCCAAACAACAACACTTCAATAGAAATCGATGAACAGTTTCGCAAACCAAGTGAAAAAAAGTGCATATTAATCACAATACTGATGGGCGGGGGAGAAAATTGCAATGAGGGTCCAAACGGTTGCGCCCGACGACAGCTTGACACTCACGGTTCCCGACAGGATGTCATGCGGGCAGCAGTCGAGAAGGTGACTTTTGCAGACTCGCTCGTCCGAGTACTTGACCCTCTGGCGCGTCTCGTCCCCTGAAAGAGTCCACAAGGCGGCCAGTGAGAACGACCTCACGTACTCGTCGGTGAGGGCCAGGCTTCAGCTTTGGACTTATCTGACTGCCACTTTTGACAACGCGTGTCGCACACGCGACACAGTATAGCCGCATTCAAATCAGCCTCAGCCCAAAACGACAACAAGAAAATCTTGTGGGTCATTAGCATGTCTTAGGGGCTATTCCGGAGCAAACTTGGCCTCTGTGGGCGTACGCGGGAAGCCTCATTGCGTGACTTCATCGGGCCTCAATGACATTATCACAATGGCAGCGGGGCCTCGAGTCTCACTTTAGCTCATTTTCAGGCTCGGCGTCCACACGGTCATGCGCATCATTTGGTACGTCAACGCAGAGGTTACAAATGCAAATCAATCCGGGCGTGTGTTCCCGGGCCAAGCCAGTTACAGACATCAAACAGTGACAGAAAGTAGGTTTATACACACTGCGATTTGCACCACATACTGTACCCTTCTGCATCTTCAAGCCCTCGGCTGCAGAATTTTAAACCGGCTGTGGGAAAGTAAAAATGGGGAACAGTTTTCTTGCCAAACCTGCGGTAAGAAGTTGGGAGTCATACAAGAGTCAGAGCGAAAATGATGTGTGTAAAGTGTTTGTTTCGTCTCGTTTCAAAAAATAAATAAACCAAAAAAGACGTCTACTGGTTTGCTGAGAAGGTTTTTTTTTTTTAATGTTCATTCAGCGCGACCAGACGTCTTTAGCAGCTTAGCACTACTCCAAATTTCATATCTTTTTAAAAAATTAATGAATTAAAAATAAAAGAAAGGAAAAAAAAAACCAGACTACAATGACTCCTGAAAGGCAAACATACTGTTTGGATATTGATCATAACAGCTTTAAAAATTATGTGTGACTCACGGCTCGATGAACATGAGGCTTTTCTGCAACTCCTTTGCAGATTGATGTAGGCTGGCAAAGATACACTGAACCTTAATGAATAAAATAAAGGGGCCACAATTGTTCAGTTTGTATGCAACATATGCACGGGAAGAATTTGTTGATAATTTCAGCACACGCACGCTCACATTCACTCACACTGATAAGGATGATCCACAGGGCTACAAACGGTTAGGATGAACCTCGTTTTCGGCCTACTATAAGACTCAGCAAGTCATTTCTGTGGTCATGTTTGTATCCAAATGGTGGAAAACGCAATTCAATTTTAGACTGGCGTATACAAGTGAAAAACCGTCAACCTGACTCAAAAGAATTCATCGATAATGGAACCTCCCCCCCACAACGTTACTAAAAACAACAATGTGCATGTGAGGTGCCAGTATTATTTTCACCACTTGTGGTTGGCATCCTCACATTCTACAGTCGTATTTGTGACCGTTTTGTGTGTGTGTGTCTTTATAAAGGCAGGGCCAAGCCTGGTGAGTGACGTCAGTGAATGAAAGGTGTTGTTAGCTGTCTGTTTGAACTTTGCTGTTTGTCAGCAGCTTGTTCATGGATGTGCTCATTACATATATGTTTTCTGACACGTGTCTAGAGCTGTGCCTTGTAAATAGATATTATTATCAAATATATAATGATCTATAATCCTCTTATCGCTTATATTGATAGATTGCCCTTGCGGCTATTGAGGGAATCCTGTAATTTATTTTTCTCGAGGTTATAATAATTTTATTGGATGAATGGTAGGAGGCAAATTTAAATGATACTTCAATAGTATCATCGGGCCCAACCGATTAATCGACTGGCCAATTCAATGCACCGATATTAGCTTTTTAAAAAGTAAAGATCAGATTTTTATGACATATCACAAAGATAAATCTTGGTAAAAATAACCGGCGAAAAAATAAAATACGGGACCAAAAATGACATTTTTATTCATACTGCCAAAGATCAAAATCACGCTCAAAATGTCTCTATCAATCGATCTTTATTTTAATTCTTTTCACTATACTGCATTTCTTCAAAAGCTGTTGCAACACCAGATATTTTGAAGGGTATTCATTTGGTCACTGGATGTTGGTTAATCATATTTTGATCGTTTGATTGTGTGGTCTCAAAATACATGTATTTTATAAAAGCATGGAGAAAAGATCACATAAATTGAGATCAATTTCAAAGAAAAAAATTAAAGGAGGATAGATATCGTTGTATAGTTATAAAATCACGAGATAAGGTCGTAATATCGTCACCTTGAAACCGTTTACAAATTCCCATTTTTATCCATTGGCAGCCCTTCAAGTGTTCGCTCTGAGATTCTGGTCGCGCTCAACCGTTAGCCAATTGCTAAAGCTAAAACACACACAAAAAAAAAAAACACGGTAACTGGAGAGTCGTTATTGATCGCTCAGTTTTACTGAAGAAGAAAAAAAGACCAATGGATACAAACATATAACCACGTCATGTGCGCATGTAATAATGAAGTTTGCCTCGTTTGCATTCACGCAGGCCTGCCTCACCACTGGCTCCATCTTGGCTAGCGAGCTAATGCTAGCTGGCCTAGCATGCAAACAGCCACTCACCATCCCTCGCCGTTCCCATCAGCTGGTCGAGCAAAGCTCGCATTTGAGCTTGGGCGGACATTGTTGCTGGCTCTTTCGTCGACGGCGCTGATACCAAAGGAAGCGGCAGAAAAATGGAAGCTTCTGATTAATTGTAGGAGTGAAAAACTGTCATTCGGTCGAGCATCGCCGATTCCAGACGTTCTCTAAGCGTTCTTTTTTTTAAGGGGAAATTGCGTCGAATGCTGTCAAAGTTCCGTTTAGGGGTTGCAAGCGCAACGAGATGGAGCATGGCATAAGCGTTCGAGAACCGCAATATTATCCAATCAAAGCGGAGTTTGCTGAGCAGTAGTCTACATATATCCAATCAGAGCGGAGCTTGCTGCATAATGTGTATTACCCTGAGTCATACTTTTCAGGCAACATTGCTAAACCAGATATTGTGAATTGTGTAATGGGTTGCCCTAGAAAATGTCACTTTGTGTGACTATGATTGGGAATAATGAATTATAATAAATCTGAAAATGTGTTAAGAATTGCAAAAGGAATGTCTACCTGACAGACAAAATCAGGGTTAAATACTTAGCAAATTTTGATCCCCCCCCCCCCCACCTTACTTGCGTACGGGGGACAGCCGTACCTGTCTTCTAGCTTTTTAGCCAAAGATTCGTGAGACGACGCTTGAAGGTGAGTAAAAACTTATTGATTTTAACTTTGAACTCACGTTCCAATGACGGCATCTTTAGTGGTTGCTCGTATTGCAGCTGTCGTGTGGCGTTGAGGGGAGGGGAGGTCAGGGGGGTGAGGGTTGGCCTTTTCGCTCAACAAGTTAGCAAACTGCACAAACGTGAACTCTTCAAAGCCGCAAACTCCAAAATACGAGCGTCGTGGCCGTGCATTCAATGATTTGTCACCAGAGAAGCGTAGCTACTAACTTAGGTACTCCAAATGTATCTAACGTAATCGATCTCTTCTACGCCTGCAAATACAAGTTATGCTAGTCCTAGTTTGACCTGTGCTGGGAAGTATCTGGAGTGACCTTTGGTTTGCATCAATAGGCCAACATTCACAAAGGTAGATGTAGCAGAAGTAACTGGAAATCTCACATCGACTACTGTACAGCCAGGGTTAGTTTTCATGGGTGTTTTGATGTTGTGCCACAGATGATCATTGAATTTTGCCTGTGTCAAGCAGATTTGCGCACAGCGATGCACTAAAAAGGACCATGGACACGACGGACTGTCCCACCGAGGGTGATCCCCTGAAGAGCGGAGAGGACGGAGTGGAGCCGGGGACGGCGCCTCCAGCCACCGAATTGAAAAGAGGCTGCAAGGAAGTGCTGGGGCTTTCCAAACTGACCCACTGGCGCACTGCCGTCTTCTTCCTTTCCTTGTTCCTCTGCCTCACCGTGGTCTTTGCCTTCTCCTTCATTATCCCGTGTCCTGTCAGACCACAGTATCTCGCTTCCTGGAACAGGACATTCCCTGGCGCAGGTGTGTGTTTTTTTTCCCCCCAATTCTTGATAGTGTCATCACAATTTGGGATTTAATGTTATTCTTCTTTTGCTCCAGAAACCTATGACTTCTTAGCCTTTCAAGATGCAAGCAACGACAAAGTAATGGATGTCCTGCTTGTGGTCAAGGCCTCTGAAACCAGCCTGAACAATACATGTGCAAATGCAGGTAAGATAAGGCCAAAATCCTGAGGCAGATATACGTTTCACTACCTCACCACGATGCCCTCCAAAAGCCTTAATGATTGAAATCAAAACTTTGGGGACGTAAATGAGAGAACAATTGGTCTTTGTGCATTACCGCAGGTCTGCCGTCGCCGTGCGTGTTTATGCTGGCAGTGGATGGGACCGACGGGGAAACCCTGTGGGAGCGTCCACTGGATCCGGACTTCCATTGGGCCCAGTGTGGCCTGGACACAAACACGGGAGAGAAGTGGGACTGTCTGCTGTTTCATTCCGACCGACTGTCAGCGCTGGACAAATCGAACGGTAATGGGTGATCACTTTTTTTTTTGTTTGCCAGGATTAAAAGTAAAAAGCCCAAGAAATCTAATTAGGTACATTCAAAAAGGAGGTTGAGCGACCGTTAGAAATGTTGAGAACAATGGGCACCACAACAGTCACAGTTTGATAATGTGTGCGCGTGTGTATTACCAGGCGAGGTCAGGTGGCAGCAGCCGCATCCTCCTGGTCTGCACAGCAGCCTGCCCGTGCTCAGCGTCCCCGATCTGGACGGGGACAAGGTCAGCGACGTAGCCTTGGTGGCATCTGACAGCATGCAGGTAAATAATCAGATACTCAACGCACACAACATTGCATCCAAACAGGTCCAATGCAAGAGTTGCATCCCGAAAACAAGGTCTTCTAATATCGACTTTGAATACTATACACTGTAGAATGTGAGGGTGGCGACCCAAGGTTAACTTGTGTTGCTGAATACCCGTCCTAAAATTTTCAACCCTCCTTTTTTTATTTCCTAAGCTAAATCTTCTTTCAATTGTAGACTCAGCTGGTGTTCCTCTCGGGGAAGACAGGCGTGCAGATTGGGTCCACAGTGGCTCTGAACACCACAGAAACATCCGGTCATCTTCTCCAAAAGACCGGGGAAGGCGCTCAGTACCTGCTGCTGCAAAAGGGTGAGTGAATGTCGCGAACCCCTGCTGATTATTAACAGAATGCAAAGTTTCGGACAAAGCCTTGACTATTAGGAAAATAGTCATTTGTCTCAAAAAGTTTTAATTTTTTTCCCTATTATTTTCTCTTCACTGATAGTTTTACATGTTGACTGTTATGTGCAAGCGGTTTTTATTTTATCGCGGTTGTAGTTTTGTATGACACCTTTCTGACGTTAGTGACCCGGATGTTGTCTGTGGCAAATTTTCCAGACACCGGGTTGTACGGACTGGCCCTGTGGAGGATTGCAGCCAAAGCCAAAGAAGGGCTGGAGGCGGGCTTCAAGAAGCCGAAACAAATGGAGAGAAAAACCGCGGCCGCATCCGGATTGGTCCCCGTCTACGAGTAAGACACCGTGTGCCGGGACTTGACTCGCAGGGCACGTCCGCGTTCTCACTTGAAAACGATGTTTATCCGGACGCATGTAGGTGTGACTCACTGAGGCGTGTGGCGAGAACAGACAAGGCACAGTCGTCCAACTTGATGCTGGTTACGGGCAACGAGGTGCTCTTAATAGATGGAAAGACATTACAGCCTCTGTGGAATTTCAATACCACCTCAGTCTTTAGGTAACCATTTTGGATTCATATTCAGTACAAGATGCATTCTCAGTACGTGTGCTCTCTCTAGTGGTTTGCAGGAGAATCACTTCAATGTTCCAAACCATTCATTCCAATACAGTGAACTTGTTAAGTACACTGGAGTTGTATTTTTAGAATACAGTACTGTAATTACTTTGACTTGCACATGAGATAGTTCTAGAGGTCTTGTGAAAATGGATTAACGGTAAAGTTAGTTGATTTATTGTATTTCTTTTTTTTCCTATCTGACATTCATTTAGGGAACCTGGCTTTGGTCACTTCAACAAAGATGGTATACTTGATATTGCGCTTGAGGAGGATATGGACAACTCCACCAAGAGGGCAAGTTGGAACTCGTCAGTACAAAAAAAAAAAATGGATGTGGTACCACAACATACGTGGCAGCCCTGAGGTTTAGTAACAGTTATGCTAATTTACATTAGCCCGGCTTTGGTGTTTCGCATTAAATTATTAACACTAAGTTACAGAATTAAAAAAAAAAAAAAGGTCTCGATATTGCGGATTTTGACCCTGTTGCATGTTGGTCAGGAACGTGAACTCACAATGCTTGTCTTTTTCCCCACAGGTGGTGATCCTGGACGGGAAGTCCGGTGAGGTGCTGTGGAAAGTGGACCTTGTGTCCAGCGCCAACTTGCCTCGACCCACCTCCATACACACCACCAACTCCATTTCCATCTTTGTGTTCTGGGGGCTGCTGCCCTCGCAGTCCAACTCCACCGTAAGGCTTTTGTGATCGAAACGTCTTCGCACTGCTCGCTGCTATGCAAGATGTGAAACGAAGATCTTCGTTTCAGGTCGAACGTCGTTCTTATATGCTGTATCCGCTCTACTCCAACGTGCTGCTTGAGTCTGAAAACATCGCGGACCACATCGTTACATTTAAAGGTACCACATTCGTTTGCACCCCCGACCCACACGGTACTGCCTTTTCCCCCCTATTAGATCAATCTTATGGCCAGATTAAATCGAAACTCCTACCCTGAAACCTCAAAATGGATGTTGACCAGCGCAAGCCAGTCGTTGAATCCAATCTAACATCAATGTCCAGTTTAAGACCCAAAATCGAGACTGTTGGCTAGACATTGAGTGCATGGGACTTTGAAAGGCACGACCTGGCCTGGTGAGTGACGTGGGAGCCAGCGAATAAATCAGTAAAGTTGGCTGTTGTGAATTTTTATGGCAGCGACGTTGATGGAGAGAGGACGTCACGCCGCCTTCATCCTGCTGACGGGTCCCGACGCCAAGGACACGGAAGGCACAGTCGTCCTCACGAAGTGGAAGCTGAAGCATGACGTGCCTCAGAGCAAGGTGCTCCCCATCGACGACAGCGAGGCCACGGAAACGGACGACAATATCAAACAGGCCTTTAACCGACTGCGCTTCAGCGATAATTGAACTAACCTTTGGACCAGTTGACAGTTTTTCTGTTCATTCCTTCTGTGTCAAGTGTTTGTTTTTAGGCCGCGCGTTTGCATAGACAACAATACATGGTTAGCCGGATAGCGTGATTGCCTCAGCCATTTTTTTCAAGGTTTTCAGAAAACGAGAAAATAAAGAATTAAAACAAGGTCAATGAAGAATTAAAACAAAGTCAATCTTATTTTTTAATTTTGCGGCAAGTTAAAAGATGATTGAGGCAATTACGTAAGCTATGACGCTAACGATTCTAGATGGTGTTTTGTCAAAACAGCTGCTGTTTTCCCTGACAATCACACCGCCTGCTGAGAAATCCATCTGAACCTTTTGCTGTATTTTAACTTGCACTTTCTCACAACGATGCAATTGTTTTCTTTTCCACTTAAGCTCTATTGTGCAAATCTATGCAATTGTTTCACACCTGTGCTGTAAAGGTTAGTGGGGGTAACTGCTGTACATTTTACCACTAGAACAGCCTTAAGCTTTTACATTTCAACTTGAACTACCCCGCCACTTGTTACAAGGATGCACTGTGTGGTTTTATTTTCAAGATTCGCTGAGGCAGTGAATTCTTGCATATTGGTTGTAGCGCCTTATCAATCAGATTTATAGTATTTTGGGGATTTATATTTGTAAGATTTTTATTTTTGCCCTATGTTAATATATTCAAAATGTGTTGCTCTGAAGGCAAGCTTGGTTTTTTTTCTTAAGTTTCAAGTTGTTCAATATTAAAATGATTTTTAAACATCTGGAACTGTGATCCACCTAATGCACCAACACTCGCACTTGATTGTTTTTATACATTTAGTATGACTTTGGGAGGATGCTATGATACAATTTAACAATGCCGGACCGTGCCAAATTCATCCTTCCTCATTGAAATGAATTCCATTAATTTGTTGCAGCATCAAACTGAAACCAAGGTACCACTGACAACAAAAGTGAACCAGGGGACCGCAAAGGTTACCGTTGGCGAACTGTGGTTATCACGCGCATGCGCTGTGTCCGTTGGATTCAGTCACGTACTTCTTAGCTACAGATCATAGTCCAATGATAACGTACAGTTGTACAGTATGGCAATAAATCACTGGGAGCTATTTGCATTCTAGTACTGCATTTAAGTGTACTGTAAACCGTGTTTGACGTGGAAACACCTCTCGAGTACTCTTGAGTGGGCAGTGCACAAACCGGAGCCTAAACATCACTTTTAATACCGGGCAGATGCAATGTAATCATTTACTTGTCAGACTACTTCCGCATTAGGAGACGTTCGTCGTCAGCCGGGAGGCGTTTATCACTGGAACGTTACACTTTGCACTTCTGAGCCTACAAACGACAGCAGACATCCAAGCGATACGAGCATAAGGTAATTTTTATTTACTTTTAAAAGTAGCCTATAAAACAGAATATACTCTTACATTATATCCATATTCTGCTGTGTTTTCCTCGAGGGCATAGAAGAGATATTTTTTAGAAAATGATTCACCTTTTCTCAAACCTATTTTTTCCCCCGATGAATAATTCTATGGTTCCCATACATTTTTTTTGACCACTCATGTCGCAGTTGTTCTTACAATATTGCCGTTCCAATTTTTGCAAAAGATTAATTGGCCTTATTTGCCCAATTTGGCAGGCAATTTTCCAAGATCGACACTTTATTTTGCAGGGGCTTACAGTCTGCAGTGGTGGGAAGTAACTGAGTGCAAATACTTTAACTTAAAAAAAAAAAAAACTCTACTCCTGGCCACAATGTATTTACAGCTGCATCACAATAAATTTGAATAGTGTCTAAAGCTTCATTTACTCAAGCGGTTAAAAAGCAAAACACAGATTTCCTGCAGACATAAATATTCCATGATTTTATCAACAATAAAAATATGCAGCCCCGACTTTTATGAAATATGCTTAAGTTCACAAGCACGTGCACTTCCCAGTGTAAACTTTTGCCACCTTTGGCATGTGAATGCCATGTCAGATGTTGGAAATGTGAGCGTTTAATGAAGGTGCTGCTGCCGCTGCTGATTAAGGACACGCGGGTGACGATGGCTGAGGACATAAAGGCCAAACTGGAGAACTATCGCACCGCTCCATTTGACGCCAGGTTCCCCAACCAGAACCAGACCAGGAACTGCTGGTCCAACTATCTCGGTAAGGCTTCCAGCTCACATGAAACATTTGATCTTTTTGCCAACCCTCTGCATTGAAACTACATCACGAGATGCGCTCTGTTGGTCTCTTTCATCACGTGCTAATTAAGTTCTTTCCCCTCCAACCTGTCCCAAGATCACCGGACTCGAATAACAATTGTATTGTCGTCATCAGTCTGTGACTAGACAAGCTAATAGGTGTTGTATGTTCTTGTCGAATGGCTATTAATAGATTACCATCGCTGCCAGAAAGCTCTGGATGCAAAAGGTGCGGACAACGCCCCATGCGAGTGGTACCGGAGGGTCTACAAGTCGCTCTGCCCCATGTCCTGGGTAAAGAACATCAATCCACTGTTTACATGAAACTGCTCCGTGCAAAACGTTTTGATTTGACATCGTGTCTCTTAGATCCAGAAGTGGGACGAGCAGAGAGCGGAGGGGACGTTCCCCGGAAAAATCTAACGACCACCGTCAACACAGACGAGAATGTGATTAACAGCCTTGTGCTTGTGCTTGGGGAGCGTGTTGCTCCATCAAAAACTTTACCGACTCGAAATGCGCATTCCTTACAATCACCATTAAAAATGTAAAGCAGAGGCTTAATAAATATATTCTATATTTATCTCACTTGTCTCTTGTCCTTCGTGCCGGGCAGTATTCCAGAGTGCCTTCCGAGTACTTTAGAGTACTCCCGCGAGCTTACTGCTAACACATCATGGAAAACTTCATTGATGGGCTCACACTTTACATTGATAGTAGCGTAACGGATTATTTGACATTTGGCTTTACGCTAACAGAACGTGAATGCCCTTGACAGGGTAACGGAAAGTAGATTCAACACCTGGGTAGGAAACAAAATGACATACAGTACACATATATACAATTTATTTGTCTTTGAAACAGGTCTACATGTAATATACAGCGTCAAGATTAGAAAAATAAATAGGTTTTTTTTTCCAAAACACTAAATTCCACACATACAATAATCGTCACCCCATGCTGAGTTCTGACGCCACACACACTCAAATGAAAGACATATTTTATATACGAGGAGTCATTCAACTTGTGGCTTATTTACTCAAATGCAGCTCGTGAGACTTTCCCACGCGACCGTCGCAATGAATCGAAATGTAGCGTACGAGACAAAGTGATTGCGTCCCTTAGTGAGATCGTTGATCCCGGAATTTGAGGTAAAGGTCAGCGGTTTCTGCATATTGGAAGTCTTCCGTTAATGGCGCCGACTCAAAATCCAAGCGTGCAAATATAAACAGAGCTGACCAAATGACTTGAGTCGCGTCAAGTGATCCAGTTGGATTGCAACTTGGGTAAAGGTCACTTGATTTCCCAACTCCTTTTCGACATGATGTCAAGCTCAAGCTAGCATTTGGCAAGATACACTACAAAGCTGCTTTTATGGTATTTCCTCAAATAGTGACCTCTCTTCAATTTGATACCCGTTCCTTTTAATTTGAGAAGAAAATAAGAGTAACTGGTCATTCCTTTCCTTAATTTCAGGCATTGCAATTGGACATTAGAAAGTTCATTGCTTAAACCACTATATGGGAGAAGAGGGTTTGTTTTGAAGATTGACGCACGAGTCAGCTTGGTGTTACGCAAATGCTCATACCCGATCAAAAGAGCCCACATTGATAAATGACCATTAGCTACCAACAATTGTGTGCATAGCATTACATTGGATGAGCAAAGAACCAGGCTTATCAGTGGATTCAATGGTGAATAATCAGTGGATGTAGAAAGTGAGTGAGAGTGGACTGGCTTTTGATTCGACTTGATGTATCTACACGGCACAGGCAGAGTACAGGCACATTAATAATAAGGCTGGCAGAAAGCAGCCTGACGGGTTTATTTAGCCTGGCAACGAGAGAGCCGCTGACTCTGTTTGTAGAGAAGGGATGGGAGTAATCCAACCAGAAAGTGGAATACACTAAACGTGTGTGTGTGTGTGTGTGTGTGTGTGTAGCGCAAAACCGTTGTGATCAGTGCAAAACGTGTCCTCTTCGGTGTGGCTTATGCACATCACGTGGAGTGTTAATAAAATAAAAAAGGGAGAGAGAGAGAGAGGAGCTTGCACCCACCAGAGGCGTAATAGTGAGCCATAAATCAGTACCTCCTCTGTCCGTGCTTGCCAACGTCAGTCATGCAAGTTTTAGGCCGAAGAGCTGAAATGAGGAAGAGGGCGGACACGTTATTAGCGAGCCGAGTTAACCTTTTTGTTGTTAAAACATAAACTGCTCCTGGGGCACTGTGCCCAGATGCATTTAACCAGGGCTGTCAAACCCATTTTTGTCACGGGCCATTACCGTTTCTCTTGGAGGGCCGTTATGACTGTGATACCAGAGGTCGGGAAGAATGGTTTACTCAACTTATTGTATTGCTCTGGCGCCCTCCAGTGGCATCTTGGTGCCAAGGAGGCAATTTGAAGAGAGGAAAGAAAAGCCGTGCTTTGCAACCTCTTATGAAATACGGGGACGTGGCTGTGTTCAAAATAACCTAATCATGTTAACTGGGATTCAGCACACATCTGCCACCGTTTAAAGCCCCCCAAATAAAGTAACGCTGCTCAGCTACATTTCAATTGGGGTCTGGAGACTTTTTCTAGCCACTGCAGAGAATATGAAAATGACTTTCACGTTGACATTGCTCACCTGGGTCTGCGGCCTGCTTCTTCTTGTTGTGATGGACGATCTGATTCTCATTGGTCATCTTCACATCTTGGTCCTCCACGTAGTTACTGTGGCGTGAAAAATGCACACGGGTGGGGAGATACAGAGTCAATCTGCTGTTGATTAAGACGGAAAAAAGGTTCGACAAAATAATGAGGCTGACAGCAAACTCGAGGGCAGAGGTGGTGGGGGAATCACACATTCAATGCGAGGTAAGAGTGGGAGACAACCAGGCGAGGGGGACACTGGGGCAATCTTCAATGTGAGGAGTGACCACAGCGGGGCGCTCTACAGCATTACTCACTGTTTGTGGCGCCGGCTGCCATGAGGGCTGATGTGGAAAATTACACATTATATTCAATTCAAACGCACAGCTTCCGAAAGTTTGCTCATTTAAAGGCATATATTCTTTATCCTCTGCAAAAAACAGCTAATTTTAGTGCAGCTCTTTTCCAAGTGGGGGGCCTCTATATGCAGCAACACTCTTGGTACAAAATGTGACAATCGCACAAAGGGCAACTCAACAGTGCAGCGATTAATACCTGCGCCCTCAGATGGCGTCTTACCTGATGACGGTGTTCCTTTCGCGGTGTGCAATGTACGCGTTGTCGGTGAAAAGGATGGTGTGGTATGGCACCACCACTTCGCACGTGGGCAGAATGCCGCGGCTCATGTGGCTCACGCTGTCCAGGATGCCGTTGTAGACCAGGAGGTCATCCACGAGCAGCTACCCACACACACACATGCGTACACAGAACTTTTGTTGCTGTAACATTAAGCTCGGAGTTGTCTCTTCTGTATTTATAAAAATAAGCTCAAAATGTGGAGAAAAAAATGTATGCTGTACCAACATACGAAATATGGAGGAGGCTCACCCCAAATTCCTTAACTCCTCTCTGCGGGGTCTTGGAGTAGTTCCACAGTTTAATCATGGATACGGTCACCGGCTGATCAAAGATGACATACACGCGGTTCACCTGCATGCAAAAGAAAAAATAGCTTTATTAGCAAAAACAAAAACAAAAACAAAAAAAAAAAACAGTCCAATCTTTCAATTGTTCTCTTTCCTTCTAGCTGCACACTCACCAGTCCCGGGAGCACTGGAGCCAGCCACATGTGTCTTCCATCCTGCGTGCTGTTGATGCCGTCTATTAATTTATCCGGAGTCCTCACGTCGCCGCTCACGTTGTCAAGTACGTTGACACTGTCTGGGAAAGCAGCGATGTCTGGCAGACGTTGAGGAACACGTAATTAATAGGCTTTTCTTTTTCAACACGTGTTGGGCAAGCAGACGGATGCGAATTGACTACGTCGGGCAGGCTGATGCCTCCTGACTGAGAATGAACAAACAAACGCCAGAGAGATGTTGCACCATTTAGCAAGGGGGTTGGCGGTGCATTTTACATTATTTGCGCTCCACGGGGCAAAAGGATACTATTGTCACTGAGGCTGATCTTTTCATGATTCTGGTTGTAGAACTCGAGGCCGTTGAGGCCGATGTAGTAGGAGTCTCCCCAGGTGGTTAACAGCTGCAGTTGAAAGATGACTGGCGGGTAAAAACAAAAATATTATTAAGGAATACAGCACACAAAGAAGCCAATTCTCTCACAAGCTTTGCATCCATCTGCACAAAGGATACATCCACAAGGCATGATGGGAGCTTCGTAATCCATGCTGGCTTGTTCGGCTTTCTTTGCGCCTCGCCTGAAGTGGACACAAGCGCATGGCATAAACGCATTTCTCCCACCAGAACGCGGAGACGCGCAGACGTGTTTGTACTTGTTGGGGTGCTCTTCAGCACTCTTGCTGTCGGTGGGCGTCTGGAGGTAGTCCACGAAGAGGATCTCTTGGGCAAAGTCAAAGTGACAATTGCCTGGGCCTTTCCTGATAAGGAAGCCCTCCACTGGGGAGATGGCCACGTCGTCCATGATCACGTGGATCACCTTCACCTAGGGGGTAAACATTTTCGGGGTGACATTGAATTCATCATGAGCCCATCACACGAGGTGCACCGACGCAAACTCCGACGGGGTCCCACCCCTCTGTACGAGTCCTCGGCCGACTTATTGTAGTTCCAGATGCGGAGCCCGGCGACCGTCTGCGCCTGGGGGAAGGCGATGCTCACTGTGTGAGGCTCTCCGTAGGAAAAAGGGATTAGCCACATGTGTCGGTCATCTGTGGTGATGTTGTGGCCATCGATGAGCCTGCAAAGAAATGACGCGCCGTTTTTTTTTTTTCCACATGGTAGGGTCAAGAAGGGTCTAATCATGGCCGGCAATGAATTTAAAAAGGTCAGGAATATTTAGGGTGATGCCATTTAGGGGTGCACGGGGCAGTTATGTTGAATGTGTTAAATTATGATGTGGTCCTCAGACAACGTTCACCAAGACCAAGCGGGGTCTTGAGCATTCCCACAGAATCAACAGACATACTTATCGAGGGTGCGCGAGTCATGTTCGTATCGGGGCAGATCATTGAGGCCCCCCGCTGAGGCGGCCATGACACTGAGGTCCAAAGGTAAGCCCTCCCCATCTTTCCCGACCACCTCCAGTCCCGTCAGGCCCATGTGGTGCGAATCGCCCCATGTCGATGCCAGCTCCAGACGGAGGCCTGGTCGGGGTTTGAAAGAGAGGCGTGGTCAGCATTCAGTGAGGATAAACGCTGAATTTGGGAGGAAGGAGCAGAAATGTTCAAAAGATGCGCTCACACTTTCCAGTGTACGTCCCAGGAATCTGCTCCATGTTCTCCAACTGGCTCGCGCTGGCGTTGAGGTGAAGTTTCAACTGTTGAGAGAAGTTGCGTGCATGGATGTTTTACGGCTGACATCATCGTTTCTTGTAGCGCCAAAAACAATGGAGAGTGATTTTCATGTGTGCAAAATGTACAATTGTGGGAAAAGTAAGATTTATTCATTTATTTTTCTGTCGTGGAAAAGAGTTTCTCACATCATCATTGTCGAGCCGTTTAAAGCCGTGAACTTACGGTGAGGTCCTCCTCTCGGAAGCCAGCCTGCGTGAAAGGTCTTTCCTCTCCCTCGCCGTCTGCAGTGCGCGGCCTATGCAGCTCCTCCTCATGCACCGGATTCTCCGATCCTTGGCTCTCACCGAGGAAGGTTTCGTCAAAACGGGACATGGCCTCCAGGATGTCATCGTCGGTCGTGAACAGAATAGTGTCCCCGAATTGATCCAGCCCTGAGTTCCGATAAGGTCAAATCAGTTAATCAAGAAAAACATCAAAAGCCCAAATTTGTCACATGACCAAGCACCTGACACAATTTATAGCAAATGAATGTTGCCCACTGAAAAATGCTCTGAAACGAGTTGTTGGCTGGGAACACACACAGACACACACACACCCCACAAGAAAAACAAAATATAGTATGATTCGATACCTCCCGAAAGAGTCCCGGAAGCTTTGGCAATCTCGCCCCTGAAGATGCACCTCCCATCGAGCATCATCTCCACCTCCTTGACTCCTCGGAAGGAGTGGATGCGCGACTTGTTGTAATTCCACACGCGGATCATCGCGACGTGGTAGGCGTGTCCGAAGTCCAGAAAGATGGTGTGGCTCCGACCCGGCGTGAAGGGGGCGAGCCAGAGATGCATGTCATCCTGCGTGCGATGAACACCGTCCGTCAGGTTGGTGACCACGCGGGGGTCCTTGCCGTACGCGGGCAGGATGTTGATGTCGGGGGGGTCGGCGCTGATGTGAGCAGGTCGGACGGGCTCTCCGCTGGAGCTGAACACTTCCAGGCCGTTGAGGCCCACGTAGTGGCGGTCCCCCCAGGTGGACCGAATGTTGATGAGCAACCTTTGGCCCTTGGGGAGCACCGGGATCTCAAACTCTTCCTCCTGCTCCAGGAAAGAATCCCCGTCCGGGCCCTCGTACGGCAGCCCCCGGGCGGCCGAGGCTGAGGAAGGCGGGCCGGCGGCAGCGGCCGAGAGGTTGACGGGGACCGCGGGGGAGCCGCGGCCGTGCTGTTGCTGCTGCTGGAAGTCGTCAAATATGTCGCCTTCGAAGCCCATGTTGGAGATGCGGCCTCGTTGGCACTGGTTGAACTTGGTCAGGGAGTCCCACGATTCCATGAGGGTGTCGTCCCGGTGGCTGTGCCCCAAAGGCCTCGGGGTCCGCTGCCTCCTGCTGGCTCTGGCTGACACGGTCGCCTCTACAGAAAACATCACAATGAGACCTGTGCCAGGACTGGATTGGAGAATCAAGCAGTATTATTTCGAGACCTCCACCTCTGTCCAAAAGCGGACCTGGTTGGTCCTAATGAGCGTCCCCACCTGGATTTGATTTCATGTGTTGCTCCTCCGTCTGCCTATTCCTTAAGGAGCTCCTTCGTCCACTGAAGGGCCGCTCATGCTTTGGCTCTCCGAGCTCGTCGAGCAGGTCGCAGCTGAGGTCCAGAGATTCGGCCTTCCACTGCGCCCCGTTGGGCGCTCTCTCCCCTCCCCTGCACACCCGACCGGGGTTACACGGCAGCTCCGGGAGCAACGATGACGATGAGGCCGAGGATGGCGATTTGGGCTCGGCAGCGGGCGGCTGCTGGGGCACCAGCCAGCGCGGCCGCTCCCTGCTGGCCTCGCAGCCCTCCGGGGCGGCTCTCTTCAGGGGCTGCAGCCACTGGGGGGTCATCCGCGAGGAGGGCGGCTGCACGGTGACCGTCTGCGCCATGGGGGCGGCCTCCTCAAAAGAGTTTCTTTGCGCGGAGGAGCGCCGAGCGGCGATGGGTGGAAGAGGGGCGTGCGAGCTCTCCTGAGTGTTCATCATAGCTTGGCTTGACGCATCTGATGACGGCAGGGCAGAAGTGAGGTGCTGGTGCGCGCCGCTGTCATCGTGTCGCAGGGGGCTTGCCCCCCGGAGATTGTTTCCCGAAGATGATGTGCTGGAAAACAAGGAATCTGAAGCTTGGAAGTCCTGGAGCTCGATGGTGTTGCTGTAGTCGAAGACCTGATTCCCGCAGCCCCGCTCCAGCTCGCCTTCAAACACCAACGTGCTGTTGAGGTACAGCTTTACATGGCGTGCACCGATGTCAAGTTCCTGTTCAGAAAAAGAACCCCGCCCTCCCCACCCCATATTTTGAGCAACAGAAACAAGTTCTATTTTTAGAGGGCTTTTTATACACTGCAAAAACGTAAATCAAAACAAGACCGAATGCTCGCCACTTTCAGATCATGACTCAAAACGCACCTCTGAGAAAAACAGACACGCTTTGGGCTTGACAGAATGAATGAATGAATACATCTCGGATGCACCGAATTGAGTCGCACCAGCGAGCACTAAGTAGCCGTTCTGGATAACGACATGGCTGAGGCCCATCTTAAATCCGACTGATCCTCTTGGCAGAGGCGGCACGGAAACCCCAGTCAAGCGACGACATTCCCACCCTTTATCTCCTTACCCGACACGGTCACTCGTTCACTTCAAGGAGGTCTCTCATCTTGCAAAGAAACCACAAAAGCAACACCTTTTGGGCAGTATGTACCCCTGAATGAACAACAGCGAGGATGAAAGGACGCAAGCCTACGCTTCCTCTTGCACTAATCTTCACGGCTAATCTCTCTGTGCTCCACATTTGGGACAGACTGAGTGGCAGTCCGGCCAGCCACTGCTTAAAAGGAAAGGCGCCCCTGACGTAACGATACGGATGAGGGCATCCCCTTCGCGGCAATCAAAAGAGCAGCAGCGCAACGATAGGGAAAGCAAACGGGTACTCACGCTGAGGCTTCTGTTGTAGTTCCAGATTTTAATGCGCGATATCCCAAAGTCTGCCGAGCGCTCCGTGTTCCGGATGATGAAGTAGAGTTGGATGGGAGGGTGGAAGGGACACGTCCACATGTGGCGCTCCTTGGTCGTCTGGAAGACCACCGCAGCACAGCCAAACAAATCAGTGAACGAGATTTGTTCTCTACACGTGCACATTGGGGGCGTCATTTCTTTAAATATGTCACCAAATAAGAGGGCTCGATTTACTTAAAGGTCCTTTGTTGAAAGCAGATATACACCAGCACAACCGTGGAATATACGATCGATATAAAAAGTCTTCCCACCGCTCCCGAAGTGTGTGTGTGTGTGTGTGTGTGTGTGTGTGTGTGTGTGTGTGTGTGTGTGTGTGTGTGTGTGGGGTGTTTTTTTGTTTTTTTTTTTTTTGTGATCTAACTCCCTCACTCAAAGGATAACAAAAGGGTACCTAATTTTGTGGTTGGTGAATTTCCAACCACTTTCTTGGATGGAGAACCTCAAACGCATCAGTGAGGCAGGAGACTGACCTTGGCCCTGCCGTTGACGAGCACCGGCAGATTCCCGGGATAGTCAGCGTTCCTGATGTCGAGGTCGTGCGGCGACACATACAGCTTCTTGTTTCCGGGTCCGAAAAACTGCAACTCGGTCAGGCCCACCTGCATCCCGTGCCCCCAGTTGGACAGGAGCTCCATTGTGACGTATACAGCAGGGGGGACCTCGGACGAGCGCCTCGGCTGCCGTGACAACATATGCAAGAAAAAAAAAAGGCGCTATAAAGGACTCCTGACTCAGCATTATTCACAAGGGAGGTTTGGCGACTTACCGGCGGTTTGCTGCAGTCGCTTTTGGCACCCTGAGGAATGTTGAAGGTGGGTGCAGCTTCCAGCTCCTCCAAGGCTTTCAGCAGTTTGTGCCGTTCCCTGAAACAAAACATGACCACCTTCTGCTTCCTTCTCTCTCAAATCATCATCATCATCATCATCATCATCATCATCATCGTGCTCAGGAGGTACAAAGAAAAGATTCCGTTTTCATGTCGTTTCTATAAATAGTACACTGCCATGCTTTCGGCCTGCAAAATGTCATGGATAACCACAAACACAAAAAGACTGGAATAGCGATTCTCAAACAGGGGTTCATTCAATCACGTGGGGATCAGATTTTGATCCCCCAAAAAGCGCTGTTGGTCGGCCTGCACGTCATAAAAGCATTGGGGGGAAAAAATAACGTTTTTTGATTTAAATCCAAAACATTCTTGAAAAAAAAACAGGGCTAAATCTCCAATTAGTGTTTTCCACATTTTCCCTTGTGTGACTTTTTTTTTCATTAAAAAAAAAAAAAAAAAAACTTTTTCCCCTCATTTATCTTTGACTTCAAAACCGTAATGATCCAATTTGTGAGATTGCAACTTTTTATTCAAACAAAATACGTCTTTTTTTTTTTCCTTGAACAAATACAGGTTAATTCTCCTTCAGACTCCAACCTTTACCCTCATTCATGATCGTCACGTCAAGATTTTTTCTCTTAAAAACATTTTTCAATGACTATTGCATTTCGAGGTACGCTTACGAGCTTGTCACGGCAAGTCAACCGTTCGAATAATGAGGGCTTCCTTGGAAGGGTTTCGCCCACGGATAGGACTGAGAATACAAAAGCCATCATCGTGTGCTTATTTTGCACCAACCTGGAGCCCATGAGTGTGATTCTCTGCATGGCCAGAGTGACACTGCTGTCCTCTTTGTCGCTGCTGTTACGATGCATTAAGCCGTTCATCATCTGCTGCCCTCCGCCCTGGAGCAAGTGAAGCAGAATGGAAGAGTTGCACGCACGCACACACACACACACACACACACACACACACACACACACACACACACACACACACACACACACACACACACAAAAAGCTTTTGGGTAAGGGTTTAGTTGCCAGCCAAATCTGTCACTGGATTAAAATCATCAACATTCGTAGAGTGACTAGTCTACAGTGACAGCGGGGACAAAGTCGGAAAAAGCGTCGGTGTGTGTGTGTGTGTGTGGGGGGGGGGGCATGATGCTGACCATGTTGCGATGGAAAAGCTCTGGACTCTTGTTCTCCGTCTGGATGGCCTCGCACACCCCACGGGCCACGTCGTCTGGGTCCTGCTCCATAGTCAAAGCCCTCCTGGCTGTTGACAGGGGCCTCTCAGCCTGACTTGTCGGCCCTCAAAACACGCACACATTTATGTTATGAAGTGTTTCCCCTTCCTTTGTTGAGCCAAGGCACATCTCATTAGAAAAATCTCACGGCAACTTTCACGCCATATGCATTGTTACTAGTATGCATATGAACTGCACAGGTCACATTTTTGAGATTTGCTTTCTTGCAGTATAATTGGAGCGTCCAAAAATCAGATTGATGGGATATCTGGGTTTCACAGTGGAACCTTGTGCCGTATCCGATCAAATCATCTTTCCCCTATCCAAGCTGATTCGTAGCGAAAGGCAGTCTAGTCTACATCCCGGACCGGTCGGCAGTCAATCACGGCATCGTCGAGAGGGAACTGAACCCACGCTGCCTGTCTGGCGAGTCGACCACTGCGGCGTCAGTGACCCGCGTTTGTCTAAAAGGATGCAAGTTAACTGCCGAAGCAGAAGACTTACTTGGACTACCCCAGCCGTCTTTTGAAGGCGGCATGTCTAATGTTTTGCTCTTGACCAGCAGTGGCTTGGCGGGTAGGACAGAGTCACTGTTTTCCTTCCGCTTTGCAGACAAGGAGCGCTCAAGCTTACGACCTGGAATAAAAAGGTGGAGAAGAAAAGAATTTCAGGCTTGGATATACTTCCATCTCCAAAAGACATTAGAATTGGATTTCAAATTTTAAAAACAATTCTAATTCCTGCTCGCAGGATAAGCCATGACATCACCGTTTCCCGTGCGCTGATTGGTTGGACGGACCTTTACAGCCGACTCTAAAGTGCATTACAGTAATCCAGCCAGGATGAGACAAAGGCGTGAATTACTGAATTCCTTTTTTCCACCATGTTACTCTCAGTGATGAAGCAGTTGGAAAAAAACAAAAACAAATCATATTTCACATATCGACGTGGACGGTGACACCCACCTTTAGGTGCCGGTCCAAAGTCGAGGACAATGAGGTTTGCTGGGTCAAAATGGTGTGAACTGCTGGGCCGAGGGCTGGAGGAAGACTTGGAGGACGACAAGGGAAGTCCCAGTTCGTCGAGACTCTCTGTACTCTCGTCGCGCTCAATTTGCTCCTCCACCCACTCTTCGTCGGACTCCTCCCCCGCCGAGCCGCGGCTGCTCCGCCGCATGCTGTTCTCCAGGCTGCGCCGTAAAACCTGAACACAAAAAGTTGCTGTTCATAGACATGCCCTCGCATAGTGCCGAATATGGCATGTCACCGTTACAAAATAATTCGTTCTTGCATCGACAAGAAGTGGCCGAAATACTCACAATCTATACTCAAGTAGAAGAACCGAAGAAAAAAAAATACACTTTAAAAAGGTAAAAATGAAATGTGACTGTCAATGACATACGATACATAGTTTTGATACCTTGAAATGGTGTCCCTCTTATATTACATACAGTACTTACATACGTACTGAGGAAAAAAATAATTCACATCACTCGTTGCATATTTTTAACCACTAATTAAAAATGTGTTTCCAAAATGTCAGAAAAAGCCTACTAGAACTGCTGAAATTTTGAGGGCGTTAATTAGAGGCACTTTAGATGTCATCGAACGTGAGCTTGAATATTGATTGGTGCGCACACGCTTGTGCAAACACATTGTACCACTTGTCTAATTTTAAGTGCCGACACTAAAGTTTAAATTATTTGTCCTGGTCTCACGCTTTTAGATCACAAACATGTAACATTTGAACAAATGTGTCAACTTCTGTCCAGTATATATCGTTTTTAGTCATATGTGGGAATAACAACAAAGGAAGAGTGTGTAAGGAGATCTGATTCCAAATGTAGGGTATAAAAGGGGAAAAAAATCATCAGGCATTGATCATCTACTTAAGCACAGCAACAGGGTATCCCCCCCGCACTGACCTTCACTTCCTCGAGATTGAGAAGCACCTTTTCGCTATGCTCCTGGCTCGCTTGTCCTGCTTGGTTGTGGGGCCTGGAGCTGAAGGAGCGTGAAAGCGCACAGCTGTCCCTCGGGGAGCAGGGAGCGCTAGGCGAGTGTGGGCCGGAGCTCTGCGCGAGTGGCGGTGGTTGGATTGGGGAAGGGTGTGGGAAAGAGGGGCGCAGAGATGGAGAGATGCTAAACGTACAGCAGACAGCTGCAGCTGACACACAAACCCTCCCATTAAAAAAAAAAAAAAAAAAAAAAAAAGAGCACAGAAGCTTGGTGTGTCCATTGTACCTCCATGTCTACACTTTCGTAAGTCTCAAAATCATCACAGTAGCGCTTTTCCGGGCATATCTTCAAATTCGGTCCATCCTCTGTTCGGATTATGACGGACTCCTGTTTGAACATGGAAATACCAGGATTGGATTTCAAAACACATGGATCATCAAAAGTACCAAGAAGTGTCAAGCGCGTACCTGTGTCCATTCTTTCCTCTGGACCTTTCCGGGGGCGGTGTGGCTCCGGCGCTTGTGGCCGGGCTCCAAATCTTCACTTAGCTGGTGGGCGCGTCGACAGACATCTGCTGATGAGTCACAGCACGAAAAAGGGGAACATGAAGAGCGTGCGGCGTGCCGCGCCGTTCGCTCGCTGCAGATGGAGCGCTGCAATTATGCACGCAGATGGTCCGCGGCACATATGAGGAGGCATGGAAAAGCTGCTGCCCAGCTATAACTGTCACTATCGTTTCTTCAGTGGAGACTGGACACGTGATCACGGCACGCTAACTTGATGGAATATGTATGCGGTCGTATACAGTATTTATTGAGGTCACTCCAAAGTTAAACACTATTGAAGTGTACCAAACGCGTACAGCGGAATTATTGTACATGTTCTAGTGTCTGCGTGAATGTATGTGCCTTTTTTTAAGAGGCAGGGCCAGGTACGGTGTGGCATGTGACGTCTGCGTGCGAGGGCGTGAGCCTGAGCAGCAGCTTTTGCATGAACGAGCTCGTGAGTTTGTTTGCGTTTGTCATGCTCGCCAGCCGTTATTAATGGCTGAAAAGTGTATCGGAGACTGAGGCTCTCCTTTCCCATGTGCGAGGGCATCACAGTAAGTATGTCAAAACCCATAGAGTGAATGTTTGTGGGTTTTTTCCTTGACCAGAAACTACAAACCTGCTGTACACGGAGTCCTCCAAAAGGGCGTGGAGGTGACAGGCTTGTGGTTGGTGCTCTTGCGCTGCCTCTTGCAGGACTCGGCATTGGCTCCGTTGAAGTAAATAGAAAAGCCTTGTTCAAGTCTTTCCAATTCTATGTCTCTGGGGCCTTTGGCTTTGAGGCGATTCAGGATCCTGTGGACCATAGACAAGCTCCACTGAAAACTTCCAGTGTAAACTTTCTCAAAATGAGGAGCCGATCATTGTTTTCGCAGTGTTAATCAAGGACTAAAAGTCATGGAAGACTTAAGCATCTTCACTGTGAAATCCAATCGGCGTCCCCTCGAGAGCCCGTGTTCACACTTCACCTGTTTCTGTGCTGGAGCTCGATTAAATATTCATCGGCGTTGTCGTCAACGGCGGCAGCGGCAGCGAGCTTCCTTCCTTGGCATGCCTCAGTCTCCTGCAAGTGCACATGCACAATGCACAAACATGGCACGAAAGCCGACCTCAGTTGTTTGACTGTACACAGCACACTTCACTGCGACCACAATCAATAAACAGCACACTGCCCAAGTCAAATATATTGGTAAAAAAAAAAAAAAAAAAGTTATTTTTATGCAATACAATACATGCTGATTTATATAGACAAGGACCTACTGAAAATTTGGACAATAATTTCAAAATCCCCAGAACCTGACATCAGTGGGTTGACGACACCGCACATCTCAGTAGTACTACAATCTAAAAATTCCTCACAGGTATCAAATTCAAAGTGCTTATTCAGGTAAGATAAGATAACCTTTATTTGTCCCACACTGGGGAAATTTGCAAATTATTATAACACATTAATGTTAATGTTTGCTCAACAAAAGGGATTCAAAGTGGACTATGGGCTGCATCTATCCTTGACCACTTGAGAGATTACAAGACATTCAATAGGCTACTTTGAATTAACAACAACAAAAAATGTAAGTGTGAAATTGAAAAAAAATACGGGAAAACAACTACTGCGCGGTTTCCAATATATGTTCTTTTCGTGACAACTTCGCTAATACGATCAAATGTTTGCTTTCACCGGCATGAGGCGGAGCATCCATTTATATCCATGCACCATCATGCAACATCAGCAGTAAAGAAGAAAATCCCAAGACCCTTACTTGTGATTTACTACAGGCTACTGCATCTGACAATCAGCAGGGAGGAGAAGACAAGCCAGGCAGGGAAGAGGAACACACAATAGTGGTTAAATAGCATCAGTTCAGAGACTAAAGGAAAGCACTGGAAAACAAGTGCTGAAATGAAAAAGAACCTCCTCTCCGACTTGACGTGTTGAGCAAGAAAGGATGCGGCCGGCTGTGGATTTGGTTCAATAAAACACTAAGCCGAGCGAATGTGGCCTACCTCGTTTTTATAATCCATAGTGCGGCGGCCGACAGTGAAACAGATGCTGTGTCCACATAACCTCGTGGTGCGTTCCGGCGCCCTTCGGAAAAAGAAAACAGCACCGCCACGCCTGACCTTGCCTTGGACACACCACGAGGAAAGACCTCAACATTTACGAGGGCTGCATCCACCGCGCATGAACAGTAATGGGAAGCTGTAGTGGGGAAACATTGTATGCATCTTCGGAATGCATTTTTCAGCACGGTCAGAGAATTTCTGTGCTCCATGAACACAACCACGATGTGTCACTATAGAGAAGCCTTTATTAGGGGCCTATGTGATGATCACAATTACGTGTGCTCTTTGTTGAAGTGGATTTAGACTCTAACAGTCCATTTTGATACTTGACATTATATACTTTACCGTACACAAGTCATAAATGCCTCCAGAACACCGCCATTCGTGGCTAAACACACCTTTTTTCCCCTTATCGATGATTCCAAAGTGTGACTGTCTTGCTGTTTTTCAGGTTGCATCCATCTTCCACCCGAGTCGAGAATTCTTCGAATTATATAAAGCTGGTACTGTATCTTCTTTTTCCGCCTCTGCCGAGCGCTGCAGGTGGAAACAGATGGGGGTCGGGGGGGACACAACACCCCGAGGTTCTAAGTGATAATTCGATGGAATTTTTGTTTCGTTCTTGCCTAGCAACGGGACACAAACATCTGCTAACTACACGATAGTGGCTAAAATGTGACATTAAATGACGGACACGATACACGGGTAACTAGGAAGCTAACTGTTCCAACTGTCAATAAAAAACATCACATATTGAGCCAAATTAGAAACAGCGACATAGATTAGCCATAACAAAAGAGTTTACTAGTACAAATAAGTCTTTTATAAAAGAACAGGTGGTGTTAAACAGTAACTCGGTAGCGTAAAGAGTGAGCACATGCTAATGGATGCTAGCCAGCTAGCGCCCGCCGAATGAATAGCAAAACAAAACGAGTTCCCTCACAAACTCTCAACACTTCGGCCACAATGTAGTTATTATTACTACAACCTACCGTCGAGGTCGTAGAAATAATCAAATGCTTATCAATTCGCTTGCTTCTTTTCCTCATGTGTCCGCTATGTTGTGATGGCCGGTTACCAGGATGGCACTCCACCAATCAGGAGAGCCGCATAGGTCGACGACACGCCCCCAAAAGCCATCAATTCAAATGCACACGTCCAGTGTCAACAGTCAGAAGTTGAACACTGTTTATTTATTATTTAGAAATCAATACAATTTATATAAACGAAGGGATAAAATGAGGTCTGAAATAAAACCGTTGTGGATGTAAACTAAACAGATCAGGTTACGGTCACACTCTTTCGCCACAGGATTAATTGCAGACGCTCATTAACGCCACCGTATGGAAAGCCGTTTTGAGCAATAATATCCTTGATGCACTAGTAGTCTGTGTTCTCACCAGTAAGACAATTCAGACCACTAGAAGAACGACTTGCTGACTGTTACTTGTAAGACAGTTGTTCTACTAGCGCGCGTGTCTTAATAGTGAGAACAAAGCGTATACTATAGTGTACATGGTCCTGAAGCTGGCTATCAAGGATATTGAACACACCCGCACGCGGCTTTTCATACCCAAGTCAACTCTGTGATGGGTTTCAATTGAATGAATGCGGCTGACAAGACAGCATTGCAGTTCAGCAACAGCGTAGCAACTTAGCAGGCCGTAGTTTTGTGCAATAATAGAACCGCCACCGGTCAACTTTGCGAAGTGTGCACTTGTTGTGCGTTTGTGTACAGGCTGTCAAACCCCGGACGGCCTGGAGGTAAACAATATTCATCTTTCAAAAGCAACGGGATCGAGCCAGCGTCATCTCGACCGGGAATCGGCCGAGATGTTGCTGTAGCTTTTGCTCGTTTGGGTTGCAAGTAAAAGGCAGCGTCATTGCGTTTTTACACACTTAGCTGCTTCTTGAAAGGAAACAGACATTTGGGTAGACGTGAGAGGTCGATGGGGAGCACTGCAAACCTCAAACTCATTCGGGTGTTGGAAAAACATGAGTCTGTTACCTTGGAAGGAGGATTTCCAGTGAATCAAAAGTGTCAAAGGAATTTTGTCCATTTAGAAAATGCCCTTGGAATATAATTGTATGTTTCTGTTTGCCAAAAGTGGCCAAGGCAAGGCAAGTGCAACTAATCCATCCTCACAGCACCGCAAGACAGAAGCAATTACAACCACGAGACCAATCAGGACGACCCTCGCATTTCCAAAAATGGGTTGACGTTTAGTCCCAGTTTCCCTTTTTTTTTTGAAGATGACAAAATAAATCAGCAGTTACCAGATGCAAATGACTACAGTGGTGCCTTGAGATACAAGTTTCATGCATTTTGTGACCATGTTTGGAACACAAAATACAAATTTCTCCCTGGCCCCCCCCCAAACAAAAACATTGTGCATCTCAACCCCACCCAAGCCATCAGTATGGCACTATTAGTCGATCTTTGCAGAGGATAAACAACATAACTGAGTTCTATTCATATCTGATGATGTGCTCTGTGCTGTTCGTGTTCAATAATTTGCGTAAATGGTTCGAGCACAGCAACATCAATTAGCATTAAGTTAGTGGGCTGAACGTCTACACTGAGACATTAAAACTTCAACTGGCAATAAACAGCTTGAAGCCTTCAATTACCTAATCGTCGTATATTGTGAAGTGAGAGTTGTTCGCTGCCACGATGCAGCGCTCGTATCGTAAAACAAACACATGCAATTGACGGCTTGTATCTCAAGGTGCCACTGTGATTTCTAAACCAAGGAATGGGGGTTAATAATGTTATAGCTCTTTGTTTTTTTGCTTTTGAACAAAGCCTTCAACAGATACGGTGCAAGTAAAAATGTCTCACAAAAAAAAAACCAAAAAAAAAAGGGGGGAGTAGAGCAATAACTTAAATAGAAGTGCTTAAAATGTCAGTTCACAGAGCCCTTTCAAAAACGCTTAAAAAAAACAAAACTGCAAAGCAGGAATCCCATCCCAACAGAAATGCTGAGCTGTATGATAATACGAACGTTCGCCCGAATGGTTCACTTCAAAGCCAAGGTTCCTCTCCCTTCCGAACGTTTCGTGTTTGCTGGTCAGTGGCCCCCCCACGTCTGTGATCCTCTGCCGCCGTCCGTTTCGAGCCTGTCCAGGCTCAGCGAACACTCCGTCCGAGTCGGCGTGCCCTCGCCGTGCATCGCCATCGCCACTCGTTCCTCCTCTCTTTTCCTGCGCTCCAACTCCCACTCGACAAACGTGTCGAAGAGGCTGGGCCAGGCCTCGTCCTCGCTGTAGTTGCTCAGGTCGGGCCCGATGGCCTGCGTGAAGTTCAGGAACATGTTCCACGTGTCCCTGGAGATACCCCGGATGCCCGGCGGGTTCTCGGCCAGGAAGTCCAGCCAGTGCTCCAGGATGAAGGGCATGTCCTGGGTGAAGACGAGGCGCCACAGCGCGATGGCGATGTCGCGCTGCAGCGAGCGCTGGCCCTCGTCGGCATCCAGGCCGAACTGGAAGGTGAAGCGGTACAGGTCCTTGAAGTTCTCCTCACCCTGGGCCTCCAGCAGCATGCAGGGGAAGCGCGAGCAGATGCCTTCGAGGCTGTCCGCTTGAATGGCCTTGCAGCCCTCCACAAACTCTTTCCTGGTCAGAGCAGACATGGGACAAGAACTCTCAGTCAATCAAACAGAAGCAATACGAAACGACGGCTTTTTTTTCCGACGCAAACGACACCACAATGAAATCATCGTGAGAGAAGCCATGTTCGGGATCACTCCCAATCCACAACAAAAAAAAAAAACAGTCAGGTATTAAATTAAATAGAACATATAATGTGGTTGCAAAAGTGTGCACATGCCCAGCCTATTTAAATGCTATTTTCTAATCCAACCCGGAAATGTAACAGTCGATTTCTCTGAACTGCTTCAGCCCGTCGTCCAGAGTGTTGACTTTCTTTCCATTTTTATTCATCTTGTTATTTTTATCGCAATATATGTTCAAGCCGACGTATAGCACTTTGTTATAGCTGTGGCATTTTTTTTTTAAAGCGCTGTGATTTGAGTCGAGTTAGGTCACGACGGTCTGCTGACTGCCTTTTACGAAATCTCTCTCACATGAGATTATAAACTAAAAAGGTAAAAGAGCCTTTCAATGCGTTTCCCAGAAATTGCGAAATGCACTTCCTTTCGAGCTGACTTCTCAGCGGTCGGTTTTAAGACTCAGTTCGAAACATTTGTTTCGGCAGGCATTCCGATAAGACTTGATTGTTTGTTGTGATTTTTGATTGGTTTTGATTTGACTTTCTTGAAAACGTGGCGCATCTGCATGATTGCATTTTAATCTATGAGAAGCACTTGCTTTGTCCTCTTTGTGAAAAGTGAAATCCAAATAAAATTGACCCAACCAACTTCCATTCGTATCAGTGGACAGTGGTTCATGTGTCTATTATCTTAAGCGTTTGCCAACAAAAGAGCCAAGCTGAAAATCAGAGGGGGGAATGAGTGAGTGAGTGACTCAAGCGGAAGGCTATTCTATTCAGACGAAGCACACGTTGACATTGGCAGGATACACTTCCTGTGTACGAGAGGGGCCAGTTACCGTAAAACAAAACGCGAGCGAGCATGACTCCTTCCCAAAGCGCCCGCTCACCTTGTAAACTTGCACATGGTGGCTGCCTGGAACTTCCAGGCGAGAACAAGCACGCGGAACTCAGCCGGGTCCACGCACAGGTCGTTGCAGAATCGCTCCATGCCTTCCTCCAAGATGGCGTCCTCCTGCTCGTCCTTATAGCAGGAGAACAGCTCCTCGATGTGCTTGATGGACAGCCCTTCCGGGCTGTCCGCCTTGCGCGGTTCTCCCATTAAGGCCGAGATGATGGGCGTCTCCACGCAAGCCTCCAGGGCCTTGGTGCCATTGGACAGCTCGCCGCCGGCTTTTGCGCACGGGGCGCTGGGCTCTTCCTTGTGGCCTCCGGCGCTACCCATGCAGCTGCTTTTCTTGTGGGACTTGGAGCCACTCTCCTTGTCGCCGCTCTTGCTGCCGAGCGAGGATGTCGGGTTCTTGCACTTGGTGACACACTGGCCCATGTCTTTCTCCCGGCTCGCCCGTCTGTCGATCCCCCCCCTCCTCCTCCCTTCAGTCCCCGTCCGAACCACCTAGACGCCTCTGCTCTGGCCCGTCCGAATGTCTCAACATACCCTCAAGCCTTGAGCAAATGACAACATTTCAAGATTGCTCATTAGTAAGCCAGAAATATTAGGACAATGACAGCGTTAGAATTTTGAGATTGAATAGAGAGGAAAAAAAAAAACAGGATGTTTTATTCCTAAAAAGTATATTTAAAGTTCTTGGACAGCCCCTGTAACATTGGGCAGTTTTTTTTTGTCATTAAATATAGGGAAAAGAAGTTACTTGAATGATGCCATTAAAATTCAGTTCACATAGATGAAATAAAATTTGTATCAAAATCATTTTTGGAAGAACAAACAGTCCTCAAAGATTAAACGCAGTGAAAGTTAAATAAAAATGAACTGGACTGACTCCACTGAATCACTGATCTAAGCGGTCTCCTTTGCACTTACGTTTAGGAATTACTAGATTTTGCACAGAATATCTCAATTTCCTGGGCCTGAAATTTAGATTGGTAGCATTATGTCCAGTTGCAATTTTAAATTGAGACTCGTGTGAGTACAACATGAGTCCCACTTGTTTGATATTGCTCAATTGTTGTTCACTTGTGGCTTTTTTCACTAAACGATACCAAATAACAACAGTTGGTTGACAAAGAGTAACCAGGAAAAAAATGCTTTGTAATACACTTTCATGCAAAATAAAATGTTGGCCTCTACCTGTGTCAAATATACCACGATCCAGTTCTTGCACTGCCAGTTGTCAAACCCTTAAAAAGAACAAGTGAAAACAGCATTCCAATTTGTTATGCCTGCGTGAAAACAAATGCCAACTCCCATTTGGACGCACAACAGAAAATGCAAATGGCTGCCGAATTGATATCTTTATGTCCGTTCCCCGCAATGGTTAGAAATGTGTGTGAGAGGGGAAATGTATCAAGTGGCTATCCTGTATATACAGTGCAGTTGTTAAGACAAAACTCCAAGCGCGGAGCCAAGATAGCAAAGGAGTACTTACATACAATCCATTGCATTGCATTGGCTGCAAATCAGTCGCTCTCTATGCTTCGCCATCATTGTGACCTTGATATCGGCAATACTGAAAAGACATAACCCAATGTCATGAGAAACAAAAACATATACAAGTTCCAGGCACTGCTTTCGAAATCCTATCCTGATGGTTGTGAATCATATTATATCAGCCCAAATATTAGAAAGTTTATGTTCCAAACCCGCACGGCCACACTTGATCGGATCATTGTGATCAGGGAATCCTGCTCAGCATGGAAGCAAAGCTGATACACTTGCATTGCTGCTCTGGGCATGTTCAGGCATCTCCTCTTGAGTGCACTGATCACAACTCCAACTAACACACCTTGGCGATAAAGGCATTTTTTTTTTTTTAATACTCATTTTCAAACCATGTGAGCAACATATATTGCAGCTCAATTTTATGGGTAAAGCATTAAAAAAATGCAGCTGAAACATTTGGTGTACATAAATCAAAGTTCAAGATAGTGCTTAAGACAACTAAACGCAACTGAAAAGCTGAAGCATATCTTTTATGCCATAAATGTCAATAATTTAGATACTAAAACGGTTCCAACTTACATTACTGTTTTAGCCCCCGAAAATCTGAGCTGTGTTTTTTTAGTCTACCTTAATTGCTGCATTTTTATTTTCAAGAGAAACTGCGTGGGGGGGGGGGCATACGAATTAGCCCCACTTTTTCTCTCACAGTGAGGCAGGATAACAGCAAAAACTGCTCATCCATGGACACATTTTCAGACACAGGCAAAGAAAGGGTAGCAGGATTTCAATGCCGCCTGCTTTCACTAATCTTACAATAACACTAACTTCAGCGGTTTGAAACAATCAAATAAAAGTCAGAAAGATGAGCTGATATGTTGCCAATTCTGTATTCCTCCTGAAAACTCTCATCTGAGGCTCCTTCGGCATGCTTCTGTTGACACAATTGGCCAGTAGTTAGCAAACCTGGGATGGGTATATATTGTTTCAAGTTTTGAGAGGTGGATATTCCAAAACACTGTGAGCAAAGCTTGTGAAATCCAAAGTGACAGTTGAGCGTGATGTGCAGTGACTGGAAAGGAGTGGGCTCATCGGTGATCATTGTTGTTCTTCCTCAGGCGCTGTGGTTACTTTAAAAAAAATGGCAAACTCTTCCTGTTAAGGTGGGCAGCAGTGACAATTGAGCGAGATGTGCAGTGACTGGAAAGGAGTGGGCTCATAGGTGCCTGGTAGATGACTGCCATGCCTTGTCTCTGTACATTGTTGTTCTTCCACAGGCGCTGTGGTTACTTTAAAAAAATGGCAAACTCTTCCTGTTAAGGTGGGCAGGAAAGAACCAACTATAGTCAGTTTTCCATAATGTTATTTGAGGTTAAGAATTTCCTTAGGTGTAACTGCATCATGATTTATAGGTACAGTACACTCATCCGGAAATTACCTGGCAACAATGAAGTAATAGCTTTAGTTTTGCCAGAAGAAGAGTAGCAATTTCATCACTTATCGACAGTAATTCATATCAAAGTATGGATGTAGCCGAGTTTTAAAATATGAAGTCACAGATCGGGGCCCGACCGATGTCGCCTCGGTTGACTAAAAGTTAGCTACCAGCTAAGCTAAGTGTGTCGACTAAGAAAGAGTCACGAACTCACCTTTTTTGAAGTCCCAGTGACGTGCAATCGGATAAAAATCCCATCTAGTATATATCGGTGATAATAAAATAAGGTTAACTATTGGCCGATACGACCAGAAAAGAACTGAAGGCCAATTCGTCGCGTTAACTCACATTAGCTCGCCCAGCTAGCAAGCAGCAAAAAAAAAAAAAAAACTTGCAAAATCTAATAGCGGTGGCAGCTCGGTAGGGGAAAAGAAAGGAGAGCGCTTAACGTTTAAGACGTGTCATAGTAATTCCACTAAAATTACACTTGGCATGGCGAAGCGAGTTGAGAAACTACAGTAAAATACACGACAGTCTATTTCTTTGTGCTTCCCCCTTTTGGAGGAGCTTCTTTACGGGCATTTCGATGCATCACTTCCTCCCTGTTCCAAGCGGCCAAAACAGCTGATCTTCACCCCAGCGCCACTGACGATTATCCTTTAATTCTGTGAAACGACAGCGATCGTAAATATGGAATTACAGCCGTAATAAAATAATAAATAAAAAACGAATGAATGACATGTTCCGTCGATGAAACGTTCAAGAGCTCCTTAAGAGATTATGTTGTGCCACTGAATCTATTAAAATATTTTACACAACGAATCAATGAGAAAACTGGTACATATTTAGTTACAATTCCTTAAAATCTTTAAGACCAATTAATTTACGTAAACGCGTTGTTTAGCTGCTTTTCATATTGTTTTAAATTGAGATTGCAAATGACGTCACTACCATGCGACAAGCATTTGAGTCACCCGATTCCGGCAGTTTCACTTTACAAGGACCAGTCAAGCTCACTTTTCAACGGTAATCCTATCATTTATCGGTATTTAATTTGATTTGAAATTGCATTAATTCAATTTTGTGTCCATTAGAAAAAGCGTTCGTGTGCTCTGCTGAAGAAGGCTATATTCTTCTGTTGGTATTAAACAGTTACTGACTCACTACAGCATAATTAAACAAATCTAAATGTAACTGGCACAGAGAACACGCGAACTATGACATTTTTAAGTTTCGAAAATAATATGCAGTACGTAACGTGTTTCACAACGGCCATGCGCGCCTTGTGGGCAGCAAACAATGTTTTAGCGACATCTTTCGTAAATTGGTGGAATTGCGGTCAGTTGTGTTATAAAAATGTTAATTATGCGATATTTTCCAAATTTTCACACTGTAAAATTGCAACCCTTAAAAAAAGTACGGATTCAATTCATACATAACAATATAAAACAGTAAATTGATAATTGCAACGTTTCCCAACCTTTATTGAGGCAATACACATTTTACACCAAACAGAAATGTCACAAAAATTGTCTATACTGAAATGATGATGTGTGTGGTGGTACTGGACAAGAATTGAATTGCTCTGCCTGTCAGTGTACATCTCTGGCATAGAGAGATGAACAAAGATACAGTATTGGGAGTACATTTGTCAATATCACACATTGTTATGCAGGTCCCTGTCACATTTGTCCCAAGTGAGTACAGATGACGGCCTCTACTCGCAGGACGGTGTTGTCGCTCTACATGCGGGTGTTTCGCATTGCACGAACCTGGCAAGCCCACAGTGGAGTGGCAAGTGACACGCTGACCGAGAGAAATTATATACTTCAGGAGGCCCGCACTTTGTTCCGACAGAACCAGCAGGTGGGAGCGGCATGTGCAGCGTATGTGCCGCAGTAGTTGTTTGGGCTAATCACTGATTGTTGTGTTTGCCCCGTTGCAGATGACTGATCAAGAATCAATCAAGAAATGTATTGAGGAATGTGAAGCAAGGATAGAAATTGGTAAAAGGGGCATGTTTATACTGCTGTTGTGTCGTCACGTTTTGTATCCACTTGATACAATGGTGCCTTGAGATACGAGTGACCCAACGTGGTTGTTTTTCCAAATGCCAGCTGTCATCGGGATGACTTATTTTGTTTGGAGTTGAGAGCAAAAAATTGAAATGTGCGCACTAGAGTTGAGTGGCAGTGAACTCAACTCTGTGTCTCGATGTCCACCAGGTGGCCCAAGCGCACATGCCAGAAGATACAGCACGACATCAATTGAAGTGAAGCCAAAACATGTGGCAAAAATTGTTGATTTGTTTTTAAATGACAATATTATATAGTACAAGTTTTCCACTGAAAAAGCACATTAAAAATTTGGGATGTTAAAGTTTAGGCAAGGCAGTGAACTAGTAAGATTTAGCTATTGAACATGTGCATTCGAAAGTTTAGAGAAGGTCAAGTTATGTTCACAGTACATTTTAGATTCTAATCGCCGAATATCACTTTTTGTTTTTTTTGTCAGTACAAAAGTTTTTCTAAGACAGTGTTTGGCTTTGTCTCACAGGTCTACATTACAGAATCCCATACCCAAGGGCTGTAAGTAAAATCCTTTTTCCCTTCCTGCACTGGAGCACAAAGATGAAAATGTGATAGATTATGTTTGTTTCCTCGTGGCAGACCTACCTGCCGCCACTGGGACTGGCCACTCAGAAAGGGAGGAAGCTGCGAGCACAGCAGCGCCTGAGGAAGCAGGCCAAGCCAATTTATTTAGAGTCACATAAGGAGACCTGACGCTCGAGCCGAGATACCAGCGAACGCAAGTCTAGAGGGTGCCGTCACAAGCCCATCTCGTGGGGCTGATGTGTACCCGCCGACCATGCATATTAGTCATGATTAAGACGCTTCCAGTATATGTGTATAATCATGCCGTGCCATATTTGCAATTTATTTATTATAATTTTTTTTAAAAACGGCATCAAATTGGATAATCAAAGATGTCGAGCTGCTAATTAGACGTGTGTTATTGTTTTTCAATAAAGTTCATGTTAAAAACATTACCAAGAGGCTGCTTGTGTTAGAGTTGTTCAAACAAGGAGAGCAAAACACGCACTGAGGCCCAACCGTTGTGTTGGGTCGCAATGGGCTGCGTCTCGGTAACTTGACGAAGCCATCAAATATTGAGCGGGCCTCCTCTTTGTAAACACTCATATTCGCTGTAAATCAGTTTCAGTGCTGCATCCTCCTGTGAGACGATAATGTTTTGCATTAGTATTTACACCAGATATGCACAGTGCAAACTCATGTTGCAACGTGGCGTCTATTATTAAATTTTTTTTTAACTACTTGACACACAGGGAAGGATTCGGATGGAGGCATTCGAACAAAAGCGCAATTCAATTAAAGTGATCAAGCACAATCATTTCTTTTACTGCGCTAAGTTGGATGGAAAACTCATTAGAGGGGGCAGATGAATAATGGAGCAGGGCGCGTTGGGCTTAGCTTAGTTTACATCTTCCTTAGGCGGCAGGCGGGTTCGGAAGCGCCGGAGAGGAGGGCGAGCAGTGAGCGGAGGGCCGTGTGTGTCAGCACGACGGGGTGAAAGTGAGGAGCCTCATTGAAAAGCCTCATCAGGCCAAAATGGAAAAAAGGTTCGGCGGCCAGATAGCGAGCTGCAGGCGGCATGGCTGGCAGGCATTAAAGGAGAGATACCCTTTCTCTTCGAAATTGGCGGAAGAAAAAAAAATAACCACAGTGGGTACAGCAAATGCCTCATGCAATGTGAGAGGCTACAAACGCAATGTAGCGCAGGATTTGTAAAAGCTTCACAGTATTCACTTGCTGTTGCTTACCTTGCCTGACTACAAGTCTTGTGATGTGTCATTAGGACGAAAGTCTCACCCATATACAGACAGTGGTGTATTTGGGCATTTGCAGATGTATCGGGGATGACGTAATGACAACATGACGAGGCTATTTTTGCAAATTTCATACGTAAGCGTACATTCACTATTTTATTTTTTCTTTTTCTTTTTTATTCTCTGTGCCAAGAAACCAGAAAACCGCAAGACATGCAAAAGCCACACACACACACACACACACACACACACACACACACACACACACACACACACACAGAGCACGTGCGCAAGCAGCACAGTTCCACTCATCCAGCCATGCTTCTTCCTCCGAGGTGCCAGGGAGGTGTAAATTAATAATCGCAGGTCGGAAAAGTGTGATCCTCTGCACATCCTTTAAATGTGCCTTGTTACGAGAGACAAGGCTATAATGTGCCGGTCGAATTTTAGCCGTGGGTCCAAAAAGATGTTGGTAATTCACTTGGCACATTAGCATTTCTATGGCGAGGGATCAGAGGCGAACCTTGTGGGGCTTTAATTGCTTCGACTGTCGAAAGCGTGTCCTCACCTGTGGAGTCATCCACTTTCAAGTGACGCTGAGCGTCATTTTGGAAACAGTGACGACGGAGGAAAGGAGAGCGAGGTGAAATCAGGGCTCACGGCAAGTTAGTGTCCATCCGGCGGGGAAATCTGGAGGTAAATAGTGACCACGGAGCGGGAGATGAGTCGTTTTGGAAGGAAACACTCAACGTGAGCAGGAAGGCCATCAATCATTGGCAAAATCCTCTCAAAATGTCCACACTCGAGTTACTCTCTTGTGTTGTGGTCGTCTGAACATGGTGATACCCTGCTGACCGCAACGCTAAAAACAGCCTCCAGTTGCCACTAATTAGCCAAGTAATGTGATTAGAGAGCTTGATTGGAAAGAAATGGACTTGGGGATTTCTAGCGAGAAATGGACCGGAGGATTTATTACACATTTGTGTATAGAACGAGTACAGTTGTGCTTGAATGCAGATGAATCAACCAACAGGCTGTCTGAGACAGTGAGTCAGGCCCGGTCAAGGTTAGCGTTAATCGTAGTTTCTTAGAAATAGCCCCGAAGTCAGACCATTATTTAAGGGTGGAGCTTGAGCATTTGACCCACGGGAGCCATCTTTAATTCACCGCTGCAAAGTCCACAGTGACCCCCCCCTCAAAATAGAGGAAGTCCCGCTGTACTTGGGGACTCTCACTTCCTTCACAGCACAGTGGTCACCTCATTGGACAGCCGCACACTCAGCAGCGGCGAGGTCTATAAAAGCACTTTGTCATTCCTCTGGGAGGACGCTTGAGCAAACGCAAAGAGACGTCTCCGTTTTGGACTCAGAAAAAGAAAAAAAAAAAAGACGTAAAGCGGGGAGGAAATGACATTTGTCTGACACAGTTAAGTGGAATTGGTCGATTGTCTCAGCGGGGGCGCGACTTGGGGTGATGCTTGATGGCTCCGAAATGAATCCCAAAAATCCTTGAAGAACTCAGCCGCAATGACCGCTCCAAACTCATCGACCAATGTGTGGGTGACAGGCCCATCCCTTTGCAAATCATCCAATGACCGCCGCGCTGATTAGATGGTTGCCGGGCACCACAATGATTTTTTTTTTTTTCCTTTCTTAAACTGTCTACCTTTGGAAGAATTATAAATCCAAAATGCCGGTCGGTCAATCTTGCCAAAAATCCTTTGGCCTGTAGGCTTATTTGTTGC